GGGGGGGGGGGGGGGGGGGGGGGGGGGGGGGGGGGGGGGGGTTTAAGGGTGAATTCTCATATCCTCTCTTACCTTATTTATCCAAAAAAGTGGTTAGCCCCCCCCCCCATTTAAAAATCCTGGCTACGCCACTGCCTGCAATTACCTATGTTAATTATTATTTTATTTTTATTTTCTATTGTAACATATAGGATATTGGTATTGCTATAAAAATATATTATATTTGGAATTTAAATATTTGTTTACCTGAAAAGTGGTATTCAAAATATATTTAAGGTTGTTGGAGGGGGGGAGAGGGACGAAACCCCCCGCAAGTCTGTGTCAAATAATTGCGAACGTGGAACGCAGTTTTCAAATCGTTGGACTGAGCTCCTCTACCTAACTTTTCCCAATTCGAAAATCGGTTATAACAAGTCTACAATAAATTGAACACTACAATATCCGATATTGAATATCGATCTAAAACATAGACAAATAATATTTCCAAGAAAGACTTATAGGGTAAAAATAATTATTTTCATTTAGCTGTGGAATAACCATGATTGCGATTACATTATCTCTTTAGTATATACATTTTAAAAGAAGACACTGGATGTCAATGGCAAGTTTAATACTTCGTGCGAGAAGAGCCTGGATTAATTTGTCCTTGGAGCCCTTGATTTCTCTTCACGGCTCTGCTGACAGTACTCGCCATTGTATACAACATTTAATCTATGTATACAATTATCTACTCGGCTTGAAAAAACTCAGGCATTGTAATTATACCCAGCGAGTGTTTACAATGAACATTTCTATTATTCATTTATTAAAACCTATCTTTTAAGATCTGTCATTTGGAGATCTCAATTCAGTATAATAAAAACCAAAAATTACTTCTGTATCCATACATCCAGTATAAACCCTTAGCTTATATTTGTTATTATCAGTTTACTTTGATGTTAAATTAATAATGTTAATAAATATCAGTAATACCGTAACAAATTTTCTTCATAGTCTATTAATTCAATCTAAAATATCCTTACGCTTTAACATTATGTAACAGTGTCGAACTTACCACTCAGCATGTTACAACATAACTATTTGAAACTAGTGCATGAATAGTAACAAAATAAAAAATTTCAATAATTAGTATTGTAAAAACATTAAATGTGTTAAAACAATTAAATGAAGAATAAATAAATAAAAATAACAGTAAAAAATTTAGGTGCTATACAACATAAAATAGTATTTATTAATTAATAAAATAACTAAACAAAATTAGCCATAGGATCTTCATCTCTCCGTTTTTTCATGTGGTAAGCTTCAATTTCATCATCAGTTGGTTTAGAAACTTCATACATACTATTGTAGGGACGTTTTCTTTCGTCCATATTCATTATTCGATCCACTTCTTTTAATCTTTCATCTTCTTTCTCTAATGCCTTTTTTAAGGAATCTTTTATATCTTCTTTATTAGTCTTTTTTTTATTTTTATTCTTCTTCTTCTTCTTCTTCTTCTTTTTTTTTTTCTTTAATTTTTCTTTTAACTTACTATCAGAATCTGATGAGGACGATGATAATGAACCACGAGAGGTAATTGATTCATTCCCATCAACAGTATTTTTTAATGTAATAATAGATTCTGGTACATCATTTCCAACTACTGGTGCAATTTTTCCTATTTCTGGTATATTTGTAGATAGTGCAATTCCAGATTTTCCTGTGCAATAAGAATTTTGTACCAAAGAACGACAGCACTTGTAACCCCATTCTCCAGCTTCCCAGTAAGAACCCCAAACAGAAGTATGATTAGACGGGTAAACATCTTCTTCATAACGTGACCGCACAATTCCTTTTTCTTCGCCCTAAAAACAAAATTGTAAATTATGAATATTATCAATGTTTAAGACTTCATTTAAAACAAACCTTAATGATATCTCCTCTTCTAGAATACTCAACATAATCTTCAGTTTGTGCTAGCAATAATTGTACAGGTGGTGTTTGTAAATGTTCTTCTCCGCCATACTTTGCCAATACTGTATTTTGGGTTTTTTTTTTGAAACGATCTTTATGAGTTTCATACTCTTTTTTAAGTTGTTCTAATTTTGTTGGTTCAGCTAATAAGTGTACATCAACACCACGTTCATAAGCTTCCCATGCAAACAACTGTGCTTGTGCGTGTTTGGTAGTATCACCACTGAATCTAACAAAATTCTCACCAGCATATTCCACTCTAAAATTGACAGTTCAATTAATGTATATTATTATTATCAATAAATGTATAACTTACTGTTCAGGATCTTCTCCAGGTTTGTGAGGGTTGTCTCTCATTGATCTTGTTTTAGGGTCATAATAAGCTGATGATAAATCCAAATTTCTTAGATATTTTGCAGTATCTTCTCTAATTCTTAAATTTCTAACAGTAATACGTTGTTTACTGTCAACCTTTGTTCCGGGCATATCAAAGTCATCTACATATTTATCTTCATCATTTTCATCAGCAGAACTGTTATCCTAAGTACAAATACAACAATATTTTATTATCAGTAAAGTTGAGGTTAAAATGTAATTTACTTCTTTTTCATCCCCATCAGCAGTAGTTAGTTTTTGAGCACGAAGATCACGTTTGGCTTCTTCAATTTTTTGATATTGCTCAATAATTGCTTTATGTTGAGAAGGATCATATCCAGCCCATCTATCACGTTTTCCATCAAAATCTTGATTCAGTTCAGGTTGTACATATTCATCTGGTGCAATATTAATAGAATTATGAACTGCTCCAACTTTACGTGGTCTTTCAAAACAGTCTTTTTTTTTATGCGTCATTGCCCCACAGTTTTCACATGCCCCTTTGCGAAATTTGGTGCTTATAGATTCCTGGGAAATAAATAAAAATTATAGTTTAATTCAGTAATCTTGTACTATATACTGTATTATAACTAAGTATCTTATCACTATACCTAGAAGTTCATAGAAAATATAATGTATTTAATTAAATTAATTTCTCTGCATACCTTTCTTGAGCTAATTTTTTTTATTAAAAATATCTATGAAAAGTATTAATTTATGGAATAACAAGATAAATCTAATAAATCCATAGTAATAACAGTCAATTACGTAAATATAAAAATAATTTGACATAATTTAATAACCTTTTCTAAAATGAAAAAGTTTAAATAAAATGTTTTAATGTATATGTTAATTTAAAAATAAGAAGAGCAAATGGTAATCAACAATTATTTTTGTAAATTAAAAAAAAAAATGACCAATAAAAATAATTAATTTAATTTAGATTCAACAATAGCAATAAAGTTATTTAAATTTTTATAATTTTAAAATGGTTTTAACTTTTATTTATATTGTTATAAACCCCTGGTTTATAAGGATATTCATTAATAGAATTATAAGCATTATAAAACATTTGTATCATTGCTTTTGCTGAGTTTATATTTTGTGAATGGGAATCAACATACACAGTCTATGAATTATTTTGCCTGTCAAATACCAGAGCCTTCAAAATATTAAAATATGAATTTTTAATTTATATAATAAAAAGTATAACTTTAATGAACGTAATGGATCTCTTAATTCTTAATTAGTTGTTCTTTTTTCCAAAAAAACCGGAACACAAAAAAATAATAAAAAATGATTTCTTTCATAAATATACACTAACATTAACTATTTACTCTTCTTAATTATTTTGTATATAAAATGAAAACTGAACATTATTTATATTATATATTACTTACAGTATTTACGCCTCGTTTATACCATTCATTTAGGCCTGAATATTCTTGAACTTTACCAGGTACACGTTGATGTTTGAGTGTTGGACCAGAAGTTCCGTAATACCATGGTGCTGATGAAATATATTGTGGAATGTGTGGATTAATATCTTTACCTTCTTCATCGACAGCTGCTGGAGCTGTTCCTGCCTACAAATTAAACATATATAAATATTATAATACATAAATATAATAAAGTATTTATGACCTTTACATATTATATACATTATATTTTATATAAATAAATAGGTAAGGTAAAAAATATAATTTTAGTTACTTTTCTGGCTTCTTCTAATTCCTTAGCTTTCCTCCAATCTTCACGTGATTTTTTTTTTGGCTCTTCTTCGTCATCAGTCTTAGTTTTTAATACTTCGGATATTGTCGCCATTTTAAACGTTTAAATGTTATTGCATACAGTTATAAAGTCATTCTAAAATTCTATTCTGTGACAAAGTGATAGACTATAGTGTTTGTTGTCTTATCTAATGTGAAATGTTATCAAATATTTTGATCATTTTATTTATCATGGAAAAACAACAAGTATCTACATTTCCAATTAGTATTGATAATGCATTTCGTTCCAACTTGCAAAATGCAACACAAAAATGAGTAATAACAGATTGCAAATTATAAAATTTTTGCAATTTATGTATTAGTTTTCATAATAATTATTTAGTACATTTTTTATTTATAATACAAATTAGAATTTGTGTAATATTAATATTTTATACTTAGTTTTAAATATTATATATTATAAACTAATTAGTCGGAATTTATCCTTACATTCATCAGCTTACAAAAAAATCCAATGCAAGAAAATCGAAAAAAATCTTTGTATCATTTTATAGAAATCGAATAAATAGTTAAGATTTTTTACAAATGTGTATGAAGAAATCCCAAATAGAAATATGTAACTAAATAGCATTGGTTTTTATTTACATAAAGTATAAATGTTGTTAAACATTATTTATTTGTGTTAAAAAATAAATAAAAATATATTCTTTTTTATTCTGAGTAAAATATATTATCTAAAATGGAACAGAATGAAATGGGCAGTCAATCATCAATTAAGGAACAATCCGAATTGGAGAAGTATAAAAAAAGTTTACACAGTAATGATTATTATTTAATTTATGGGTTTACAATTTTTGAAATATTTTTATACCTACCAATGTTGTATTATTTCTAGACTTAGTGGTTGCATATAAAAAATTAACATTTGAAAAAAATGCTTTGGAAGAAACATTAAAGGCATCTACAAACTACGACAAAGATGATGTGTCTGAAACTGATACTTCTGAGGTACAATAAAAATGATTTTTTAAAATTCATTCAGTGATCAATTCCTGTAGATATATATTTATGACAATTTTAGCACTAAATTTAAATAATAATTTAATCATTACTAGAGTTAAGATTTTAAAGTTCTATGATTTAAAAAGAAAAACTGTTTATTTAATTATTAATTTGTCACAATCTAATTGTGAATATTAAAAACTAAAATTTAAAATATTTAAATATTTCATATTCAATTTGGATGATTTATGATTGTAGATGAATTATATAAAATATAAAAAAAAGCCACTACACTAAAAAGCTTAACCATTAACATCACTTTACTAGTCTTATGTTATATATATATACTAAAATTTATACACTTATTAATTTCCAAGATATATTAAATATTTTAATTAATCATTTGTATATGATCAATTTAATAGAATACCTATGTACGGCTTAATTATATTATTTATATATTTAATTTATTATTCAACATTTAAGTATAGAATATATACATAGATAAAATACTATAATTTTCAAAAATGTTTAATTATAGATATCCAATGATTCTCAACAATCCAGATTTATCAATTTAGTAAATACAATAGCTGGTCTACAACGAGAAAAAAATGAAGCTGAAGAATTAGCAGCTAGTGAAAAAAAACATTTGCAAAATGAAAAGATAGAAGTTTGTTTTATAATTATAATTGTGATTTAATAAATAATCATGATAACATTGTTTAATTTTCTTTACAGCTTGAAAAATTAGTTAAAGAACTGAATAATAAAATGGATACATTAAAAAAACTTCAACGATTAGAAATGGAAAACATAAAAGGAAAATTCAATAAAGAACGATTACAACGAGAAAAAGAGTTTAATGACCATGGTGTAATGATGAGAGAATTACAAAAACTTATGGCTGAAGAACGACGGCAAAAAGAACAAGCAGAATCATTAGCCGATAACCTACAAAAAGAAGTTACACATTTACGAAGAGAAAATGAAAACTTTAAAAAACAAGCTTTTGATTTGGAAACTGAACTTGAAGAAATTAAACAAAAATCAAAATTTAGAGAAGAAGAAACATCTAGTATGTTAGCTCAGTTACGACAAGAAGTGAAAGCAGTTAGACAGAATCATTCAAGTGCAATTTCTCAAGTAAAAAAGACTGTTTTTTAAAGACTTATTTACAAAAAAGAAAAAAATTAATGATTTAAAACCTAATATAGTTTATTGACAATTTAATTATTAAATGTAATTAAATTATTTAAATATTTACCATACTTATTTATTTTATAGGAACAACAAAGAGCAACAGAAGCAGAAAACAGAGCTAGAGAACTTGCTATAGCACATGAAGTGAGGGTTTCAAATTTAGAAACACGATTAACAGAACTGTCAAATTCCATTGGAGTTTATGATAAAATTAGACATCAAAATGAACACACAATACTATCTTTGAAGGTTTAGTTTATTTCGTGTTTATTTTTGGACTGCATGTAATATTTTATATTTTTTGTGAAAAAAGTCAATGTATGCTATACTGCTATGTATCAGTAGCGTACGCAGGGGGAGAGGGGTTTAAGGGGTTGTAACACCCCTCTCCCCCAAAATTTTCTCCGAGGTCTAGGTTAAAATTTACAAATTTTACATATTTTTAATATAAAGTGCTAGTATTGAATATCTAGTATCATTGATTATAGAATAGTCTATTCTATTATCATTGCTATTATTTAAATCAAAATATATAAAGGATTTGCATAATTTTGTTAATTATAAAATGTGTACCTTGACCTTCCCCCAGAGAAAAAATCCTGTTTACGCCACTGCTATGTATTGATATTTATACATGGTAAACAACAGTTGCATATTAATTTATCTTAAAATATTATCCTTCTAGGAACAAGTAAGAAAATTAGAAGCAGAAATTGGAAATAATGAAGAATACACTGTGTCTGAAATAGTGGAAAAGTTCAAATATTTCAAAAATCTTTTATTAAATTTAGCCAAAACATCAGAGGTTCCTTTAAATATTGAAGGTTATTTAAAAATAATAAAGTAATTTATCAAAATAATAAAAATATATTTATTGTAATATTTGCAGATATAATATTGAAAGATTTGGATTTTGATATTTCCAACTATAAAATTAAACATATTGAATATCCAGCTAAACAAGAGGAAAATATAGTAACTAATGTAGTATCTTCTAAGCAAGACAGCTCTATTCTACTGAATCAAGTAAAAAATTTACAACAACATGTTAATACATTACAATTTGAACGAGATCAACTAGAACATAAGTATAAAGAAAAATTGGAAGAAGATAATGAAGTGAGTTGTATTAATTTTACTATGGTCATTGAATAAATATTTATATGTAGAATATTTAATATTTATTAATATATTATTTTTAGGGAAATATTAATTGGAAGGAAAAATATATGGCAAATGATTTAGAGTGGCGTAAACGTACATCGTTTTTAGAGCAGCAATTATTAAGACAGCGTGATAAAGCACAAGAAATGGTTTCAGAAAAAGAACTAGAACTAAATACTCTTCGTGAAGCTCTTCAAACTACAAAATTTAATAGGAAAACATCTCATTCATCTACTGGTTCTAGAAAAGAAGTAACAATTTGTTTTATTTATTATCATGTAATTATATTTATGTTTGTAGTTCCAGGACTATTTAAATGAAGAATCTAACAAAAAAGGTTCTCATTTGCTTCATTATGCACATGAATTAGCACTGAAGGACATGGAAATATCCAAATTTAAAAAATCTAAGTCTAAAATAGAGTCGAAATACAGAGACTTACAGAAAAGTACAGCTGATATGCAACAACAATTCAAAACTGATGTTGATCAACTTAATCAGCAATTAATTAGGTATTCATGAAAATAAAAATAATAATTAAATAATTAATCAATCAAAAAAATGATAGTTAAAATATTTCTATGTTTCAGACTTGAATCATGCAAATCCAGAGAAGGAGCTAATTTAGAATACCTAAAAAATGTAACATTAAGTTATTTTCTTACCGCAGATGATAAAATTAGAAAACATATGGTAAATGCAATAGCAGCAGTTTTGAAATTTTCTGATAGCGAAACGGAAAAGGCCATAAAAAGCTTATCCCAAGGCAAATAAATATAATTTGTTTTGATATTTTATTGATAATGTTTTAAAAACGTAATATTTAATCCCTTTATTCGAGATTAATTAAATCCAAAAGCATTTAATTTATTTTTATATTATATGTTTATTTTGTTTGTTATGAAGTTAATGAGTGAGATTTTAATTTTTAAATTTTTACAACTAGTCAATTGTTTTTGGTAGATTAAATCTTTTTGACAGGGATATGAAATATATAATTAATTGCATTACTACATTTTCAAATTTCACTTTATTGAAAATTAGCTACTGATAGAATGGGTTGATCAGAGCAACTAGTTGCTCTTCCATATAATGCCCCATAGCTTTGAAAATACAATATATTTGAACCATATCATTTAAAAATCAATTAATTGATTAATTAACAGTAATATATTAAAATGTAATGCCCAGGTTACCTATATTCAATTCCACTTTAGTTTATAGTATTTTGTTAGATTTTGATCGGAAAAAATTGGCTAATCAACATTTTAAAGTTTAAAAACCGAAATTATTTGTGTAATTTGTATAATAATTGTATAATATTAACATTTAGAATGGACAATTTATTACACAATAAAAATGTATAGTAGTATGTTATTTATTGCAATAAACCACTAGCATTTTGTTGAAAATATTTTCAGTGTTTATATTATTACACAGATTATAATAACTTATATTATTTATAATTAGTGCTCGGAAGTTAAGGGGCATCGCGGAAGTATTGCGCAAGCAGCTCCCGCGACATCGTCGGTTATAAACTGAAAAAGTAAGGGCTCGGAAGTTAATGACCTAAAGAATTACAAATATTTGTTTTAAATTAATAAAAATACATTTTTTTTTAAATATTTTATTCTATTTTACTATAACATTCCGTATAAATTTATCAAAACTTACAAATTACTCAAAAATCAAAATCAGTGCATTATATAATTATATTGTATTTGATGTTATAAGTAAATAAATGGCGATTGTGTTTATATATTTATATTTGGAAATATTTCTCTCCATGTCCACTGATTGGGAGACACAGACGAGCACTAACCGACGTTTTAATTTTTACCCTTTCGAAAATATTACGAAAAAATAATAAACATTTAGATATAATAGTTATTATTCTCTATAACAGCGATTCCCAAAGTGTGTTCGGCGGAACAATATTAAGGGTTCCGCAAGGTGTATATGAATATTGAGAACGGTAATTGTTGTAAATAATAATCATGAACTATCTTTAAAAGATTTTTTGGAGTATAAGTTTTACAATAAATAAATGAAAAATTGGGGTCAAGTTGGAATTAGAGACGTTGGGGTTCCACGAAACAAAAAATATTTTCTAAGGGTTCCGTGATCGTAAAAGTTTGGGAACCGCTGCTCTATAACATGACAATGAAGCCAAGAGATAATATCGGATACTAATCGAATGAATCTAGGTCAAAATATCCAAATTTATCCGTTTTTCCGAAAATTAGTACATTACACTATACTTTCTAATACAACTAGTTCAAATATCAAATTATTTAATCATAAAAAAACCTAAATTTTGTGAAAATATTAGCTTAAATATTAAATTATAAAAATTAGCTCAACCTATATACGCTGTATATTACTAAAAGTATAATAAATTACGTTAATAGTTATAATATCACAAAATACAGAGTTTCAGAGAGATTTTTTTTATCGTGAACCAGTTATATCTCGGGAAGTATTAGGAATTTTAAAATAATTTTTTTTTTTAACTTTCTGGGTTTTACTATTTTACACTGTATTACAATTTTAATCATTTTAATTTCCTCCCTTATTTGATAAAACACACTGAAAAAAATAATTTTGACGTTTACAGAATTTAATTTTAGTAATCCGTTTGCGACTTATTACCGTTTAAATATTCGTTCAATTTACTGCTACTGGGAAATTTATCAAACCCAACAGTAAAAACCAGAAGTCAAAACGGAATGATATCTCAATTTAATAATACCCATAACGGTCATAATCGATAATAACTGTGATATTAATGCTACTAACAAGTCAATTAAATAATTTGACACTAATTTTAAGAAAATTTGGATATTTTGACCGATTACAAATCAAATATTAGGAAAAAATAATAAAATTTAGGTATAATACTATTCACTACAACACGACAACGACGAATGTAATCGACGAGATAAAACCGGACAAGTCTTAAATTATTGACATAGTGGTCGATAAGAAACAATAAAAAATGAACTAGTGTGAAATCAGTAAAAATGACTAAAAATGTAGAAAAATTACCTAAAAATGTCAAAAAATGACTTGAAAAGTAACGAACACCAAAAAATGCAAAATAAAAATTAGATATTTAGATTCATATGCTAATGAAACACATTTGTAGCCAGGATAGCATTTACTAAAAAGTTCGAAAAAAAATGCAAAATGTATCAACTTCTGAGCCCTATTTATAATACAACATAGAGTGCAGAGTAAAATAATACACTAAAAGGAAATAATATAACTTATAAAGCTCAACAAAATACTACTACAGTTAAAATTATGAAATATTCACTGTGGATGTATAAGTAGAAAACAAAATCAACTGTCACTGTATTATATTTTTCCATTATTTCCACGTATATTGTAATCATAGACATAAAGTTTTAACTTACACAACCATAACCATAATCAGGTCATAAATTGTATCTAAAGTAACAAATGTGATGAATAGAACAGTTACTATCAAAATCAAATACCACTTATATCAAAAATATATTGAACAAGAATGCTTATATTTATTGGTATTTTAATTCTAGTAAAATTTTGTTAATAAAACTGTAGTAAGTAAATCCAAGGTAAAAATATATTAAATACAAACTACAATTTGTACAGTATATTTTCAACAACATATTAAAAATTATTTAATCATTCACAATTTTTCTGATTTATTGAAGTTTATTTCTAATATTTGCATTTTGAAATCCTATATTAATAGAATCTTGCATTTCATTTATGCTAATAATGTTATCTTGTACTTTTTGTCTTCGGCTATTAGGTCCATAATATTCATATGTTGGCGGTGGTGCTATTTCAGCTCCTTTTTTTGGTTCAGATGGTAAAGGAATACTATCTAAATCACTGTCATCTATTAGTGGTTTCTTTTTAGTAATTAAAGGTTCATCGTCTAGCTCATTATGAATAGGCTGTTTTTTTGGTATTATAGTGCTTTGTTTGTTTGGATTATTAGGTGTTAAGAACATATCTAATGATGGTCCTACCATATCATCATCGTTTTCTTCCTCTTCAATATTTTGAATATCTGAGTCTGTACTATTGTTCTTTGATTTACCATTACCATTATAATTCCAAGAAAACTCAGACTTTCTTTCGCTTCGTTGCTTTTCATTCCATTCATCTTGAGTTAACACTATAAAATATCAAGTAGCAGAATTAAGAACATAATCCAAAATATTATAATACAATTTAAAAGCAAATTTTTTTTTTTTTCAGAATTTTAATATATTATTTAATAATATATATTTAATATAGCATATATTATATGGACAATAAATATACATAAAAGATTGCTATTCATTTATTTCTTATGACTAAAAATATAATAACATAACAGTTAATGAAGTAGAAAGTTTATCTTAAACAATAAGTTCATCTTAGGACACACAAATCACATCTTAAATATTGATGATCTAGCAGTAAATAACAGTATTTAATACATTTTCAAAGATTGAATATTTACTCAAGTAGGAATTCTTTGAAATTGAAACCTTGAAAAGTATAATAATAAAAAATATAATTTAGCTTTAAAAAGTTTACAAATAAGGAATTTCAGCCAACTCACAAAAACTTGAATCTGAAAGGACACTAAAAAATCTACTTTTTAAGAATTTCAAGTTAAACAGTAAAAATGGAATGTAATTAAACGTATATGACATTTGAAGACAACAATAGATTATTAGTATTTAAATATTATATAAATAAATAATAAACATACAAGGTTTTTGCAGTCCATCTTTTCCATAGTCCCAAGGTCTAACATGAGCAGCTTTCCTTAACTTTTCAAATGCTCGTTCAGCATCCATATCTTCTACAACTTCCGGGGATGGAGCTTTTGGTGGTGGCACTTCTTCATCTAACAAATTTAAAAATTTAAATTACAACACTCATTGTGCATTCATTTTTCCACTTACCTGAACTAGAATCTATTGGAAGCCCAAGTTTTTCTTTTTTACGTCGTTTGACAGCCTTAAGTCGAGCTGCCATCTGTGCTGCACGCCTTTCTTTTAGCTTTTGTACTGTCATTTGTGTGGATTTAGTCTGTTCTCTGAGCTTTTTAAGTTCAGTTTGTTGACGATGTCGTTCTTTTTCGTCCGTAGAAAATGAATAATAACCAACACCATGCTCCCGAACCTCTGTGAACAATTAATTTTTAATTAATTATTCTAATATTTAAATTAAATATTTAACAATGCCCATCAATTAGTTGCTGCTCTAATTGTGATTAAACTATAGTATTAATATGTTATCATGAAATAAGTAACCTTAATATTGAGTAAATGAATTTGGCGACCATAACAACAAAGCATGAAATCACCAAAACTTTTAAATAATTATACAACGATTATATTATAAGTTATAATTTATAACCTTTAACATATTGACTGCCACGAAATAATAAATTAAATCTTAATAACCTAACTAATTTGGGTTTTTTTTATGGTTTACTGAGACAAAAATGTAATTAAAATAATTATTGATTTCATTTATTAGGCATACTTTTTTCAACTCAATGAATGAATTTGACAATACATTATTTGATGATGCAACACTATATGTAAATTGACATACATATATAATAATGTATAATAATAAAATATATATATACTTAATTACTTGTTGTATACTTGTTTTTTAAATCACAGTTTACTTTATTAACAAAGCTTTTATTTGTAGCTTTTATGTAATGACCTTTAAATATAAATAATTAAAAAATCTATGTTAAAATGATTACATTAATATTTTAAATTTTAATTACGATTTACAACATAGATAGATATACAGTTTTATTAGTATCCCAATTTCCAAGATTTTCTTCAAAAAAATTACTAATTGAAAACATAGGTACATTAGTTACAAAACATAACTAGTACTCAAATATTTTAAAGATTTTAGACCCACCAGTTAAATTGTCCTTATATTATAAGACGAAAATAAAAAACTTTCAATAAAAATTTACGAAAAAATTTGGAAATTCGGAGTTTCTTTATGTGTAATTAGTATAAAACTTAAATTTATGAAATAACTCAAGACAAAGCAATAATTATTAATTTTTATTAAATTTTAGAAATTATGGTGAAATACTATGGATTATTTTTTTCATAACAATCACATAAGTTTTGTTTCTTTATTGGATATTGTCTTTCTTCCAAACCCTAAACAACCTATTAAACTAGATATTATATTTTGTAAACAATTACGTATGTATTATAGATGTATATTAATTAAAACATTTTAAAACACTATTATTTTATTTATTAGATTATGAACCAAAGTAAAGAAAAAAACTTCGCTTTAGAAATACATGATATATTCATTATGTCTAATAAATTAATATAGTTATTACGTGTGTAATTTATACATTACATTATCCTAATCAACAATGTTAAGAAAGTTTATTTTCAAAAGGAATATTTTATTTCTTCATTTTTTAAGCTTTTGTAAAATAGTAAATATAACTTGAAAATAGTCCTTTTCATCCATTTTAAACAAGTATATTATAACATTGGCGCCCGATTGGCGGGCTCAGTCTAAAATACATTTATGAGAATATCCTTTGTTAGATTAGGTCTCATTTTTATTATTCGGGGTTTATTTAGTATTAGTGTATAAAATGATATTAAGGTGTATCGCAATGTAAATTAAATAGAGATTGTGGCTTAACTTTTATAAATGATCTCATTTATGATTTATATTCCTTTTGGAAAAAATAAAATTTATATCCAACCATTTAATGCCTGAAACTCTGAAGCTACCATTTATATTACAATTTCCTTTTATTTTTAATTGATTGTTTGTGTAACGACTCACGGTAATATGCTTCGACCCCGCGAGATGGTGTTCTGTTAGGCGCCAAATGACGACAAGAGGGAGCCGGACGGACGACAGAGTCGTTTTCTCGTCAGTCGTACACCAGTATAACCGCAGTAGCACGACCATATTATTATGATATTACATTGTTTTCAGTAAACGTACAATTCTCGAATGGGTTATATTTTCATCAAAACTAACAATTAATTAATAATTATTTCACTTTTTAATCATACACATACACTTAGTACTCAATTAATTATTTTTTATTTCAATTTTTTAAGCGGACAGCTATATAAATTAAAAATTTATTTCATTATTTTATAAAATATATAAATAAAAATAAGATGTCTACTTATTTTCAGCGATCGACCGTAACGAATGTTTTATTTTTCATCATAGGTAAGGTATAAATAATTTTTCAATACTTCATTAGTAACCAAAAGTATAAAGCGAATGTTTTTACAAATTAAACTATAGTTTAGATAGTTTATGATTTCATTTACCTAATCGTACAATTATTTATTGACTATTTTAATTTAAATAATTTTTATTTCTAATACAGGTTAAGTATTAAACTGGAAAGAGATAAAGTAAAATGATTGCTAAATTGAATGAATCGAATTTAATACAGTCTACTTTAATATACAATAAAAACAATTTTTTAAACTTATTACAAATAAAATGTAATTTTCAATAATATAACATTAATATAAAATAATTATTTAAAAGTAATTATTTATCAGCGTATTAAACGTATATTACAAGCATAATGAATTAACCAGATATAATAAATTAATGATATCGTTTTTAATCAAAGTATAATATATAGTTTACTATAAATATTAAGAAATTTACTAAATCTTATTAACTTCATAAAAATAAATCTTAGTGTTGCGCCCTCAGTAATTAAATTATTTATGATGATCGATTTGTTAACAAGTTCCTAAATACCTATATAATACTGATACCCAATATAATACTATAGATTTATACTATATTACTTTATATTTTAACTTAGAAGCTTATAGTAATATTAATTAAAATTAATAATACTGCTACAGTTAAGTTGTACTAATTGAATTTGATAGATAAGATTGAAATAATCAATAAAATAAAACGTAAATTCTTATCTTCTGTATTAAAGGTCATTCGATATAAAATACTAAAAATCGTATTATATTTCCAAAACTACTGTAATTTATATAATGATTATTATCCAATAATATTATAATTTCTAGTACGTAAACGAATTTAAAACTATATAAATAATAAAAATGCATAATATTTTGTGTATAAATTGTTTTGTTAAAAGGCCAATTATAAAAATCTTAGAACTATTAAAAGAAATATAAATACTTAATTTTCGTTATATTTTAGGACCTTAATAATTTGGTTCTAATTCTTAAAATTTAATTTTAAATTTAATAAAAATTAAAAAAAAATTATTTCAAAAAAATGTCCTATGATCGATAACTAAAATTTTAGTGGTGCTCGCGGGAATTTCGTACTAGGAGGAATACAATTTACTAAAGTATCAATTATCCACTATTTTCAATCGAAAAATGTACTTAATGATAACAGCAATTAGTTAAGTATATATTAATTAATTGAAAATATAAAAAAAATTGCAATTCATCAAATATAATTGTTTATGAAACTGAGAAAAATCTAAACAATATTAAATAATAAATTTTAAAATTCTTATAAAAAACCATATCTACATTAGAAACTGCAATTTATGCAAATAATTTCCAAAATATTAAAAGAATGCTAAGTATTTCGATTAATTTAGTGAGTTAATATATAATATAATAGTAATAAATAGTATAGTATAAATAAGTAATATAAAATATATAATAGTAAATACTAAGTATTAACTATATTAAAACCGACAAATACTCATAATTTTTATGAACAATTTATCACTTTAATTTATGTTTTCTTATTTAGCTATAAGTATCTATCTATAATTATCTATAATTTATATATAAAATATAAATTAATAAAATGAACAACATATTTAGAATTATGTTTAGCACTCTATAATAAATTAAGTGTTATAATTATACCTATAGATTATTAGATAATAATTTAAAACTCTTATGGGAATAAGATAAGAATTGATTGATAAAAAGTATGTAAATATGAACATCACGTTGGATTCCAAATAAAGATTTTAGACCATAAAATGTTTTTTAACGGTTACGAATAGCCTATATATTAATATACTTATTTTACTGAATGTGTTTACGGAATTTAATTTATTGACTATTTATAAAAGCATACTCATTTACGTGGGACTGAGGAATATCGTAAATTTAGTTAATCGCATTTTTCCAATAATTTGTTATTTTAATATTAGAACTTCTTTGGTGATTTAAATAATGTTCTAAAACCTAATTAATAAAAATAAACTAATAAAATCAATAATAAAGCGGTAAATGAAAATGTATACTATAATCACTTAGAAAAATATTAATTATATTATAATATATTCAACGCGAATTAATACCTATTTTAATGATAATAATTACAGTTATATTATGACTTATTAAAGAAAAAAAAAATGTTTTATTCTATCCCCTTTACATTTTGGTTTTAACTACATAAATAAATACTGATTAGTATAACGAGTATATTTTTCATGTAATTGTCGAATACCTAAATGTTAAGTCATTAAACCAATTGGTCATAACATGCCTCTCACGGTATGTTCATGTTTAAGTTCAATGAGTCAGCCTTTTCGTGACTGTATCGTGCTCTAAAATCTAGCAAAAAATAATAAACTAGTTTTTTTTTCATAAATAATAGTAGGTATATAGTGTACTGAGAAGATTATTTAAGAAAAAATAAAAATATTTTACAAAAATAATACGCAGTACATCATGTGGTCCAATAACAAATAACATTTTTAAACCATGTTTCCACATTAAATATATAATTTATAATATCTAAGATTAACGTTTGAAATAAATGTAAAAAAAATCATTCTATAATAAATAATAAATAATTATTAAACACTAAACATTTTGTACAAAGGAGGTATAAGTAACTACGAAAATATGAATTCTTTTAACAGGACATAATTATTTCTTAATTACTAATAATTTATTTATTTATGGTGCTTTAACTAAAAATAAATAATACATGTATAATTTAAATATTTATAATTAAAGGTCTTGTATGTTCAATTCATAGTAAAGAAGAAATAACATGTTATGTATGTACTCCACATTTAAACTCCAGTGATACAGAAGTTTCAGAAGACTATTTTACCTTTGAGGATTATAATACTGAAAATATACCAAATTGTGGCTCTAGTTCAGGAAAAAATTTTGTATTAAAATGCCCAGAAGGATATAAAGGGTGTCTAACTATAATTTATGGTAATGCATTGAATTAAGTTAAAACATCACAAAGATAAGATATATTATTACAAATATTTATTAATTAAATCTTTCATTTTGAAGGCGAAAATACATTGAAATCATGTAATGAGCTTGCTATCAGTGACTGTAAGATAGCAAATGGCATTGAATACTGTTTTTGTGATCATGCTTTATGCAACAATGCAACTCAAAACTCAATTACTTCAGATGATGAAGATGTAGATGATGGAAGTGGGCAAGATAATCAGATACAATTAAATGAAAATATTAATAAAAATTATATTAACACTAAAATAATATTAAATAATACGTCAGTAAAAAATATTTCACTTACAAAAACATCAGCTGCAAAATTATTACTGCCTAAGAATTTTAATATTTTAGGTTTACTTATAATCTATACAATTTTATAATTTAAAAACTTAAGTTACAGAGCATGCTAATCTCTATTTCAATATATATTATATTGTATATTTTGTATTTATTATTTTTTGATAAAAATGTTCCTAATATAGCAATATAAATTATATATACCAATTAACAATTAATATTTATATGCATAATATATAGAATATTCATTGAAATTTAGTTATAAATAATTTTTTATTATTTTACTTTTACCAATTAAAATAAAATCAGAAGGATAGAGATACAGGTATAAATTACTCAAATTATGTAAAATGGAAGAAAATTAAAGATACTAAAAAAGTAGTGACAGAGTCGGAAATCGGAAAAATAAAAGCTATAAGAAAACTATGGTTCAACGATGTGTGTGAAGATGCTTTAAATCGGATAAAAGAATTAGAATTGTTCACAAATTAATGGAGGAAACTACACAACGATGAACTGCAATCCCTTTTCCAGGGACCAAATATACTGAAAGAGATTAAAAAAAGATGACTGATGCGGGCAGGTCAAGCCTGGAAGAAGCATGATTCGCTGATAAAAAAAGTAATAGAAGAAAACCCAGTATGGAGGAGACCTCTGAGAAGATTGCGTTTAAGATGGAAGATTTCATTAAAAGGGGTACCGAAATAGTGGAGCCAGAAAGTCATTTGCGGGAGTTAACAAAAAATAGAAATAAATAGCAGTATGTTTATTTAGAGGTATGGTCTTGAATGGCCGAAACCAAGAAAGTAGAAGATAAGCTAATAAATATTTAAATTATAAAATTGTATATTTTTTGTTTCTATATGATCGTTACATCAACCAAAAAAAAGGGCCATTCAATATGATGTCCTCGGTTTAAGCTTGCCAAAATCTGGCAACCCTATTGTAGATTTACGACATTCTTTACGTTAGGCATACGGGCGATTGTAAACTCCGCCAGAATATTGATTAAGATAAAAAGGTAATAAAAGGTCTAATTTAAACTCCGCCAGTTTTTTTGTGTTTTTCCTGTAAATTCTTTCATAGTCATCTAAGAAATTCATTTTATAAAAGTCAACCGAATGTTCATATTTTTAGTAAAGATCTTACCGAATTTCAAATCCATACTTATATAAAACTAAATGGCATATCTCAAGTAAATAAGTTAAAAAATTCAAAATAAAAAAAAATTACAGTGGTACAGGAAGCTATGAATAGGTACACTAATAGAGTAATACAAGACTTAAAATATTTACAAATTGTATCACATCATTTTAGTTCACAAACATGGCATAACTATATATTTTTGGATTATTAAGTATAACCTATTATGATTTATTGTTATTTATTATGATTTTTTTTTTACTGTAATTAAAATATTTAATATAGGCGATTTTTAATTATTATTATGAAAAATATGATTTTATATTATTAGGTATAATGATTATTTATTATGGTTTTTTTACTATGATTTAAATATTTAATTTGAACGATATGATATTATATTATATTATATTATAATTTTTTTTTAATAATATATCATATTAATTTTATACTTCTACTTGATTTTCTCACTGGCGGAATTTACATTCGCCCAGTCATACATTTAGTCCCAGGGACGTTCCTAGGAGGGGGTTTTAGGTGTTCAAATCCCCCCCCCCGAAAAATAAAAATAATTATCAATAAAAGTTGTACATAATATAATATATATGTGGAACTTGATTTGACTATGTGTTTTAACATCGCTATCGTGAAACATGCTAGTTGTTTCGTGTCATGTGAGTGATATAGGTATAGGAAATCCGTATACCTATAAATACGTGCGATTGACTGGTGCGCGTGTATGATTGGGTTGTCACAAAAGTTCAAGTACTGACCGGGACATTTACAAAAATAATTTCAACAACCTTTTTTTTTTATATATTTTTTTTTAATTATAAAATTTAGAACACGGTGTAATGTACCGGGTTTAAATATACGAATTATAGAATAAAATAATAATAGCATAGAATTAAGAAAGAAATTAAATTAGATGATACATTTGACTAATGAAATAATATTTAGGTATTTATTAATTTATTATATTTTTCTGACTTTTTTACCTGTTTCAATAACTCTGATTTTCCCATAGCATACATATGAAATACCGAACAAGTCATTTTGAAATTAAATTTGCATTGAATGATACTTTCTACAGTTTCTACTTGAAAACGGTTGCGTTCTTTTGTCCACTGGGCCATTATCAATGAAAATATTCTTTCAACATTAGCGTTATGACCAAGAATGGCATATAAGTAATGGCACATCAAAATTAAATTATGTTTTCTTTCCAATATATGAGTTTTTTTAAAAAAATGTAACCATTTGTCATGTATGTTTTTTTTATTCCAATCTACATCAAATTTCTGTTTGTCAATGAAGTTTTTACAATAAAATATTTCTTCAAAGCAACTATCCGTAATATCACTTCCCTTTTCTTTTAAATAAGTTATTCTATTTTCAACGTCTTGCCATTGCAGCGAAGAAGTAAGATTCATCCATGAAAATACCTCAAATTTTATAAGAGGGTTACTCCACTGTTGTAAATACTCCCGTAAAGTTATGTAATAATTATTGACTTCTTATCTAAGGCAAAATATCTCGAAAATCAAAGTTAGACTTTTTTTTATAATACAAAGATATATTTTTTTTTTTTGATTTTTCGATTAAAAAATTATAATATAGACTAAATTTATTTAATATTTTTTTATAATCTATAATTATATATTCAGTACAGCTAAAAAATATATTTTTTACTTATCAAGTTCATGTAAAAAGAAAATTTCGAAACTTTTACTAATTTTTTCCTATTTTAGGTAACTTTTTTTTTATTAAATATTTTTGTTTAAATTTATATTTTTAAATGCTTATTTGAGTGCTTACTATGATACTTTTATAAGCACTTATTTTAATGATTTTATATCCTTTAAGCCCCAAGCCCTACTAATAAGTAATAAGTAATAACAGTATTAGCTATTAGCAACCTATTAACACCTTTATTACCTGTGGAAATTATACATTTATACATCACTTTACTATTACACGATACAGTACAATTTATTATAACATGTTTATATTTATGATTCTTTATCGACGCAACCAAATTTAATGTTTGACGACGGAGACTATCACAGTCGTTGGTGAATATTAAAACATGTACAGTATTACACAATGTTTTAGTTTTTTAAAAGTATCAAGTTATTCTGTATAGTTGAAAAAAAAACAATTGTTCAAAAATTACCTAGAAAAATGTCAAAACCGAAAGATGGTTGGGAAAAACTACCAACTGTACTGGTGAAAAATTTTTTTCCCGATTAAAATTATTAAAAACCGTATTACAATCTTAACTATCACGAAATAATCTGCAGAGTTTTGGAATTTTGAGCATCAAAGTGAATTTGTAAAATCTCTAGACATGGATAATGTCATTTGAATTTTTTTAAATGAAAAAGCCAGAAAAAAAGAATTATGTATAGATGAAGAGGAGAGACAAGTGAACAGTTGCAACGATGACAGTGATTAATTTTATAATAAATATATATTTATATTAGTACAAAACTATTATTTAAAAATGTGTATGACACGATTTTTATTGATATTCATAAATAAAATTTAAGACAATGAATTTTTTTTTTAATTAGTAGTTAATACCTTTTTATACTCCTTATGCCAATTAAGTCCGTTTGATTTATTTTCTTAAGGCCCATGAAACACTTAATTCGGCACTGAGTGAACTATACAGTTATTAATACAAATCCATTATAATTAGTAGTAGATAAAAAATATCAAAAGCGTCAAAAATGAAAATGTAGTTTCTATGTCAATAAATTTCGATTCTCGAGACATTGGTGCATATATAAACTTAAGAGAAAAAATATTATTTTTTTAAATGGTTTGAAACGTGAACAATTACTTACGTCACCTTCGGTCCCCTGAGTGGATATGTATTTCCTATAGACAATACCAATAAACGAAATTTATGTTTTCAAATGAGTTGAATAAAAAGATTTTCATGGTTGGTATATTCTGAAATAGAAAATGGGGCTCTGTGTAAGTTTTGTGTTCTGTTTTCTAATTTTGATACCGGTAAAGTTAGTTACGAAAAAACAAAAAGTTTTATGACAAAGCCATTTAAAAAATGGAAAAATGCAATAGAGAAATTTAATGATCATGAAAATTGCCAATATCATAAACTATCTAAAGAATGCGTAAAATATTTTTGTCAGTAAATTATCGAAAGCAAAAATATATGATTGAAGTTTTAAACTCTGAACAAGCCCGTCAAGCTTCGGAAAACAGAAAAAAACTATATTCAATAGTTGAAACAATTATTCTTTGTGGTAAATTTGAAATGTCTTTAAGAGGGAAAAATGATTCAGGACGTATAAATGTAGACGAAGAAGAGAACTTTACAGCATATCAAAACATATTTGCGCAACACAAATGGCGAAGATCGATTAACTGGGTTAGCTCTTCTTTCAATTCAAAAATACATTAACGTTGATCTTAATGAAACGGTGAGAAGGTTCGCTTTAGTATTTCGAAGACAAGGATTCATTCTATGATTTTTTTTATATTATCTAATATCTAATATTTATGACGACAAATTATTCAAAATGTAATTTAATATTTAATGTGTTATAAATTATTATTATTAATATACTTAATTTTAATATTGAATAATACGACACGATCTGATATACAGTGGCGTGGCGAACTTAAAAATTTTCACAAGCAAGTATATTTTGTCGACACCCACCCATGAACGTATCTGGGGGGTCCAGGTTGTCTGGACCCCCCCTCCCCGAAATTTCTTCAATATTTTACGAATGTTTAAAATATAGGTACTTATTTATTTCAATACCAACATAAATATGTTCAGTCAAAAATGACTTAAGCTCCAATTAATCATTGACTACTTTAAGTTTTATATCATATCATATGAAAATATGATATTAATTTTAATAAAAGAAGATTAAAGCTTTTTCTGTCTTATTTTTAATCAAATATCAAAAATTAAAATCTTAATTTAATAAAATTACAATATACACATTTTGGAACCTTCCCGAAAAAAATTTTTAGATACGGCTTTGCCCACCTCCCAAAAAAACTGTAAGACGGCCGCCTCTCGATTACACATATCGCCACGCCACTTCTGACATATGTATATTGTATGAACATTTTATATATGACGAATTAATATCTAGTAAAACTTATATATATATATATATATATATATATATATACACTTATATATTGAAAACGTGTTAGTAAAAATATTGACCCCCACCCCCACCACCGAAAAAAAATGTCTAGCCACGCCACTGTTTAGTGCAATTAATAAGATTAATAACAATAAGAACACGTTTTTTTGGGCGTACATTATAATAGGAAGTATGAATTCAAAATGTAAGTATTGTCGTGTGTTAAAATGGTCAAAAGAACCTTTAGGTCTTTATAGTTGAGAGGAATTTTTTTTTTATAAGACATTGCAGATCTGATACACCTGACTATTAAAGTTTCTTAAATCATTCTCATTAAAATTCAAAAAATTTTTTGTTACGACTCGTTTTTGATTTAATTCAACAGAAAGTAGGCATGAAAACTGACATATAAAGTACAAGATCAAGTTTACCATTTAACTGATTGGTTTTCTATTACCCAATTATCTAAAAGAACCAAAGTTTTTACTAACGTTCAAAATTTCAACATTCAAATTTCATGGTTAACTCAAAGAATGAGATAAAAAGACGTTGTCTGTTGCTCCTAATATCGTTAAAAAATTATTGCATGATTTACAATTAGATTTACAAATTGACGATTATAATTTTTTTTTTATTTGCCAGTAGTAATATAACCTGACATAAAGATAAGCATTTATTTTCACGGCAAAGTCGGATAATTCAGCTATTATAATATAAAAATAAAAAAGATTACTATGGTAGTTATCAGAGTTGAACAAAAATAGATAATTATTAAATTACTAAATAATTATTCAAATAAATATGTATATAATTTAAAAACATTATTATTCAAAAAAATATATCTAATTCTTATGGCCGTGAAGTTAGCATTACAATATTAGCAGAACTTTTCAAAAACATCCCAATAATGTTTAAATAGACTAGTTGAAATTATTTGGAACCCCAATTTTCAACTGTCACATGATACATTTTGTACTGCCAACTTCACACCTAGTATTACATTTTTAACTAAACTCTTCAAAAAATTTCCAACAATGTTCAAATAGACTTGGTGAACATTGTTGGATACTTGTTTCAATTTGTTAGACTACACATTATGTTTTATTTTAAAAAAGTTTTAAATTTTTTAGTCAGTTTGGGACTGTCCAATATACGTCAAATAATTATACTTGGTGTTTATTATTATTATTATTATTATTAAGAAATTTATGTACTATGTATTGATAAGTTTACCTCTGCACATAAATTATTTAAGAAAAAAAATTGAGAAATATTCATAAATACTTTAAAATATTAACTAAGTATAATTTAACTAGTATTTTTTACTTAATTGTTTTACTTTGAAAAATAAGAATATATACTAACCACAGCAGTGGATTATTATAATATAATTTTAATTTATATTCAAAAATCTATTGGATGAATATAATATTTTACTTTTCACAAAATACACGACTTTATTTTATTTTTTTAATTTGTTCTCGGACTGGTTAAAAAAATTTAAAACTGTGGTCTAACAAATTCGAACAAATGTCCAACAAGTATATTTACTGTATATTAACATATAAAATGTATATCATTATATGAAAAAATAAGTTATTTTACTTACCATCAAAACGTATATCTTCATAATGAATATCAGTTCGTTCAGCTAATTTCCGTTCTTCTTCTTCCCATTTGAGACGTAATTGTTCTCTACGCATATCTGATGAAACAAGTTCAGATGTTTCTTCAGAATTTTTGCTTTCTTGTACAAATTGTTGTGTAGTAGCCTGAATTTTTTGTTTTGATTCATATGGTAATGGTGGTTCTAATTCTTTTTCAATTCTTTGATCTCTTTTTTTGAAAAATTCCAAATCTGTTTTTAAACATCTCCGTGTACGCCCAAAAAAATCTGTATAATCTATCCTGAGGAAAATAAATTCATAATTTAGAAAATTATGAGTTTAAAGTTGTAGGAAAACATAGTGTGGTTTATGATTACACTATATATATAATAAGTGACAGTTGGATAATAATTTTACATAATACCAAATTAATAAGTCCGATGTTATATACTTTATAACACTAGACCAGCATTTCTCAAACAGTGGTCCAGGAACCTCTAGGGGTCTGCAAACGTAAATTAAAAATACACAAAGTATTATTATTTATTACTGTTTTTAATTTTGATTTGTATCATTGGTTATAGAATAGATAGTTCTATAACTATTCTAGACCAGTGGTTCCCAAGCTTTTATAATCATGGAACCCTTAAAAAATAGTATGTGTTTTGCGGAACACTAATGTCTTTAATTCCGATTTAACTCTAATTTTTCTAGAAAAAAAAAAGGGAAAATCAATACTTTAAAAAATGTTTTTAATGATACTGTTAATATTGTTTATGATGGCTCTTTATTAAAATTAGTTTATACCTCAATTATTTTTAAATAATATAAAATACTATTTTTTCCAAACATAATATAAAATAAGTTTCTCAATAATCCCATAAATATGGCGGAACGCTTAGCATTGTCTCACGGAATCCTAAGGTTCCGCGAAACATACTTTGGGAAATGCTGTTCTAAACTATTCTATAATCAATGTTTGTATTAAGAGGTCCAAGATAATTTTTATTATCCCTGAGGGGTCCGACAGGGAAACACTACACTAGACTAAAAAAATATTTTTGTAAAAAATATGTGATTTCAAGTATTTTACACAATATTTTTAATTAATCTCAATTAAGATTTACTTAACTAACTTAACTCTAATATTATTTAATTTAGAAACTCTTTTAATTGAAGAAGAGATTTTTACTGTATACAAAATCAATACTCCATTAAATTATAATTCCATTCATGTAAGTTATTTAGATAAAATTGTCATTATTGTATAACTTTCAAATTTTTATTTAATACTCGATAATTTGTTTATTTTCTAAAATGTCATTTATAAAAGTATTATACAATACCAAGGTTTATTTAATGTTACATGAAAGTAAACCACATTATAACAAAACTAATTAACAGTTATTTTGTCTAAAATATAAGATCAATAATATTTTACTTCTGAAAAAACAATTACTTGTTTATTGTAAATAATAAATAATCACATCATGTAAATGAATTATTATATAAAATTTACCAATCATCATCAGCTCCTGAATCATATTTATATGAATCTGCATCAGAATCAGATTTGTCTGGTTCTTTAACTTCTTCATTAGTTGATATTATAGGATAAGTAGTTTTATTTTCATTCACTTTTTGTTTAAAGTCAACTAAAAATGTTTTATCTTGTTCACTCACCATTTCACCTTTCACCAATTTGTCGTATAGCATTGCTTTCATAGTTAAAACATCTCTAATTAAAAAATAAAAACACAAATATCAAAATGTATTTAATAATAAATTGTATAATGAAAACTTAACACATAGAACCATTGTGTTTATAGGAAGGAAGAAAAAAATATCCATCCTTCATTGTTATATAAATAATGTAGTAAATTACCTTGATTTTTTTAAACTATTTTCCACATCTGGCTTATATTCTTCTTCTAAATCTTTAGCATTTCTTTTTTCAACACCTTCATTGGATTGAAAGAGACATGATGGTGTCTTGGCACCAGGTAGTGGACGTATAAATGTATCACCAGAAAAACTTCTTGCTTTGTTTGCTTCATCTTGCTTGCGTAGAAGTTCTGCTTTTAAACTCGTTAACTGAAATATTAATAATAAAATATTATTATTATATTGAAATGATATAAATGCACATCAATGCTTAAGGATAATGTCCATATTCTTTAGTCAGTATTGAAATCAAAATAAATAAACATAATTATAATAATGTCCGATGCATAAAGACATAAAACAAATTATTTTAACTACTCTAAAAATAATAATAAAACCAATGGTTAAAAATAATAATAATAAATTGAGGGACGTAAAAATAATTATCAAAAATACAAATGAAGCAAAGATAATAATAAATTAACTAACGATTTACCATACTCATCACACCTAAGCCTACCTCATAAAGAAAGAAACAATTCATGAAAGTTTTAAACTTTAATTTAGAAACAAACAAAAAACTAAGAAGCTTAACACACAAGAAGAACAAAGATTCAATACATATCTCACGCGTTTTAACCGAGATAAAATCAAATGCACAATACTTTTCATAAACTATATTAAACTACCTATATAAGCTAATTGCCACTTTTGAGGCTTTAACAAAAAATAATAAAAAAACAATTACAATGTATTTAATTATAAAACTACTAATTAAAATATTAAATTTACATAATTTACATATGATGAAATAAAAATTTCACAATGATATAAAAATATTATATTAATATTGATTCAAACTCATTCAATATTTTATAAAAAAAAGTTGTAATAATATTGAATTAAATATTACTTACAGATGCTTTACATATATCTAAAGATTTACTCATAATATCTGTTTATTAGGTAAATGATGTAATTATCCAAAGGGCAACAAAATAATTACATTTTTAAATTAGAAGATTTACCTATACAATTACTTTAGTAATTTAGTCATATTATTAAATTCGTTATCAGTAATAATTTAATAATAATATTTTCAATGATAACAATATTTGGATGATATTGTGCAGTCGTGTTGAATAAATGTTCTTTGCATTGAGGTGGTAGGGACCACGGTTTAATAAGTGTATATTCGTAGGGGGGGAGCTCAAAGACTAAAATTAAGAAGTAAATATTGTATATTAATACTACAGAATTAAATTAAAAGCTAACTTTTCAATAAAAATATTAAGTCAATAACTTAAATTGTATAATATAAATGATTAAATTAAAATAAACTAATAAAGATTTATATATTTGATTAAAATGAGTTATCAAAATGTCATCAAAATATGGTAATGGCTACACTGTTGTAAATATTAAAATACTTGTGTGTTAGTGTCACCATGTCGGTTAAATCTTGAATATTGTTTTGTTGGTTCTCATAATCGTATCCCGCCACCGCCGTAATTGGTAGTTTACCTTTCTTCATGTTATTTGTTAACTTATTGAATTTAACTAATTGTTAACTTTTTTTATTTATTTAGTCAAACTGTTCTCATCATGCAGGATATTAAACAAGAAATCATGAAAAACGTCGTCAATCAAATGGGATCGTTTGAATTCGAACCAACTATAGGATACGTTTGGGAGTTGTCAAGATTAAAGTCTCTGGAAAATTGGACTATGGAAAAACCTAGTGCTGAAGAAATGGCGGAAGCTGGTTTTTATTGCCCAAATCCAGATGTGCCAGATGTGGTAAAATGCTTCTCTTGTTTTATAGAATTGGATGGATGGGAACCAACTGATAAACCTTGGAATGAACACAGAAAACGAGCCTTAACACTTAACCCACCATGTAAGTTCATAGAAATAGGAAAGAAAGAAATGGATTGCTCGGTAAATGATTTCTTAGAAATTCAAAAAAGTGTTGCATTGCGAAGTTTTAAAGAAAAATGTGAAAAAAATCTCAAAACTATGTTAGCTCTTCACAAAAAGCAAAAATCATCTCTTAAAAAAGAACTTCAAAAATTGGGCGTTTCGTGAAAAAATGTCTATGAGGTTTGAATTTACTTCAAAAGTGAACATCATTTAATTTATTGTCAAACGCTTCATATTATAACATGTTTTATACTTAAGGTATTAAATGTAACTTTTATTTTTATTACTTGAAAAATAATTTATATCAAAATTGGTTTACAAATATTATGAATTTTTTGAAGAAGTATGTTTTTTATATTTTATTGATTATTTCAATAAAATAACTTAAATCTTAGCTTTTTTTAATAATTATCAATGTACTATATTATTAACAAATAATAAATATTATTATTAAATTTATTATATTAATAATTAATATTATTATATTATTAAAACAGTTTAATATAAATAATACTCATTATTTTTTTGTTCAATCATTAAAATATTTTTTTTAAAAAATATACCATGGTATTTTAACTTTTATCAATATAATTATTACTTCATCAAATTTTTTCAGAAAATCTCTGCACGAATTAAACTACTATGTAAATAAATTAATACTATTGAAATACTTAAATAAATAACTATGAAATGTTTGAAAATTAAAAATTTAATTAGAGCACTTTTAAATATCCCAAAATATAATATGCTTAAAGTTCAGCCAAAAATGTATCATATATATTCAAATACCAACTTTAAATAAAATTAAGTGATTTAAAGACATACTTTTTCTAATTTATCAACTTATTAATATCTAAACAATAATAACTTTAATCAAAGAAACCAGTCAGAGATTGGATTTTTAGAATTCCAACTATCGCTTTATTAAAGATCTACAGTAAAAAATATAAAATGCATTAATACAAGGTAGGATTGGTATATACAAATGTCTTAATATATGTATTGCATTAACTTTTTATAACTCTGTTAGTCAAACTTATTAAATTTAAATAAGAAGATAAGATAAAATATATAGATAAATAAAAATTTTAAATAAATTTTATTTTTTCAAAAATACATTGCATAACAAAACTGTTAACTTTTGTAATAGCTAACTAAAAAAAAAATATTAATCACAATGCCCATCTGCCCAACCATCTCGCCATCGTTCATTTACTTTAGAACAGTCAAACAGTGGCTTTTCTAACTTTCGATTTATCATGTTGTGTACTTCACACATCCAACGTGCAAATGATTTTTGAGAGCTGATATCTGGTGGATGATACATTAATCTAAAAATATTAATACAATATTGTTTAAATGCTAAAAAGTAAAATACTGTAAATATATTTATATAATTTTTTTTTTTATCAATAATTTGATACCATACATGTAGTTGATAGTCAACTAATACACAATGCAATAATGTTAAAAAGACATAATTTAAACAATCAAATTTCTTAGAGCATGTTTTTGCATATTTCAATATTTACCCTTTTATTTTTATTTTAAGGGCTTATTTTATGTTTTTAATTGTTTATTTTATCTTTTTGTGCATATTTCAATGTTTTTTTGTTTTATTTATTTTCTCTTAATATTTTTGAAATATTTAGAGATATTGTAATATAAATCATTTTATAAAAAATGTAGAAATTTATTATAAAAAAAATTGAAGACTACTAAAATATTAAAAAATTTAAATGGCGAAAGTGAAACAATTCAAACCAACAAAGATTTATCTCCAAATTCAATAACATATTTATTTACCTATTACTTTTGTAAATATGGAAAGATAATTTTCAAGATATAAAAATTTGTTGACTGACGCTAATTAATGGCTTTTGAAAATATAACTAAAATGAATGTCATACAATGCAATGTATATTTAGGATATATTTTTGATACTAATTGATTTTTTTATCTTAGAGATAAAAACTATCTACAAAATTATTTTAGTTATTAAATTACTTCAAACGAAGAAGAAAAAAGTATTTATAGTAGGGTTACATAATTTTAAATGTAATATTTTAATTAAATGGTCAGAAATAAATTTTTCTTGCTAAATCTCAAATACATATTTTTTTTTTTAACGCATACACTTGTACGTGTAATAGATTTTTTAGGGCACTTTGATTGGTTATTAAAGCATATTTATCCGTGCTATACTAATAATTAATTAATTTAAAGTTTTACATACAGATACAACAAATACAACCAATACTTATAAATTAATTTAGTAATTTTCTGTTGTCTGTAACCAATTTTTTTGAAGATAATCATACTTATACTAAAATAATTTTAAACTGGTTCAGTAAAATCATGAAAAATTAAGAAAACTCATACGTAACACTACTATGTTAAAAAGAGAACATCACACATACTTTTTTTTTCTACATTTTACTAACATACACAGATCTGTGTCCAGTAAAACCAATTTTATGTTGTAAACTTTTATAGAAGAGTAAACTGACCTGTTATCATCAAACTTAAAGGAATGTGTGATGATAAAAGTATTTTTTTACAACATTTTAATTTTAAATGAGTTATGAGCTTTACTAAACTGTGATATTTTACATAATCATAACTCACTTTAAAATTAAAATATTATAAAAAAAAACTTGTCATAGTATATATAATGATCTTATAAAGTTTTTCTACTGAACACGTATCTACTATGTTATACATTTATAAGATAAAGGAAATACATGTAGGTGATGTTCTTTTGAGACACATTTTATGCTGATAAAAATATATATTTTATCTGTGGTAGTTTTAATAAGTAAACTGAAATTAACAAAATCCAAATAATTAAATAGTTAAGTAAGTATACAAACATTTCAGCAAAATCATTGGCACAAATTTCACAAGGGTACACTTTTGGTAATAATCTAATAAATTGTTGAATGTTAGACTGTTCTTCTGTTGATGGTTCATCTGAGTATGTAGCTGCTATTGTATGAAGTAATTTCCATGTGCTACGGCCTAAATAACATAATTAAAATAAATTATCTATAGATTTAAAAAAAAAAATTGTAAATTAATTATTAAAATTACAACATAATATTATATAAATGTTATAATTATTTTTATTAATTATATAAATTAAGACATACCCAATTCATCTTTATCCAAAGGACAATCTTCTCGTTGGTTCTCAAGTCTTTTAGTTTCATTTACATTATTTGTAGATGATACAGGTTGAACCTATTTTAAAAGGAAGACATTTTAAATTCTATTTTTAATATAAAAATAAAATATGGAAGGATAAAAAAATTAATACTAAAATTGTGATACAAAATAAAATCTATTTAATAGACTTAAAATAATATCTTATTTCTTCCAAAATATATCAAATTCCAAATTTATTTTTTTTTTATCATGTTATAATTTGATGATAGGTATGGTGCAATAGTTATGCAATTTATGAGTTCTGTAATAAGTGGCACTAAAAGTATATTCACACTTAGCTTTATATAAAAGCAGGATATCTCAGAACAACCAATGATTATGTAAAATAATTTGAAAATATCTTAGTATCTTATATATTTTTTTAACCATAGTATTGTAATGTGCCCGTTGAATAGGCTAATTAGATTATTAAAATAAAATAACACAACAACGATTTGAATTACAATATAATACTTTAATGATTTCTATACAAGTATGGACTTCAGATCTCCACATACGGATTATCTTAGTTTTTAACAAGAACAAAATAAAAAGTGAGGTCCCGAGTAATATATCAGTTATTTTTATATACTAATATTTTATTAACTAATCAGTACAATCCATATTATTTGATTAGTTGCGTAATGCCATTAATCTATTACAAAGTTGATTTCTATTATTATACAATCTACATATAATATTCATAATTAATACAATCTTTAACATTACATATATCACGTGATAGTATCGTCGTTTCAAAGTTAAAAACAAAAAAAATTATTTTCTTTATTTATCCTACTAAGAATTTCTGAAATATCTGTTATACATATAGCTAATATAACTACCAATTTAAACATACAATTATTTAATTATCTCATTAAGGATTCTATGAATAAAAATTTTAATTTTTTATTTATTTATTCATATGGCTTTAATTCACAGTTAAATTTACAAAGATTATGAGTTAAATCATAAATCACATAGAAAAAAAATACATAACATAGGCGTCAATTTAAATGTCTATGTCCTGGAATTGAACAATAAAAAGAGATTTGGATTGATTGTAATTCATTGGTACCATTTATGCCAAATTTTAAAATACATATTTAAAAACGAATGGGTATTTCAATGCCACATGAGTATAGATATTGAAAATACATAATCAGGTATTATTGAAATATTTTATTATAAATACATAGTTCAACATTTAGTTAAAATACTTAGTAATATATATTATGTCAACATTAATCCTTATCTACATTAAAGATATATTTAGCAAAAGAATAATAATTACATTTTCAAATACATTTAAGATACTTTTTAACGATCATAAATACAATATATAAGAAAAGTAGAAATATAAAATAATTAAATACCTGCGTTTGACTAAATTCTTGACGTCTAATACGACTGAATGTCCGAAAATCTGTACATGAACGACATGGTTCAGCTGTTTGTGTATGCTCAATCAATTGTGTATTAACATCATTAATAGGTTTTTCATTTTCATTTTTTATTTTAAATATATTATGTTTAAATGTGTTAATGAAAACTTGATACGAATTATATGCGTTGTATATGATTGACATAGTGATGAGAGAAAATAACAATAACAGTGATTTATAACCAGTTGGGGACAGTTGTCCGAAAAATGATAAGGATCGGATCGAAAGACGGCGATATAAATTGTGTTGCCAACATAAAATTTAAAAAAATTATATTATAAAATAATTTTTTTGTTTAAAAAGTTATACCGTTTCACATGAATGATAATTATTATATTTTTTGATAATAATAACATAATTAGTTACATTATAAAATAAACATAGGTATCATTTATATGAAATAATTATAATTTTTTGATTACTTATTTTTAAGTTCATATCTAAAACTAAAACATGTAATATTTTATAATAGTACATAGAAAATTAAAAAAATTTTGAAAAACATATATATTTTACGAAAGGTTTACATACAATTAAATATAAAGCTATAAATAATATATATAATAATATAATATAATATATATAATATTAAGCTTATATTATATTATAAGCTATAAATATGTATATATATATATATTTTATAGATATTTATAAACATACATGATACATTACATAGATTTATAACATGGTTATGTTTTTTAGATGGATATTAAGAAGAATTGCTAGAACAGAAAAGCATTGCCCTTCTCTAATTACTAAAATGATACAAGTCAACATTTTAGCGAGAGAGCAGGCGTGTAATAAATGCCGGGAGAAAAGGCATATTTCTAAAGATTGCTCCGGACTGATGAAGAGGAAATGCTTCAGGTGTAAGAAGATGGGGCACCTTAGGTAACTTTAAAATAAAGGCCGATGAGAGCAGAAAAGAGATACGGATGGAAGTCTTAACTCCGTCAGAGCTATCTCAAACGTAATGATGCGAATACTTTTAATGAAGCAAGTGGAAAAAGAAATAAAGGCAGACATGATGGTGGTAAGCGAACCATACAGACTGAAACGAAGGAGAGGAAAATGCGTGGTACCCACATTCGACAGGAAGAGCAGCGGTTGTGATAACGGATAGCATTTCGGTGGAAAATACGGGTCAACCAGTCTGAGGTTTCAGGTGGGCGGAATTCACGGATATTCGGCTGTACAGCTGTTACTGGCCCCCACATTCCAGTTCGAGCTTAGCCGAATTTTCGGATTTTTTAAATAGATAAGAGACGAGTATCATGGGATCAAAGATGTCGGTGATCGCTGCGGGGATTTTTAACGCCAAATCCGGTTTTTGGGGTAGTAACCAAGAGGATGCCCGCGGCGTGCTACTTACCAACCTTATGTCGACACGTAATATGACCGTGTGTAACCAAGGGAACAACCCGACTTTTGTGAGAGGACATTCATAAACACACATTGACATAACCTTTGCCTCAAGTAGTATAGTTAACAGGATCAACAATTGACGAGTCCTAGAAGAGGAGTCACTTAGTTTCCACAAATACATAGTGTTTGAGGTATTATCCACACCGAGTAAGACAGTGCACCATAAAAATGATCCTAGAGTTGGAGGAAACTGAATGAAGTCAAGCTGCGGAAATTCATAGAAAAAACTACAGTACCACCTACAGATCACGCACAGACCGGGGCCGAAGCACTATCCAAGTACCTGGAATAGCTTGCGATAGCAGCATGCCGAAAGAAAATTACCGAGGAAATAAGAAGTAAATGCACTAGTGGACGAACGAAATATCAGACTTGAGAAAGAAATGTTTAAGCGAACGCAGGAAGCTCAAACGGGCAAATAGAAGAAGAGGCAACGATCCTAATAGTACGGAACTTTTAAACTACAGGGAGTCGCAGAAGGCACTCAAGATTGAGATAGAGAGGAGCAAGAATAAAAGCTGGTAAGCACTTTGCAAGCAAGCAGACGTGGACCCTTGGGAACTACCATATAAAATTGTCACCAAAAAGTTAATTGGCAAGAAACCGATACCAAGTATCACAGTTCCAGGACGTATGCAAAGAATAGTAGAGGAGCTATTTCCCAAAAAAAAGCAATAATATATGGCATACACAACGAGGAAAATTGACATTCCCAAAAGTCACACTGTCGGAAATCAAAGAATGCGCCAAAAAAATACCTTCAGGAAAAGCTCCTGGCTCGGATGGTATACCGGATATCATCGTCAAAAAGGTAGCGGTGGAAAGGCCAACTGCACTGTGTAAAGCCTATAATTCGTGCTTTGAAGAGACGTACTTTCAAGAGGCTTGGAATGTGTCAAAATTGGTTCTTTTGCGGAAAAGTAATATGCTGTTAGAACTGCCGAGCTCGTATAGACCAATCTGCTTGCTAAACATGGTAAGAGAGTTCTTTGAGAGAATAATCAAGAAGAGAATCAAGAAAAATCTGTCATCCACGGAAGGCCTGAATGACAAACAGTACGGCTTCCGCAGTGGGAGGTCTACAATAGATGCTACTTCGAAGGCCAAGGAGACAGTCGAAAAAGCGTCTTCTAGTCCCCTACGCAAAAAGGAACTGTGTATGTTGGTGGTTCTGGACGTCAATGAATGCTAATGCATTTAACTCGGCCAATTGGGAGGTCAAAAACAAAGCATTACGGAACAAAGGAGTCCCGGAGTATTTATTACATATTTTACGAAGCTATCTGAATAATAGAAATTTAATATACGGCGAAGATAACGTATAGGGTACCATAGGGATCGGTTCTCGGACTGACCCTATGGAGTATTATGTAAGATTTCTTAAACATGAACCTTGACACAAACCTGCTAGGTCTACCGGGAAATTCATCGGCCTCCCTAATAGCATTCCCTGATGATGTGGCACTTATTGTAACTGGACAAACGACTGAGATTTCAGAAGAAAGGACTAACGAGGCGTTGGAAAAGGTGTCGGCATGGATGAAGGAGAACGACCTAAGATTAGCTGCTGAGAAAACAGAATGCGTGGTTCTGACCAAAAAGAGAGATTACAGAAAACCAGTGTTTAAAATCAATAACATAAGGGTGGAATTGAAGGAAAAGTATTGTATATTAATTAGTATTTGGGTATCGAGCTCAGTAAAAAACTCGGGTATAGAATCCATATAGATCTGCAATGGTTAGGGCAGGGAAAACAGCTAATGCCTTAGAAAGGATTTTACCAAACATGAGAGGAGCTAGACAGGACAAAAGGAAAATAATAGCATCTACTATCCAAAACCAGCTACTCTACGGAGCGCCGTTATGGGCAGGAGTTCTAAAATTCCAGAATAATATAAATTCGCTACTAGAGCCACAGAGAAAAATTGCTTTATGCATAGCAATGGCATATCGGATGGTATCGACGCCAGCAATACTGGTGGTGGCAGGGACAATTCCGGCACACTTCATGGCTAAGGAAAGACAGGAAGAATACAGACGAATCCAAAGCGGCATAGAAGTAAATAAGGATGTATTACGGGAAGGTAGTAGAGGGAATGGCAAAAAGAATGGAACGAGTCAGAGAAGGGAAGATGGACGAGAAGACTCATTAAGGATGTAAATAAATGAACAAATTAAGGCTTTGGAAATGTAGACTTCCATCTAACCCAAATACAGACCGGGCACGGATGCTTCGGACCCTACCTAAACAAATACAAAGTTCGTGCAAGTTCAGAATGCGTAGATTATTAAGCCCCGGTCGATAATGCGGAACACACGTTTTTCGGATGTGATAGATGGTAGCGAGATAGGAGGAACCTTGAAGTCAATGTAAGAAGCGATATCAGAGCGGAATCAATAATACCAATCATGTTGCAGTCCAAGAAGAATTAGCAGGCGGTGAAAACATTCGTCGCGCAAATCTTTGGTACGAAAGAAGAAGAAGAGAAGCAAGCGGAAAGAATGTTGAATACGATTATAACAGTTTAGTTATATAAGTATAATAATGTGCACCGAAGGTGAAAACAGAAGGCATAGAGCCCTTCAATATTTGTTAACCTTAACTATTGTTGATGTTTTTCTTTAATAAAGGATGTGGATAGATTAGAGGGAAGGTTCACGACTCGGTTGAGTGCGGTTTCCCTCTAATTCTAGCACTATGATTTACAACAAAAAAAAAAAAAAGAAAGAACCAGAACAGCCTAACCCACAAAAGTGTAATTGTGCAGAACGGGCATTTCAAGTTTGGATTATTTTTCATTTTCTTTTTCGTATTAGGCATAACCACATTACTAACATAGGGTTGGGCCACTTTGGTTCTAAAATTATACATTATGTTAAGAACCCCTCCTTCTTTCCTAAATACATAAATGCAACATACGTCAGTCGACCACATTTATATCAATAACTAAATTTAATACTGTGTCTTTATTATAACTTAGTATGTATAAATAGTTCGATAGTTGTTGTGTTTTTTTTTTTGTGTCAACCATTCCTGTTAACAAACATATTTATGTCCGCTGGAACTAACCAACGGGACATAACAATTGGTGGCATTGGTGCGATCCAGGAATTTTTTTTTCTCAACCTAACACATCAACCATCTCGGAACTCGATTCATTAGACAGTCTATACGTTCAACGAATTCAGTACACGTTAGAACGTCAATATACGTAAGTATTACTACAAGCGTGTCTATACACATTTATACTGTACAATAGTATATTGTGTCGCGTCTACAATAGTGTGGCACATTCCAATTACACACAAATAAAACGTTGTGTCAGCAAATCATTCACACACTTGGAGGCGTTTTAAAAAATTGTCGAGCACTATCCGCGCTCGTACATAACAACTCCCTAAGTGGTGCTATTACGAGTGACACTGACCGACTGTCGTTACAGCGTCAGCATGATTCAATCAGGACGAAATATATATACTGTTATTGTTCGATCGTGCAGGACAGGGAAATAACGGGTGATGACAACTTAATTTATTCCAGGTATATATAAATTAAATTTAAATAATAATAATAAGGATAAATGTGGGCGCCCAGTTGTACATACAAAATGTATAAAGTATTTTATAACAATTATAAGACGCCTTGTCGGCAATAACACAACATGATACTAACAAAATAATTATAATAATAAAAATCACGGCGGTCCAATAATAATAATTAATAAATAACGTAAACGTTGTTAAAAGCTACATCTACCTCGATCGGTCTGGTGCTCAGATGGCTGCGCCCATGCAAACGTGCTAAAAGCACGTGCGACGAACACCAAGACTGCCTGATGTCTTCGTCGACGGTGAGCAGGAGGTTAGGTGAATTGTTCTCCAGCGATCGAATGTCCGGACAGCAAGGCACGAAACCACAAAAATGACTATGAACGGACGGCTCACAGTTCCGCACCACACGATCGCACCCGAGTCGGCAGACCAATAAACAAAAACGCTGGCGATACAGCAGAAATAATAATAATGAAAAAAAACACGTCTGCACGCAACGAAAACTGGAATTGACGCTACAAGAAAACGATCGTCACAGGAAGCACAAGGCAACCACACACACCCGTTGTGTCATCGACGACGTACATGAACGAAGAGAGAGCCGGCAATTTCCGCGTGCGGGAATCAGAAGCGAAACACGCGCCACAAGAGCCGCGCTCGTTGGCCGAACCGGTCCTCTTTGACGGAGCATGAGGGGGAGGGCGCGCCACGAAACTTCTCGAAGCTTCGGGAAGTTCATAGCGCAAATGACACGCGGTTGGCGCGCATTTTAAAGAAAAATCGCGGTGCTGTGTCGCACGAACAGTTTTATATACAATCAGTGTATCGTATAATATATATGGTATAAACACACTATCACACTGTATGCATAGTGTATCATATAATATACTATAAAACCCAAAATTTATTGTGGACTCCGCGCCAGCAGTTTCGGAGCTGAGAACGTCAGCGAAGATACGTGAAGACGTCGTGAGAATCACTTTGAGTCAATTCACATAGGGAGTCAGCGCAATCAACAAACACTGAACATTCATCGACACTCAACCAACAGTTCATGATGACTGGCTACATTGTGCTAATCTCCGCACTACTATAAGATTTTTATTTCTTTTTCTCCTTTTATTATATACATATAGATTTAAACAGTAGCATTTATTACACTAAGACATATTATAATGTTACATGTAAACTAAAAATTACATCGTTCTCTGTTAAAATAAGAGTATAAATCAACTAGATAGGTTTGTTATAAAAAAAAAAAAAAAGGAAAAAGAAAATATTGTAAACGTACTGCTACTGTTGCCTTTGCAATGGGAGTACAGTCATGAGTGACGGAAAGAGAATGGAATGCGCGGACGACTGTTGAGCGAAGAGTGCATTGTCGTTATATTTATTTATTTTTTTATGTCGTTTTGGTGATTTAAGTTTATATGTATATTCTATTGAATAAATGTTTATTAATTTTTTATGTAATACTAAGTGTTAATTCTTGTGCGTTTTCTTTGCGTAAAAGATAGAATTTCATATAATATACAACATTTCAGAAGTGGGATGCGAAATTACGTTCGTGTTCGCGTGGTTTGATATTTGTCGTGTTTGCGTGTGCGACGTGCGTAGTGTTTAGGTTAGAATTGTGTAACAATTCGAAACAAATTTGCGCTGCATTATTAAGTTATATTCATATTACCGAACCTGAACTGTTGACAGATATTCGAATGTTTGCGGAAGTTGATCAAAACAGAAGTGAACTATTCCGGCCGGTTACGTCACAGGGCCGACGTGTCATTAACTATATGTAATGTTAATACTGATAAGTGATAACTGATATTATATACTAATGTATTTTTTAAGGTTAATTTATATATAGAATACCTAGTAACTGTATATTTAATGGTATTTTGTAATATGTATTAAATGTAATTAATAAATGATTAATTAATAAATAAATAAAGTAATACATGGCGCAGACGGTAGGATGTTTTCAAATTAAATAAATATCATTATAATTAATAAATAAATATATAAATAATAATAATAAAATAAAAACGGTAACACGTGGCCGGGGCAAGACAGTATGGCAGAAAACTTAAGTTTACCAACTTCTTTTGACCTGACTGGAAGCAATGTAGCAGAGAAATGGAAATCGTTTAAACAAAGGTTTGATATTTACTTAATGGCATCCGACCAACAAAAATGTGAAGAAAAACGAAAAATTGCTCTAATGTTACACTGTCTTGGTCCTGAAATTTTACCTATTTATAATAGTTTCGAATTTAAGAAAACTAATGATGCAGCTAATTACGATACAGTTATTAGTAAATTCGATGAATATTTTATTCCAAAACAGAACATAGTATACGACCAACACATGTTCTTTACAAGGGATCAGAATGCTTGTGAAAGCATTGATGAATATGTAAAAGAACTCAGATTATTAGCATCGTCGTGTGAGTTTGGGAAACTGGTGGATACATTGATTAGAGGACGACTTATTTGCGGCATGATAAAATTTCATATAATATATAACAAGTTATGCTAAATCCCGTAGGAAAATCAACCGACTCAAGTAAAGACAATTCCGATAATTTACCCAATAGACCTGTAACTCGATCAATAACAAGACATAAATTAGAAATTTTAGAAAATAACACAAACAATCTAAACAAATCTGAATATTTAATCAATTTTGAAAACTAAAGTATGGCTGAAGGAAAATTATCGTTGGAAACTTTAATAAAGTTAATCCCGTCTTTCGAATGGAATATAGAGGGGGGGGGGAATCCACCGCTTCTTAAATGCATATGATTTTGCTGTACGAAGAGTAGATCTTTCCCTCAAATCAGTGTTAATTCAAGCCATAAAAACAAAATTAGGTGGTTAAGCATTCGCTATAACTCAAAATCGTGTTATCATCGATTGGCCAGGTCTCAGGACACTTCTTGAAAACTCGTTCTGGGCACAACGGACTCCAAGTTATCTTCAACATGAACTACATTCATTAAAACAAAAATCGGGTGAAACTGTACAAGATTACACAAATAATTTGGAAAATCTACAGCACGAACTATGCAATGTAAGCGTAGTAGGTAAGAATGCTGAGGCCGCGACAGCATTTCGCGAATACATCAAAGAAACGACACTCACCACGTTCATCGAGGGTCTTGAACCAAATTTGAGGTAAATCATCAAATCAAGACACCATACATCCTTAGAAGAAGCTATTAACGACAACCTAGAAGAGGAAAAACTCATTAAATCCACTGCAGATACGCAACGCTTATTTCAAAACAAACAAGAAAAGAACTGGACAACAAAATACAGTACAGTATGTCATAAACAAAACCATAATACATATCAGTGTAAATTTGCGAAACCAAACTCCAATTCTAAGGACACGGGCCAAAGTAGTTATTCGCAACAAACCAACAACACATCAGTAAATAAAATCTCATGCACATATTGCAAAGCGAAAGGTAATATAAGGGAAGATTGCTTTAAAAAGAGCTGATAACCGTCAATTCGACAAAGTTCAACCTTCAACATCGGGAAACGGTGCACGACAGGACACACAATCGGTCAAGGATATAAACACAATGGGTCCTATCAAAAATATATGTATCGAATCACAAAACTAAAAAAAAGACACATCATGTGTACTTCACTACAGTGTACCGAGGATCAGATTAAACTGTTAGTGGATACTGGGGCCGAACTTAATATAATCAAAATCAATTCATTAAAGGATGATATATTAATCGATACGAATAAAAAACAACAACTACAAGGCATAACAAACGGAATAACCCATACAATTGGATCAACGTGGTTAGATGTACTTGTAGAAAAAAATAATATTAAAGTAAAATTTTTTGTTATGGATTCAGATTTTCCGATACCGGGAGATGGCATCTTGGGGGAACCTTTTCTAATGGAAAACCGAGCTGTCATTGATGTAGGTCAAGGAGAATTATCATTGCCAGACAAATCTACTATGGAATTACCCGCACGTTGCGAAACGGTCGTTCCCATATTCGTCAACAATCCCGACATGAAATCTAAAGGAATTATAATTCATGCACAACCAATAACAGATAATGTAAGCTGTGGTAACGTGCTAAACAACATCGTAAATCAACAGTTACTTATAAGTGTCATCAACACTTCAGATGAGATCTGTACAATAAAGGTACCAAACCTAGAAGAACTTACATATGAAACACTAAACGAAGCCTCTATCAAACATGTTTCCGGAACAAAAGAAATCGTCGTAAATTAATATGACCGAATTACACAAATAAATGAAACATAACGCACGGAACATTTATCACAGAAGAACGAGAAGCTATTCAGAATCTATGTCACGAATACTCTGACGTGTTTCATTTAGAAGGAGACAAAATATCATGCACCAATGCAGTGTATTACGAAATTAAAACGCCTGGAGTAACACAACCTATTCTTCGAAAACCGTACGAGCTCCCTTACTCTCAAAAGGAAGAAATAAGTAAACAAGTAAAGGAGATGCAAAGAAACGGAATAATTAAGCCAAGCGATAGTCCTTGGAATGCCCCACTACTAGTAGTACCAAAAAAAGAAGACGCATCTGGTGCTAAAAAATATAGAGTAGTGGTGGATTTTCGTAAGTTAAACAACGTTACGGTGGGGGATGCTTTCCCTATGCCAAATGTTACAGAAATCCTAGACCAATTAGGAAAGACTAAGTATTTCATTTGTCTGGATATGGTAAGTGGATATGATCAAATTCCTTTGCAGGCAATAGACAGACAAAAAACGGGCTTTAGCACATACCAGGGTCATTTCGAGTTTGAAAGAATGTGTTTTGGATTGAAAGGAGCACCAACTACTTTTCAACGAATGATGAATCGTGTACTCGTAGGTCTGAACGGTATTAAAGCATTCGTATATCTGGACGATGTCATTATAATTGGAACATCTTTAGAAGATCACCTAAAACAACTGAAAGAAGTATTCGATCGATTGAGGAAGTACAATCTAAAGTTGCAACCGTTCAAGTGCGAGTTCTTGAGGAAGGAAGTCGTTTATCTGGGACATATCATAACAGATAAAGGCGTTAAACTAGACCCGAAAACCACCGAATGTATAGTTAACTTCCAGACCCCGAAAAATCAAAAAGATGTCAAGTCATTTCTTGGTTTAGCCGGTTACTACAGAAGATTCATCAAAAGTTTTAGCCAAATAGCGAAATCCTTTGCTAATCTATTGAAGAAAGATACTGAGTTCATATGGAATGATTTATATCAAAATGCGTCCGTAGAACTGAAACAATTATTGGTGAGTGAACCCATACTACAATACCCAGAATTTTCTTGACCCTTCATCGTCACGACAGACGCCAGCAATGTGGCCATAGGTACTATATTATCCCAGGGCAACATAGGAAGTGACTTACCTATAGCCTACATATCACGCACATTGAATAAAGCTGAGAAAAATTATAACACCACAGAAAAAGAACTATTAGCAATCGTCTGGGCAAATAAACAATTCCGTCCTTATCTATTTGGGCGACGGTTCACTGATCACAAACCATTAACATGGCTGTTTAATGTTAAGAATCCTGAAGCTCGTTTAAGATGGCGTCTACAACTGGAAGAACACGAGTATGACATAGTGTACAAACCAGGAACAGCTAATACTAACTCCGACGCGTTAAGTCGTATCGTACATATAAATTAAATAACAAGTAGTTTTATCATTTTTTTCTCTACTTTAATTATAACTTTGTTCATCTTAAATACCGGCTGCATGCTTAATTTTGTTTTTTTTTTTTCGTGTATTTTTGTAATCAAAGATAACTTTTAATACGTACATAACAGCTAATAATTCTGGCAATACTGTAAAGCAGTGGTTCCCAATTGGTGGTCAGCAAACCACCGGTGGTCCGTGGACTTATCTCAAGTGGTTCGCGACGTTAAAGAATGTTTTTCAATATTATCAATCTTATAATTTTAAAATTTTTAAAAAATGAGCAAAATTGTAATTTATATTATTTACAGCTAGTGTACATAATTTTTCCATCATAATGTTAGTGGTAGACTGCCAGATATACTTATGCAATCAATAACAATTTATATTTTTTTTTTTTTTTTTTTAAGTACGTGTATATCAGCCGACTGATACACACGTGTATTCCCGGTCTACGTTAATCGCATTTTTAGTTTCCGATAGCAGTATACGTGAACGCCCCAATCGATAAGGTATGTTGTTTTATTTCGGCCCCCCCCCTAGTCTCAGCAACAACATCTCACACCCATCTCTCACGATGGATGACATAAATTCAAACTCCAACTTAACTACACCTTCAGTACTAAAATCCAATACTCAAATAACTTTCGCAGAAACAACCGCTTATGTCCAATTTCCAAAAAAAGATCAAGCAGTAATATTTAATACCATTGAAGACATACCCCAAATCGAATATATAAAAGCATTTAGTCAACTTACTAATCCTAACAATATTAAATTTGCTTCACGCATATCAAACAATCGTTTTTGTATCTATTTTGCAAACAAAAATATCGTAGAACAGATTATCACCAAACAGCCGTACATTATTATAAATAATAAGGAGATAGCCTTTCGCCGTCTTATCAACCAAGCCAAATGTGTAATTGTGTCCAATGTACAACCGGTCATACCGCACGACGTAATTACTAATGCATTCAACAATTTATCAATTAAAATAATTACACCGATAACATTCATGAAAGCAGGCTTCGCTAATGATGAATTTAATCACATAGGAAGTTTTCGACGTCAACTTTATATTCATCCTGATGACATTAATAAAATGCCCAGTTAAATTCTAATCAATTTTGAACAAACAGATTATCGCATCTTTCTCTCGGATGACACAGTGATGTGTTATCTCTGTAAACAAACGGGCCACACATCTAATTATTGCAAAAAGGAATTTGTAAATAAATCCCAAGCCATGCTCGATGAAAACCCGAATCATATCTCCAATAATATGAACACAGATAATAGTATGCAAATCGACTCAAATTCAAACATTGAATCTCAAACAACCCTTTACAACAACTCGATTCCTATCTCTAACATTACTGAAACAGATAATAATGTTCTAATAGAAGTACAAATAGTGTGGATAAGCAAATGGAAACCAACATCAAAAACTTTTCCGAACAAACATCCAACAATCCTCCCTCCACTCTAAAACCATCCCAGACACCAAAAAGACCAGCCTCATCTACCTCCAGCATCTCCCCCTCTATTAATCCATCAAACGTTAATAACCAAACTAATAGTTCTCTCAAATCAACACGCAAATTCAATAATCAAAGAAGGTAACACTCACAAATAAACTACTAGATTCCGCGAAAACCACCCAACCACAACAAAAAAAACCAAAACGATCAAATTCATTGGAACAGATCATATTAAAGTTGGATCAATCACTTGAACCAACAAAAATCGTATTTGAAACAATACCAAATTTAAAAATAAACTTCAACCAACTAAAATTTATCATCGAAAACTCAATAGGTGTACCCAACCCTATGAGTATCATACAACCCTTTAACTTATCACCCAAGGAAATGATGAAAATCATTGACACAATTATGCAGAATATAAACTTAAACAAATTCCACATCATTCAATGGAATCCAAATGGATTTTATTCAAAAATCGATGAAATTAAACTATTACTCAACAAATTCTCTCCAATAGCACTGTGCATCCAAGAAACAAATTTCAACAACAACAAATCAATACGTTTAAATAATTATTCAAGCTATATTAAAAACAGAAACCACGCAGGAAGGGCCAGCGGTGGAGTTGCCATTTTTATAAACAATACTGTCCCTTCGAAAGAAATTCCCATAACGTCACATCTCGAGGTAATAGCTGTAAACATTACAGCTAAAAGCAAATTAACCATTTGCAATATTTACTTACCTAACTCTCATGACTTCAACGCTTTAGATATCCAAAATATTATTGATCAACTACCCACCCCATTTATCGTCCTGGGTGACTTCAATAGCCACAACACTCTTTGGGGTTGTAATGACACCTATCCAAAAGGAACCAAAATTGAAACAATTCTTAATACCAATAACATCAACATTCTCAATAACGGCCAAGCAACAAGAGTGAACTCCAGTAATGGCAACCTTTCCGCTATTGATCTATCTTTCTCCTCTGCAACAATATCACCCAATTTAGAATGGGACGTTATTCCGGAGCTTTCTAGTAGTGATCACTTCTCAATTAAAATAACCGTATGTTATACCAACCCATATGAAATACACACCCGTAACCCTAAATGGAATTTATCAAATGCTGATTGGAACAAGTTCCAAACGGAAATCGAAAAAAATCTAATAAATTCATTTTTTCCTAATGAAAATACTGTTGATGAAAATATTGAACAATTTAGTAAACTAATTTATGATACAGCCGCAAATAATTTTGGACAACATAGCTACTCTGGAAAACGCCCCCCGGTCCCTTGGTGGAATAAAGATATTAAACACGCTATAAGAAATAAAAAAACATCGTTTAATAAATACAAACGCACTAAACAAATCCAGGACTTTATTGATTTCAAAAAAAACAAAGCACAAGTAAGATTTTTAATCAAAAATGAAAAAAAAAAAATCATGGATACATTTCACCTCAACACTAAATTCCAAAGAGTCAGCTACGAAAATTTGGAACAAAGTTAAAATCATAAAAGGGATCCCATCGGTACAAATTAAAACCATTTTAACAGACAATGCAATTCATACCGACCCTCATACAATAGCTCAGTCAATTGGGCATCACTTCTATTCAAATAGTAGCAATGCCAACTTCAATTCTGACTTCCTAAAATATAAACAAGAAACAGAAACTAATAATTCTCCTTTCAAATATAAGAACCAAAGCTTAGGAGACATTCTAAATGAACCGATAACATTAAGTGAACTAAATACAGGTCTACTAAGTAAAAAGAGCAACAGTTGTGGTTCTGACAAAATACCTTTTATATTTTTACAAAACCTCCCCCCAAGTGGCAACCTTCTACTACTTAAACTATTCAACCAGATCTGGCGATTGGGGATATTACCAATCAAATGGAAAAATGCTATTATAACCCCTATACCCAAAAAAAACAATGATAGATTCAAACTAACCGATTACCGACCAATTTCTGTCCTGTGTAGCATGAGTAAACTATTAGAGAAAATAGTATACAACAGACTATATTGGTTTGCGAATAAACATAATCTTCTATCACCTTTCCAACATAGATTCAGAAAGCACCATGCCACCACTGACTGCCACGTAAAAATAGAATCAGAAATACTGGAGACATTTGCTAATAAACAAATAATGATTCTTATAAGCTTAGATTTACAAAAAGCTTATGACACTGTTTGACGTTACAGAGTAATCGAATTGCTGAAAAAATGGAATATTCACGGTAATATGATAAAATACCTAACTAACTTCCTAAGCCAAAGAACCTTTCAATTAAAAATCAGGGATTACACCTCTAATACCTTTGTACTAGAAAATGGAGTACCTCAAGGATCTCCGCTCAGTGTTTTCCTATTTCAAACTGCCATCAACAATCTCCCCGACTTCATACCCAAACCAATTCAATCAATTATTTTTGCTGACGATACACACATCTTCGTTAGAGGGAATTCAATCTCTTCAATAACTAAAGTACTACAAGACTGCCTCAATGAAGTGTCAAAATAGTGCCATAATTCAGGCTTTATTTTTTCTCCACACAAAACCAAATGTATCCTTTTTTCCAAAAAAAGAAACGTAACCATACCCAAAATCTACTTAAATTCCATCTGCTTGCCTTTTACTGAAAACATCACTATTCTTGGCCTTACCTTCGATTCTAAATTAACATGGAAACCTCACATTTTGAAAACCAAAAAATCAGCCTACAAAAACCTAAGAGTAATTAAAACACTTAGTCATCTAGAATGGGGTGCCGAGTATTCCATTTTATTAAATTTATATAGAACACTAGTTAGATCAAAACTAGACTACGGCTCAATCTGCTATGGAAATTCTAATTGTAATTTATCCAAAATTCTTGACCCAGTCCATAACACCGGTATAAGATGTGCAATTGGAGCCTTCAGAAGTAGCCCTATCTCCAGCCTATTAGCCATCACTGGGGAGCCTCCACTTCAATATCGCAGACTAAGACTATCACTCAAATATATAACCAGAATTTTGTCCACTCCTGATAATTCAACTATTCATTATCTAAATATAAGCCAATCTCCATCTGTATATGATTTAAACACAAATCTCAGAAAACCACTAAGCATAAGATTTCGTAAAGAAATGTCCGACAACAATATCTCCCCAAACACAATCCTTCAATATGAGACCTGTCTTACTCCCCCATGGAGTTTAAATCAATACGAAATTGATACCAGTTTTAGTACCCATGTAAAAAAAGAAACACCCGAAATAGTCTATCGGAGCTTATTTAATGAACTAATTCATACGGATACGGATAACCATAATAATACACAAATCTATACAGATGCATCCAAAACTTCAACAGGCATAGGTCTGGCAGTTATACATAAAAGTTCTACTCAAGTATTCCAATTAAATAGTTATAGCAGTATTTATACGGCTGAATACATAGCACTCTTAAAAGTTGTTCAAACAGCTGTTAATACAAATTATGAAAGAATCCACATTTTTTCCGACTCACTCAGTGTCCTGTCAAATATAAAATATAATACTCAGATCAATCCCTTAGTCACAAAGATAAAAAATATAATACATTTATCCAATAAATACATACGTTTCATATGGACTCCGGGTCACTGCAATATCAGAGGAAACGAAGAAGCTGACAAAGCAGCCCGAAATGCTATAAGTAACCCCAACTATTTAACACTTTCTCTTATGTCTCCAGCTGATATAATCAGAAACGTCGACAAATACTGCATGCAATTATGGGACTCAGATTGGCGTCAAGTTACCGATAACAAATTAAGAGAAATCAAACACTCAGTCGAACCTTGGCCAAAACTCAATTTTCCAAATCGAAAAGAAAATGTTATCATTAAACGACTTAGAATTGGCCACACGAGAGTAACTCATGGATACCTAATGGAAAAGACCGAACCTCCTATATGCCGCTCTTGCAATTCTCCCATGACAGTCAAACATATCATTATCCACTGCCAAATTTTCACGGAAGCCAGAAAAGAATGCAAAATACCTGACAATCTTTATGAAGCTATAGGACCTTACGCAGACATACCAAAAATAATCTCTTTTGTTAAAAAAATTGAAATGTACAACTTAATTTAACTAATTTATATAATTTATTTTGTACTATGTATTTTTATATTTTCTCTTTTTCCCCTTAAACACCATTGTAAAAACCCCCTTATGTACATAACTATATAATCTTGTAAGCTAATAACCATGATGTTGATGCTGTTACAATAATAAAAAAAAAATTTATATTTTATACAATTACATATATAAATAACATATGAATATTTTGAGAAATAATTATCTTATTTTATTATGCACATATTAATTATGAACTATAAAAGAAAAAATAAATGATATAGGGAGGGGGATAATAGTAAGTAAATAAGTAAAGGTCCGTGCCTAGTATTGAGTTGGAAATCACTACAAAAGCAAAAAAAAAGCTCTATAAAGCAAAAGGAAATAAAAAATAAAATCACTGGTTATTCAAGTGTTAAAAATCACAATATAAATTTTGGAAATAAAAATAATTGTTTGTAGACAACCTAAGGTTAAGTTATTTTTGTAAATATTTTAATAATAGTATAAGTACCTAATTCCTATATTAAGCATATATACTTGCTACATAAATTAACAAGGTTAGGTCGCCCCTACCGCCCTCCCCTGGATCCGCGCCTGGTGTAGTATAGCTATACTGTGCCGACCCTAGCTTTATTACTCATTATAAAATATATATATTTATAGATTTTATTTGTTATTTTATGGGTAATTTTGAAATAACTATTAAATTTGTAGGTCAGGTTATATTTTTATAGCATATTTTCTGAAATTTCTGGAGACAGGAGGAGGTTAATACCTAATTTTTTCATGCGTTCGTGCCTATGGCATGATGTGCCTAACACATTAGTCTACTAGTTTACATGGAATCATAAAAATTCTTTTATAGATATGGCATGATTTTGAAAGAATATGTTGCTTTGGATAATGAAACTAACAGTAATGAGAAACACAGAAAAAGAAAAGAGACATCCATTTGAAGTAATCTCAAGAAACACTATCTTCTATTAAAGCATCCAGCCTTGTACTCAATATCTGTCATTCATATTACTTATTACAGACTATATATATATTGTTTTACTTTTTTTTTTTTTTTAATAAATGTAGCATCTAAAATGAACTAAGAATTTGTCTTACTAAAAATTAAAATGTTACGAATATGCATATAACAATAACTTAAATAAGATTTGAAAAGCTTAAAATATAAATAAAGTGGATGGACCACCTTTTCAAAATCACATATCAAACAGATGAAATAAATTTACTAAGAGGTAATCATAATACTTAATTTAACAATATTTAATAAATATAATTAATTTTTAAAATTTTAAATATATTTTATTTTATTATTTACTTTAAACTATTATTCACTATCATTGTCGTTAGTATGTTGATAATTTCTTCTTTTCAAACATTTAGTTTTTGTCTTTGAATTCTGAATTTCAATATTTACATAACCTTCATCAATGGTATCTAAAAAAATTGAATTAAATAATAAAAAAATTATCATCTTTTAATAAATTTACCTTGTGATTGATTAGATTTTGTATTGGGTTCTTCTGACGACATATTAGAGACTAATAAGCTATTATTTAACAATGAATCATCATTATTTGTATAGTTGGTATCATTTTTTGGTTCAGGTAATACAAATGGAGACATAGGTAATTGTTTTGACATTTCTTCTATACAATCTTCTTCATCATAAGAACATACAGTAGAGTTAATAAATGATGAAAATGTAGAATCCATTTCTTGATCATTTTGGGATAAACTAGAACGAGTCCACTGACCCAATACTAAAGCAAGAGGATCATCAATACTTAGTTGATCACAAAATTTAGTAGTCTGAGGGTTGGTTTTAGTTTTATAATTTTCAAGACTTATAAAATTTTTTGGAATTACCAAATCATTTGAAAACATCTTAAGAACCGTTAACATTTCTTCTTCTGTTGGTGTAAAATCATACCTAAGTATAAATTATTAATTTATAAATGTTAAGTATTTTATTTTAATCAATAATTCATACACTAACCTTTCTAAAGTAGATGGTCCTGGTAAATAATAAATATTTTTATTAATATTTAACAAATGATTGGTAAGATGCAAGACAGAAAGCCATTCTAGATCATATGTTAATTCAATTGGTTTAGAATCATTATGTGGAACATCTAAAATTTGTAAAAATCTTTTTTTTGGCAAACACTTGTCAAGTGATAAGAATTTAGTGTATTTTTCATTTTTTTCTTCCTGTCAATGTACACATTAAATAATTAATCAAATGAATAAATTTACAATAAAACATTGAAATTATTTAACTGGATGACTAATTACATTGTCATCAGATGAATGATTTACTACGGCAGCAAATTTACAATGAAGATGAGCAGCAAACCAATATTTTGGTTTTAATATATCTAATAATTCTCTTGCAGGCTTACTACCCAATTTACCTTCATTAATATCTGTTCTGTAGTAAAAAATTTAAAATTAAATTTATATCAATTTTGTTTCAATAAAGAATTTTACATTCACAACTTACTCAAAAAAAGGTTTAAATTTAAGTAACTGTTTTAAATTACCATGCTGTTCAATTCCCTGAGGCCAATCATGTGAAAGCATAATATCAATAGGTTTCTTTAACTATAATAATATATGGAAAAAATATAAATTATTATTCATGCAATCTAAAATATTGCATTAAAATATTATAATTATCTCATAGTTATAACAACTTAATTTTAAATGAATTAATAATTATTATAATACTTGATAAAAAATTAATATAAACATATAAACAATAAAATAAATTTTTTTAAAAAATATTAAAAATGATATACAATAATATATTTTCAAAATATAAGGTAAAAAACCAAATTATATTAAAATTCAATTATTTTGAACTTATAGATAATTAATTAAAAAAATATCGATTTTTTTAAGGAATATATGTCTAATATAAGTAAATTAACATTATACAATAAATTAATTTAATTTATAATTAATTATCAGGGTGTAGATTAATTATTATTAAAAAAAAATCTCAAAAAAATAAAATAAAAGAATGTTTTTATTTAAAAGTGCTTCTTGTAAGATAAATTTTACTAAATGTAAATACAAATATTAGTACATACTTGTTTTAATCGAAATACTTCTAACTGCCGCACGTGATATATACTTCTTTTTGTCTGATCAGTATATGGTAGTCGTTCATGTCTACCTCGCATATAATCATGCGAATTGTAAATACCAGATAAGCCTCCAATACGAATACCACCAACATTAATTACTCCTGCTAAACCAATATAATATATATTAGGTGCCGCCCAGCCCCCATAAGATAATTCTTGTAAATGATTAGAAGCTTCATGATTTCCACCAATAAATAAAGTTAAAACAGGTGCAACTAACTCTCCAGTATAATATCTAAAATAAAATAATTTTTATATTTTTATTAAATATTAATAATTATTTAACATTAAGACTAAATACATACTTGTAAAAAGTACACATTTGTCTATATTTTAAAGGAACAGCCATTGACAATAAATCATCATTATTTCTTGTGGCTTGAAAATCACCACAACATATAAGTAAATCAACTTTTATATTGTTACGTTTTTCAATAAGTTCTATTGTATTATATATTTGTTGTAGCTCACCGTGAGCACAACCTTCAATAGCAATTTTCATTTTATTTAATAATATTCTATAACTAATTAAATAAAAATGATTTAATTTACGTAAATAATGAAATTTTATTAATATTTGTTATATTTAATAAATAATAACTACCAGGAAAATATTTGTACAACAATTTAATAACATTTTTCAAATTCTAAGTTTATATAACAAGTTGAAAACCTTTAAATAAAGTATTAGTTTTTATAGTTTAATTTATACTCATACGATCATAAGGTTTAAAAATTTGTATAAACTCTATCATAAACTAAATAATAAAATTATAAACAATATTATCACCACAATATATAAACACCAATAGTGCTTAACATATATAAGATAATGTTATCATACGTTTGAAATTCTGTTTAGAATACTGTATAAAGCACAGATAAAAACGATTATCAACATTTATTTGATAAGAATATCTAAATACCAACCACGGTTATAAGCAGGGATATAAAAAAATTTTTGTTGTATGTCTATAGTTAAGTTAGAACTTTTGTTTAAACCAATTTCTTTTATTTTATAATTACATTTTTTTCAATTGAATTTTGAATTAACATTGTCAAATTAACTTCAATTACCAATTATATTAATAAAATTAACATTAAGTGTAGAATCATAATTCTACCCATTAAAATTCTTATTTTGAAGGTTAGTATGGGATTTATGACTTTATGTGTTCTGATAATTCTAATTTTTAATTAATTTATTAATTCCTTCAATACTTAATCTTTTAAGGCAAATTTATTTTATATTAGCACTTCAGTAATATCCATCCTCACAAGGAAAGTCATGAAGCTAATAATAATGAAAAAATGATCAAATTATCATCATAATATACTATTTATTATTTTTCTATATAATTTAAAGAATTAAGTCTGGTTTTAAGTTTGGAAAATGCTTAGTATTATTCTATGTAACAATATATGCATTAGAGAAATTTTAATTTTAAAATCTTACACTGCAAAATTATCTTTTTCTGTGCATTTATTTTTTAAACCATCAAAATACCTATACTGCAAAAATTATCTATGACTTGTTAACTAAGTACCATAGTTGTATTTACATATTTATTTCTTATTATAATTATATCTTTCAGGATGAATTTTATAAGCAATTTATTTCAAAAGGCAATAAGACCAAAAAATATTAAAAATGCTTCTCAAGTATTATCAATTATTCATTCACCGACGGTCAGTGGTTCATCTCTAGTTCTTTCTAGAGGATTTAAAGTTTTTGGATTGGTGAGAAAACGTTGTAAAGATTGTTACATTGTTGCCAGAGATCAAAGATTATACAATTTATGTAAAACTCATCAAAAACATAAACAAATGAGTATCAGGCATCCTGATAAGGCTTACTATATTCTTACGGGTGTACAGCAAAAAAAAAAAAGAGAATGGTGATTTAAAAGACTATTATAACATATACCTTATTATAAGTTATAGATTTTTACTTTTTAGTATATTGTATAATGTATTTACTAAAAATTTACTGAAGTGTATACATTTTGAATTGTTTGTATTACAAAATTAAATTATAAATATAAAATGTAGTAAAATATTTGTAAAAATTGAAAAATTATTTAATTATTATATACCCTTTCACCCCCCCCCCCCCCCGAGATTTTAATGAGATAAAAAATATTGCTTTGTACAATTTAATTTTAATATCATAAACATTAGTTATGGTTATTTTTATAATCCATTGTTGATCTATCTAGTACTATAAAATATATTATTGCCAATATTATTATCTTGTGAAATATATACATTTGGAATAAGTAGTAAAAATATTAAACTCCTCTCCCCCTACCGTACAACATTTCTAGTCAGTCTTTGTACACATTACTTAGGTTATTATTGAGGTCTCTTAAGATTTTATAAATGTATAATATATTTAAAAGTAATTAAGCTTTTATGAAGTTTATATTTTTATATAATAACAGTTTGACCCAATTAAAATATTATAAACGGTTTATGTGACAAATCATTGGGTTACACTACTTAATTTCACTGATAATTACTAATTTCAAATATGTTTTCTGATTACGCACAATTACTTTCATGTTGTAAAACTAAGTGTTGTTTTTCTGCAGTTTATTTTTTATTAAAAGTCTACTCAACAGCCTTCGTATTTGTTGATCACTTGAAAAAGTACAATATGCAATGTGATTCAGGGTCGTATTTAGGGGGGGATATGGGAGTTTGACACCCCCCATCGAACGTATTTTATGGTATTTCACCAAATTACAAACTTATTTACGGTATAATTTAAATAAACGTTAGTATATGTGAAATAATTTTCATTAACATAATAATTTATATAAACACATGGTACTTATAATTGTAATACGTGGGGGAAGAATCTCCACTTACTATTAGTCTATTCAAATTTAAAAGACCCCCGTTAAATGAATCCTAGATACGCTACTGATATGGAGTTAATCATAGTTTTTATGCATATGATCATAAACCATAACGTATTATTATTATTCCTCATAATCCTTCCAAAAGTATGTTATACGCGTTGCAACCATGTAGTTACTGTTGGTCCATCTTAGATATATTGGTCTACATACAGACTTAAATAATGTTTTTAATTTCTTTATAGTGACACAGATTACATAAAATTTGATTGTATTTGATACAAAAATTATTCATTTTTCATAGAGTGTTAAAGAAAATAATAACCCTGTGTATTTTTAGTCCTTATCATTAATCTAGGGTTCTATCACTGAATTACCAAATATTTTGATTCAATTACATTGTCACACTGAGAATGTTCCTTTTATTTTGAGGTTATTGTATATAAATCTTTTTATGGAATATGTTCCATCTCAAATCATAAATTGCTAAATATTATTTTTCAAAATTAAAATTTTTATTATTATTGTTCTCAAAATTAATGTTCAGTTATAAATTTATAATAAATCAAAATGCCTCCTAAACCAAAAGCACAAAGTACTAGCAAAAAAGCAGATCAGAAAAAAAAAGAAAGAGTAATTGAAGTAAGTCGAGTTATATGTACTTTTTATTAAACATAATTATGTATATAATATGAGAACTGTCTTAATATTTATTCATTATTTTAGGATAAAACTTTTGGTTTAAAGAATAAAAAAGGGGCCAAACAACAAAGATTCATTCAACAAGTTGAAAAACAGGTTAAATCTGGTGGCATACCAGCACGTAAAGTAGAAGACAAAAAAAAAGATGACAAAACAAAAGATGATTTAGGATTAATTTTTAAACCTGTTCAAAAAGTTGAAAAAGGTATAAATTATATTCTTTAAATATTTATTATTTAATATTTTTTTATTAGTGCTATTATCTATTTAATTTAATGTGTTATTATAAATGAAAGATATTTTATACCTACTTGAATAGCGAGGTAAGTTCAATAAAATACAGTTGACTTTTCTTCTATTTTATTATCTTACATTAAATTTAAATCAAATATTGAAAAATATATATTTTAAGTTTAAAAGTACAAAATATTAAAATGGTATTTTGATATTTCTCGATTTTTATATAAACATTTTTTAAAAAAATAAGTACAATAATTGTTTTTATTTAAATTTGTCTATAAAGGAAAGTTATGATTAAAACAATAAGCATTATATTTTTAGAATTAATTTTAGATTCTGAGTGAAGCGTAGAATCTAATGATTTTACAATGACATTTATTATTATTTTTTTCTTTTATTCTATAAACACTTTTTTGTATAGAAATCCTGGTCCAAAAGTTTCGTCTAGCAACTCTTTAGATTTGAAATTGGACTAGGGTGTTAGTTTAGAAAGGTCATTTTTTTGAATTTCTTAATATTTTATCTATTAGATGGGAAAAACCGTAAAAAAAACGGGCAAATACGGTAAAAATTAAATGTAAAAATCCGTAAATGGGATTTTCACTTTTCACATTTTAGTCGTTTAGTCATAACTTTAAACGTAATAAGCATAGGAATTTGAAAATTTCACCATATATCAAAGACATACTTTTTCATATATCACTACATTTTAAAAATTATTTGAGCACTTTTGGCTTAAGTATAAGCTTTTAAATTTCCTAATTTATTGAATATTTTTATGTAATACAATTTTTAATATTTGATGAAAATTTCTGAAAATTTAATATGACCTCACTCATATGGTAAACTAACGATACTGAAAAAAATTCAAAAATTGTTTGTTAGGATATTTTTTTATAAGCATTTAAGTAAATTATTATAGGATTTTTACGGAACGTTTTAAATTACATCAATTTTTAATTGATCCATCCAATCATAATGAAACTTTGGATACAGATAGAACAAAATGTTTTTATGTACTGAAGCTTTACTCAGAATCATTTTACTAAAGAAATGAGTTATCGTTTCTTTAAAATTTAATACACCCAACAACATCTAGTCCGAGGATCTAAGGGACAAAGGATTAACTTGCACCACCATCATTTCACTTACCAGCTATTTTTTTTTTTTTTTTTTTTTGTTATTCATAGTAAATGTATGCTTTTGTTTTAACTAGTAATTAAACACTCTTAAATTTATTGATCGATTAATGATAATATTATATTTAATGTAAATATAAAATAGCTTAAACTATGAAATTATTTTAATATGTTTGTACCTATCAATTAATTTTAAGTTCCTTCCAAAAAATTTAAAATTACCACCAATACATCAATACTTTTAAATAAATAATGATAATAGTTTTTGAATCCTTTATAGTTGATTAAATGTTTGTCAAAACCTATACATAATTCTGTGTATTCACATTAGTAGTTATAATTTTATTAAATATGTAATAATTGTTTTGTTTTATTTAAAAATATTCCAGGTGCAGATCCAAAATCCATCCTGTGTGCATTTTTTAAACAAGGTCAATGTGCAAAAGGTTCAAAGTGTAAGTTTTCACATGACTTAGCTACAGAGAAAAAAGCTGAGAAAAGAAGTATGTATGTAGATTTACGTGATGGTGATGAAAATGATACTATGGATAATTGGGATGATGAAAAACTAAAAGAAGTCGTTAACAAAAAACACGGTGAAAATGATAAGATACATCCAACGACTGATATTGTATTAAGACATTGTTAAGTTAAAACTTATTTTTCATCTTTTACTAATATTTTTTATTTTATTAGATATGTAAATTTTTCTTGGAAGCTGTTGAAAAAAGTAAATATGGATGGTTCTGGTCTTGTCCAAATGGAAGTTCATGTATTTATAGACATGCTTTGCCTCCTGGATTTGTTCTAAAAAAGGTTTGTTTACAGAGATTAAATAAGAATGAATTTTTAAATAAATTTTGATAAAGGAAGGCACAAATATTTTTATAATTATTAAGTCATATTAACATCTGAATATTTTTATCACGGAAAAATGAGAAGATGAAATTTATCATATGAAATTACTTAAATACATAAATGTAATTATTTCATTATTTTATTACATACTATATATGCTTGCAACCCTAATCTAGATCATACAATATAATTCATACATTATTGGAAGTATTATATAGAGATTATAACAATTGTAAATATTTCTCTTATCATTGATGAATTTAGGGTAAAGTTTAAAACAACATTTTAAGGGTTATCAAACTTTATGTGACACTCATTATATTTAAAAATAACTCTTCATTTATTTTGAGAATATTAAATTTATGTACTTTTTTTTAATATTTAGGACAAGAAAAAAGATGATAAGAAAGATGAAATTCAATTAGAAGATTTAATAGAAAGAGAACGAGCTGCACTTAACTCTGTAAAATTCACACGAGTAACTTTAGAAAGCTTTTTAGCTTGGAAAAAACGTAAAGTTAGAGAAAAGAAGAATGCTATAATCAAAGACGAAGAGAAAAAACGAACTGATTATAAAGCTGGAAGACAAATTGGGGTTTATAATATTTATAATATCTTAACACTTACTTATTTAATTTATGATTACTAATTTAACTATATTCATTATTTATTTTAGCTTTCTGGTCGTGAAATGTTTTCGTTTAATCCGGAGATGGCAATTGGTGATTCAATTGATGACGGAGAGGAAGCATTTGATTCATACACAAGAGATGAAGAAGATGAAGATGGAAATGTAAATGTAAGTTAAAAATTAACTAAAACCAGTTATCAAAACCATTATATTAATTTATAACAAAAGACTTATTTGTAACAAAAATATCTAAATGGTAGTGGTTTTTTATTAATAATACTATGTAAATATTACATTAATTTTTTATAAAATGTAAAATAAAAAAGACTATTCCAACTTAAGTTAACTTTTGATTTGAGTATATTATTCAATTATAAAAGATAACATCAGTATTTAAAAACATTTATTAACAGTCAATTTCTTTTAAATTCTGGTTAATCAATTAATTAATTGATTATTATTATTATACATATATTTTTTTTTAGGTAAGAGAAATTCAATTAGAATCATTAGAATTGGAAGCAAGTGAAGTAGATGATACTGGTACCCGATTACCTGAAGATCGATTTAATAAATCTGAGGTAGCTACAATCCCTATCAATGAAAACCTTTTTATAGATGAAGATCTAGATGACCTTGATGAGGAATTAGATGAACTAAATTTGGAAAATGATTCTAATAATTAAATTAAAAAAAAAAAAAACATTATTAAAAAAATATTATTTTATTATTAAGAATATCTTCCTCCTTGTTATCTAATTAAATTTAAAAATAAAAAACATGTTTATATCTTTAATTTTTCTACCATCTCACAAATTTTCTGTGCTGATTCTATACAACCATTAAATGTAGACCGAGTGAAACAATCACCACCCGCTAATATTGGAATGGATTCATTCAACAAAATACAACCAGGACTATTAGTATAAGGTGTGGTAACTTGTGAATATAACCATTTATGAACATTGCTGGTTTCAGGTGTAGGCCAATTAGGAAACAATTTATTTACTTTATCACTCAAAATTGGAAACATACTATCTTTTGTTTCTTCAATATATCTCTTTCCAAATTCTTTGGTTGAATGAAAAGTCACACAATCCGCTTCATAATATTGTTGTCGTTTTCTGTTTTCAATAGAAACATATCTGAATGTATCGTCATTCATGAATTTAACATCCCACTCTTCTTCTAATATTGGTCTCTTATAAAACATATTAAACGTGAAACGTGTACTATAGGTAACTTTTTCAAGTTCATTACGAATTATTAGAGGTATTGGACAATCTAATTGAAGAATTTGAGGTGCTGGTGTAGTTATAATAACAACATCAAAAAATTCTTCAGTTCCACAAATACATGTCACCTTACCATTAGGTGTTATGGTAGAAACTCTTTTTTCAAACATAGTGCAATCTACATTAGCATTATTCAAAAAATATTTAACTAATGTATTGGTACCATTAGGTGCTATAAAATGTTGCTTTCCATGTGACTCTGATAATCCTTCAATTCTGCATTTCATAGGCTCCAACACTTTTGAAATAATTAAGTTTTTGTAAATATCTGAATATTTTGTTAATGCAGACGAATCCGTAGTAATGAATTGAGCTCCTAGGTCAACAAATGTCCCGTTAGGTCCACGGCGAACTGAAGTGCGGCCTCCTGGACCTCTGGCCTTATCCCATACTGTTATATGAATGTTTGGAATACGAGTACGTAATAAATAAGCAGTTATTGTAGAAGTTAACCCACAACCAATTAAAAGTATTTTCATCATATTAAAATTTATAAAAAATTAATTTAATACACGTCATGAACTATTATTCCAATTAAATATCGACTGGTAATATATTAATTTATTATTAATGGCAAAAAAAAGAAAAATAAACTTACATTGAATCACTAATGATCACTACGCGATTATTGTTGGTTCTCAAAATTTGATTTATTGGCATTTAATGGCATATATGTAGTTAGATAATAACACAGATGTGATAATATCAACTTTGTTATCACATAACATAATATGTTTTACTTATTAACTATATTATAGTAAATACATTATGTTGGTGGACAATTTTACTATATTGTACTCCTTGACCTTGATAGTCAATTCGTGTCTTGGCCGAAGCCGTTTTCAACTTTAAATTCGCAAATCCCAATGTAAGATCTTTCATATAGGTACGTAATTAGCATATAAACCGTATACTATATCATATAAGGTAGTTTACATGTACCTATACAAAATATGTTATGTCTTAATACTTACTATCAGTACTGTTATAAGTAAAAAAATTAATTTGTTTGAACTTAATATGTAAAAGAAGTCACGATTAAGTGATTCATAATCAACGAACAGCCTGAACTGTGATAGCTAACAACATGAAAAGTTCAGAGTTTTTATTATAATTTAAATGTGCAATAAATGAGGATTTCGATTAATGTTAGTTTTAAGGTGTGAAAATGGTTACAAACTATAATTTAAATAGAAGTAGAACGGCTTAACCCATAAAAAAATCAAATTTTGTTTTATACGATAAAACATTTCACATTTATATATTTGAAATCCACAATGACCTAGCCCACAAAAAAATATATTTACTAGATAGCAGCACATAATTGTATTTGGCTTTGTGATTATGATATATAATTTTAGAACAAAAGTGGCCCAACCCTATGCCTGTCTAATAAGAAAAAAAAATGAAAAATAATCTAAACTTGAAATGCCCGTCCTGCACAATTACACTTTTGTGGGTTAGGCTGTTTTGGTTCTATGCGTCTCAATCGTACCTACATTTACTAAAACAACAGTGCCGTCAGACGTCAGTGCAACATTTCGATTACCAAGTGTAAAACATTACATCAATTCAGTTTTGATCAAATTTACGTTATTGCCTATTGCACTCGGTGCACACTGAGTACAAATAATACGTCAAATTGAAAACGATTTATTTATAATTTATACTGTATGATTATAACCATGATCTACAATATATTCAAACCTATAGGTATACTAACCTATACCATTGATTAAATATATATTTAATATATATTATAATGTATTTAATCAATGCCTATAGTACACTATACTATAGTATACTATAGTACGGCCACTGAGAGAGCGCTACTAGGTGGCGACCAAAACTCGTTCGTTATCGCGCATTCCCATCACTAAACCTGCTAAAACGCTGGCCGCCGTTAACGTGCGTTGCCACTAGAGATCAGCACGTTCTGTTTTTTTTCGGCCCGATCCTGCCCAAAACTTAAAATTATAAATTGTCGTCGTCCAGGCCCGGTCCATATTTTTTTTTTTTCAAAGTCCAACCCAACCATGCCTGTTTGTAAATAAAAATATACATCAACTGTATTTCCTTTCAGTATTAACTTAGCAAACAAAAACATTTCATAAAGACAATAAATGTACTACAAAAAAAAAAAAAATATGCTACATTTTATTAAAATTTAAATATAAAATTATTTATAGATATAGAATAAATAATGCTACAAATTAAATTAATTAGTTTTGGTTTGACCGATCCGGCCCAATGAATAATATTACGATCCCACATATAACCAACCCGTAATATTATTCATTGGGCTGGGTCGGTCAAACCAAAACTAATTAATTTAATTTGTAACATTATGTATTCTATATATATAAATAATTTTATATTTAAATTTTAATAAAATTTAGCATATTTATTTTTTTTTGTAATACATTTATTGTCTTTATGAAATCCCGATACACCACACACAGCTTCTGTCATTCGCTGTCGTCACCGTTCACCATGCAGTCATAGTTTCTCTATAACATGTAGTAATACTGTGTATACACATCGCATGCACACATATTAGTTAATAAAAATACATATAATAAAAATAATAATACATCAATAAATTAAAATGGACCATCATTATTTTTTACTATTTTCTGAAAACGGTACTTTTTAATATCCTGAAGATTCCACGGTGGACAACGGGACAAAGACATGATAAATAGGACTATCCCGTTTAATACGAGTCATCTTATCTATTAATCACACTGTCGACGCTTATTTCGGACATGTTCAGACTGGCATAAAGTTCAGAGGCTTAAACCTAATCCACTAAAAACGGTAATATCGTCGTTCAATTTGAATAACAGTGAATCCCAGTGGCAATTAAATGCGGATTTCTGTGGTCAACTAATAAAGAATGAACCAAATCCTACGTACCTAGGCGTAAACTTAGACCGCACGCTTACTTTCAAATACCATCTGCAGAAACTGGCAGCTAAACTAAAAACTAGAGTATCACTAATATCTAGACTAGCAGGTTAGGCTAAGAATATTGCGCTCCGGTATGGGGAAACAGCAGCCACTGTAAGCTGGTGGATACCCAACTTAGGAAAGTCATATGCTTAATAACAGGGAGTGCCATGCCGACCCCACTTCCGTGGTTACCAGTGTTGTCGCATATAGTACCTCCTCATATCCGAAGAGAATTCGCTCTCCTAAAGCTAGTGACACGGATTAATAAAGACGTCGAACTTCCAATCCATCAATATGGAATTAAAACACCCCGCCTAAAGTCCCGCAAACCTCTTCTCTACAGAGCAGAAGAATTTATAAGCTACCACACCAACAACCCGAACGCACTGCAAACCGAATGGCACAAAAACCTTCCGCCAAACGAGGAACTAATTAGCTGCCCTCAATGCCACAGCCTAGAATGGAACTCCCGCGTAAAATATGGGTCCGCCTCAATCGAATCCGTACAAAATAAGGACGTTGCAACCAACTCTTAAACAAATGGAAGTTAAAAAACAACCCAAACTGTGACTGTGGAGAGGTGCAATCAATGGACCACATTATAAAAGACTGTCCTGCTCAACGATACCCAGGAGAGATGGAAGACTTCTTCAAAGCCACAGATATAGCGATTCAATGGATAAGTAAACTCGACGTCACATTATGAATCAAAAGTTACCTGACATAATCAATAACATAGTATATATATAGTTGTTTATTTTTCTACCAATTTTAACTGTTTTATGGTTCTATTGATTTATTTTTATTTTATCTTTTTATCTTCTTATCCCTTTACCTAAATTATATTGTATTAATTGTTGATCGTGTAGCGCTTAAGATCTTGAATTTCATACGAAATAATAATAATAAGACTGGCACAAGAATTTTCATGAGACTCGTGTAACGTAAATTAGATAAATGTACGACAGAAATGTAAACAATCGTTCATCCATTGACAGTTTACCGTCCTACAGTTATTTCGTTATAAAAGTGTTGACGTGTGAGTCCGGCTTTAATGAGTAACTGTTCATTATTTATGAACGTGTTTGACAGTGGCGTAACAAAAAAATATGCCCCCCCCCCCCCGCAAAAATTAATAATGGACCCCTAAATATTATTTAAGTAGGTATATTAGTTTAAAAAAATTAATCTGATATAGGTATATCACTTATTTTAATTACAATTTTCTTATGATATGATAAAAAATAACAATATTTATTTAATTTTACCATTGATTATAATATAATCAAAATTAAATAAGATTTTATTATTATTAGTTTTGAATCACCCTCTATCAGAATTTTTACCCTCGTTATTTTTGCCAATTTTTCTGCATTTTTAAAGAATCTTCTTGTCACATTCCCTGTATTAGAAGTACCTCGACCTTGCACTATTTGATCAATTTTTAATCCCGTTTCATTCCAAAGTGCACGTTGAATATTTTTCTTTTGCTATATTAATTTGTTTTTTTGTTCATTTTTCATGCGAGAAGTTGACTGGTGAATATTTAATTTGTATGAAATATTTAAAATACATCTCAAAAAATTAATCCACGCGTGCAACGTTGAATGCCCGTATTTTAGATTATCCTCTCTAATTGTGAATTTCTGTATATTTTTCAAATCGTTCATATTTTTTGGTCCACAGTTACAAATAAAATATCTTTGACTGGAAGCATGAGTTAAATTATTTATCACTTTACCGTCTACCATAGTCATTACCAATATACAATTGATAGGTACAGAAATATTATTTATCACAATTTCAATTGGGATTAATGATTTTATTTCTTCTTCAATTGCCTTTACTTCTTCACGAGTATTATTTTTTGTTTCTTTTTTGCATAAAAATTTAATTGGTCTACAGTAACGTGTTGTAGGTGGTGTTTGATTTTTTCAAAGTATATCATCAATGGAATCAGACGCTGTAAAGGTCAACCGCAAAGGAACCAAAGAAAATAAAAACATATTTGCATCAGTATATTCTATTTTTTGTTCATCAAATTCTTCTAAGTCATCATCATGATCACTATTTAAATTTTGATCATTTTGTATCAAGTGAGTATTTTGGGTAAATCCTTGGTGGTATTCAGTTTGACCCGAACTACCATCATACCCCCATTTATTAAAAATAAACTCAGCCTTAACATATTTTTCGAAAAAATGAAAATTTTCAGTTAAATCAAAAGTTAGAAAAGTTCTTCTAACTGTGTGATCCATTACATTTTGGAGAGGAATAAATGTACCATATTCATATATTTTTAAACCTTCGGGATAACATAGTTTCTTTACTTCTCGTATGCGGTTATATGAAGGATACACATTGACTCCATGCTCTTTTGAACCTAATCGAGTTTGATGATAAACATTTTTTGTCATGCCACAATTTACCATATGAGCTAGAGCTTTATCTACAGTATATGGTGTTATATTTTTCCCCTTCAACGTTTCACGAAAAAATTTCCTAATATTTACAGGACAACTAGGAGAATATTCTGTTGACTGTTTTAATAAATCAGCTGCTGCATGTTTACCTTCTTTAAAAAGTGATACTCTTGTCGCCCGTAATAATCTTTCTGGTGATATTGTGTCCACTAACAATTTTACTTTTCATATTTTAGATCTTTCAGATACATCATAAAAATAATTTTGATGGACGACCACGTTTATCAATTGTTTTATTTTCATATTGTGGCAAAATAAATTCGGTACCAAACCACCCCTCGTTTTTAGAAATAAATGTAGTTGCAGTACGATTTATGGCTGACCACTTGTGATTTAACATAGTTATAAATCCTGAAATTTTACATTTCAATTAATTTTCATATTTCTTATTAATAGAATGATTTATTTTTTTTGGAAATATAATTATATAAAAATAAACGGGTATCACAGATCACGGATTTAATTGTCGTTGGAAATTTCTCCAATTAAATCCAATAAATCACAGTGTGTAATATTATCTTCAAAAAAAAAAAAAACCATAGAAATTAAATGGGCAACTTTGAACAGACCATATTTTAGACTTTACTAAATAGTATGTTTATTAAAATATTTTAATAAAAATCGGGGCTCTGTTATGTACTTTTTTTTTCAGATCACTATAATTGTTAAATTATCATATATTTTTATTATTTTGTTATTAAAGTTTCAACAATTTATTGTTGATTGGAGAGTAAATTAAACTATTAATAATTATTACATACCTCGTTTAGAAGTTTCCGTAATACAAAGTAAATTATCAAAAAAAACTAAATAATATAACTTTCTATAATACTTATAACAAATATTTATTGTGAACGTGCGTACTGTCGAAGAAAGTCGCTGTGAAATGAAAATATCACGCTAATTGAACTTCTAATGCTATTGATAAAACGCAATAAAGATAAAATAAGCATTTCAAGATTGACAACTTATAATGCAGGATTTTGTACTGCATTTTTATCAACATTTTAATAGTTCAAATTTTATTTTTGTCGCGGTAAAAGTATGATTCCTCCCACTGTGCGGTCCTGACTAGGCAGCCGGAAAAATTCACATTTTATTTTTTATTTCGAGAAAATTATTTATTATAATATAATTTTGAATCTCATAAGTACATTTTAGTGTCCTTAAGATTACCCAGGGCAGGATAGTGACATGGAGTAATAAAACGCTTTATCGTTAGTATTGTTATTACTTATTGTAGGTATTTTTACATGATAAGATTATACGTATTACAGATTACTATACGATTACGAACATATTTAATAATCATAACAGATTATTATAAACATATATTAACACTAATTTAATTAAAAAAAAATAATTATTCAATTTTTTTTTCACGGGAATTAAATGTACCTTAAACAAAAGCCCCAAATTACCGTGGGCCCCCCTGCAAGTCGGAGTCTGTGGGCCCCTCTGTTACGCCACTGGTGTTTAATCAGATATCTTTATTTTACCTAATTTAAATCTCACAATTATTTTGAGTGATAATATCTTAATATAAAATACAATAAAATACATAGAAGAGCAACAGAATAAATGCCTTAATTGAGCACAACACATCATAATAAAAAGGATACAACTCAACATACAGGGTGCGGCAGAGCCGACTGACGAGTTTAAGGAGCTCATTAACCGGAGATAAGATAAGAGCAGGCCTTAATTAGTGGTATATTTTGAATTGTACGATAATGCCATTTTTAGTCGTAATCATGGTCTGGACAGGTGTACATCGTGGTTTCGTCGTGCGTGCGTATTACGAAAATAATCATTCTGTGATCGCTACACAGAGGGCTTTTCGTATACACTTCGGCATTCCAAGTACCGAATCTATTCCTTCTGCTAACACTATTAAATTTTGGATACGGCAATTGGAAGAAACTGGAAGTACCCTAAGTGGACTTGGACACGGAGCACCCAGAACGGTAAGAACCCCCGAAAATGTGCAGTTGGTTAGAGAATCAATTGAGCAGTCACCAAGACGCTCTGCCCGGAAACACGCGGTAGCTTTGGGAATCTCAGACCGTTCTTTGAGAATTCTTCACGAAGATTTATCATTCCATCCCTATAAATTAATGCTTGTCCAAGAGTTACATGCTACTGACTACGACAATCGCAAAAATCTCTGTCAGCAAATTCTTTTGCGAATCCCTCCGACATCAACTTTTTTCTGTAGCGATGAGGCCCATTTTCATCTTTCTGGAACTGTAAATAAACAAAATTTTCGATACTGGGCTGCAAATAACCCACGACAGCTCCACGAAAGACCACTACACTCTCCTAAAGTGACAGTGTGGTGTGGTGTGTCCCAATTTGGGGTGATCGGCCCGTACTTTTTTGAAGACGAGAACAGAACCGTCACTGTCACTTCCGCTCGTTATGTTGTGATGTTGGAAACTTATCTGCAGCATAGGTTGGAGGAAATGGCTGAAGACCATGATTTAGAGAATGTATGGTTTCAACAAGACGGGGCTACAGCACACACAGCTCGAATTTCACTTGGTGTCTTGCAACAAATGTTCCCTGGGCGGTTAGTCTCTCTAAGAGGAGACATAGGCTGGCCACCACGGTCTCCAGATTTAAGCATGTGTGATTTTTTCCTCTGGGGCTACCTTAAGGATAAGGTTTTCAGACATCGCCCACATACCATAGAAGACCTTAAACAGAAAATCACCGAGGAAATCGAAGCCATACCAGTCGAAACGTGCCGAAAATCATATGAGAGCTTCAGAGATCGTCTACAACAGTGTATTGATGCTGACGGCCGCCATCTTCGAGATATAATTTTCAAACAATAATTTTTAAAAATGGGATTCAGTACTTATTTTAATAAAAAAAAGTTTTTTTCTCTAAGTTTTACTGTTCGTTTTTTATAACCCTTCAAAACTCGTCAGTCGGCTCTGCCGCACCCTGTACATCTACAGGATAGGGTTGCTAGACTCGGTCTTAACCGACTATTAAATTTGACTCAATTTTTAATGGCTGAAAGAAAAAAAATGGTTTATTATTAATTGTATGATCGAAGCTCTGTATTCTAAGTTAGATATTGTCGTGCACCCAACGGGTTTACAACGGCTAGTGAAGGTAAAAAATTGACAACACGTAGACTTATTTAGTTTAACAAGTATAGTAACTTTGTATATTAATATGAATCAACACACTGTAAATATGATGTAAGTTATAAAGGGAAGAGTACAGGAATCAAGTTGGATACAACTAGTATTAATAATAACATAGTCAGATTCTTCCTAGAAAATTTTCTTTTTCTTAAATAAAAAAAAGTTATTTATAATAAAAAACTTATTAATGAGAGTAATTAATTCATGAAGATTTTTTTTTGTCTCGCTTCGACTAGAAAAATATGGTCACTTTAGTCATTAAAATCTAGGAACACGCTATACCTCAAATATAGAACTAACATACGTTTTCTAGCTCAAACATTTGAAATAAATAGTATTTGTAATTTTAATTTTAAATTATTAAAAAAATCACCAAAATAATGAGTCACAAGTTACAATAAATACCTGAATATTATGTGTTTAGATTAGGAAGCTCCAGATGGTTGGGACATTAGATGGTTAGGAAATGCTTCAAACAATTAAAACTATTCTATATTTATGTAAGTATATACATAGATTATAAATAATAATAATAATTTTATATTAGCCTATATATATAGTATATATATATATTATTATACCTATACTATTATTTTTTTTTATTTTATATTTTTTAATGTGTACCACCCACCTACATGTGCACATGTTGCTACATATAATCATTCCAAGTATTGATCAATGAAATTATATTTAATACTTACAACGTATAAGCTGATAGAATTAAGATTATGTGTGGAGGGGGGAGTAAACACTAAACATATTTAGTATATTCTTAAATTAGATTGTTGGTGTTCTGCCCACGAATACCCCCACACATTTTCACGCTTCCTGTATAATGTACATAATATTAATGTTTAACTTTCTAAGAAGTTGGATACTACTCTTATAACTGTAATAAGTGAAAAGATGTCCATGGATCAACAAGAAGCTGTACATACTCCATTCGAGGATATAAAAAATGTTGCTTCAGAGCTACTTGAGAGGTTATTATTTTTTTTAAAGTTAAATCTAAAAATTGTTCTTACCTTGTATTGATTATAGACATTGCAATAATTTGATGACTGATACTTCTGAGTCAACTAGTAATTTTTCTAAGAAAAGTCTTAAACCAATTACAAAATCAGGCGTGATAAAACATTATGGTCGAAGGATGAAGTTGAATTGTAGGCATGGCTATAATATTTTAATTTTTGATAATGGAACCGTGGACACATCTGATGATGACATAGACAAACATTGTATTTTAGAATTTACATCAATGGCTCCTGGACATGTTCGTATTAAAGGAGTTGAAGCAAATTTATTTTTGGCTATGGACAAAACTGGACATCTTTATGGAGAGGTAAACAATTTTATACAATTTTTTTATATTTTCTATCTTTTAATTTTTCACTCTTGTTTTAGCCTGATCCTACCAAAAAATCCACAATTTTTATTGAACAATCAGAAGGTCCGTACAGTGCATATTTATCTTTTAAGTATCAAAAAAAAAAATGGTATGTTGCTATAAAAAAAAATGGTAAAATCAAATCGGGCACAGAAACTAGAAAGGGACAACATGCTACACATTTTTTACCAGTACCTATAAATACAAAACATTAAATCTATAGAAATTCCTTAATTTTAAAATTATAGAATATAGAATTTTTCTTTTTGTTTTTAATGTTCCTAATTTTTTGTTTTTGTTTTTAAATATATTGTAATACTCACTCAAAATATAACGAAAACTATTACAAATGATGCTATGCTTTAGTGAAAATATGGGATACAGATCAACAATAATTTTGTTTATAGTTTTGATAAATAATTCGTAATTCAGTATTTCAGTACTTAAATAGATATATTTTTAATATTACATATATGCTACGTGATGTAAGGAGAAATACTGGATTTATATTTACCACTTTAATTACTAACGATTGTGAAGAATTTAGGCATTTGGCAAATGATAAATACTTTCAGTATTATACACTAATATTGACTTAAGTATTAACACAATTAAATGAATTAGTAAAAATAATGAAAATTGTATTTGAATAAATAATTAAAAACCTGGATACATTTTTACATTGTCTTAAAATATATTTAATACCCATTAATGATGACATTTAACAAATTTTATAATCAGATAGCTGCTGTCACTAAGTGTATAGCATAAATTATAAGGGTGAACCAACAGGGGTTCATAACAGAATAAAAAATGGTATTCATAAAACCTATATATTTTTATACGAATTCGCGTTCTCTACATTTTCAGTATGGGAATGACATTCACATGACGAACAGCAGCAACATTACAAATTATTGGTTTCCCACGAAAATATACTGGAATACAATTTTAAATTTATAAATAATATAGACATTAACATTAAGTTAAATTTATATAATTCCAATTTCCAATGATAAATACCTACTTAATTCAAGTCTACTTGTTTGCATTTGAAATATACCTACTAGATTTATGCAGTACCTATATATTTTCTTTCTAATAATAAAACCCAGAGCCGCATTAAGATATTTTGAGCCCTGATTAGGTTATTTATTTTAGGTAAACAGAGAAATAAATTGAAAAAACATGTTAAAATCACATTAATTAATTAATTAATAATGATAAATATTTTAATAAAATACTTAGGTTATATTTTATAATATTTTATTGCACTAGATTGATACTATAATTCTAGTATAAATCCAATTTCGATTTATTTAGATACCTAAATCAAATAATATAAAATATATAAAAAATGTCTGATATCGTCAAAAAATATATATCTTATCAACAAATTTATCGATATATATTACGGTAAACATAAAAATGAGTATTATTTTCCTTGACTAATTTTTCAAATTACTTTTCATTTATAATATATTATTTTACAAATAATATTACTTACCTAATTAAATAGGTATACCTAGGTATTTTAGGTAAATTTAATTTAATTTAATTTAATTTTTCCATCCGAAGAAAATTGGCATTAGACCCAAAAAAAGTGAGCTTCCCCTGTTAGATAGAGCTATGGGTCATAGCAAATCTTATTTCCGTACACGGAAATCTATCCGAAAAGTCGAGTGAATATCTTTCACATGACATAATTATATTCGTACACGGAAAAGTTTTCAGAATACGGTTTTTTTAAGATCATGTGAAAATTCACGTAGAAATGAAAATTTCCGTTTACGGATCTTATTCGTAAGAGTTTCCGGTCCTGTGTGTTTTTCAACAGAAATTAGATCATTAGTTTTGTAGTTACAACCATTTAAAGTTTATAGTGTTATTTAAATAGCCTATGTTGTTTCATTCCTTCAATTTTTGTCATGGATAATGCGACATAACCATGTATATAAAGAGGATAATAGATTCAAAACGCTAAATAACAACAAACCTTTTTAAATTTTTTTTGTTACGTTAACAATAGTATGATAATATGAGTTGTATAAATTATATTATTGTAATTTACTACCGAGTATACGAGACCTACTCAAGGTGGTTTTACACAACAAGTTGAAGGGTATTTTCGATTTTAATTGACTAACGAGGACAGCGAGGTAAAATTAAATATAATCCTTAGAAAAAATGCATTGAAACATAATATATAAAAAAAATAAATGAAAAATTAAGCTAAACTAGTATTGATGAAATCATCGTTTTCTAAAAAGAAGTGCAAAAGAATAACAGCCGACAGTAATTTATCGAACTTGTATACTGAGACGTGTTACAAATGAAGTCACCACTGCGCAATTTGAAAAAATGAAGCATTATTATTAACAATTATTTAAAGATTTTGGTATAAATCGAAAACTTCCATTATCTACGACTTCGAAATAGAATTCGTGTGTCAAATTCGGGTTTCACCAACATTTTTTTAAACCAAAAAAATTGCCAAAAAAAGAGGTGCCCGGTGAAGTAGTTCCAAAATGAGATTTTTAACAATAACAATTTCTTCCTTAATGCACATATATATATATAGTAAAAGTATATTCCTCTAATATTTCGTATTAACCGGTATGCTAATCTTGGCTGTACACGAATCAATGTGTGAATGAGTGATATTTGAATAATATATTTAAATTTTAAACCGTGATTGCACATCGGAATATCTATTGTATTGTTTCGCTTCTGGCGTCAGAACGTCGCATAGGCTTAAGTCAGTGTCACAAATTTTATAAACAGGGGCCAGGATAATAAACAATTGAACTGAATCCATAGATATGACCTTTTTTCCCGTCAAGTTGTATGTCACAAGCCTGAAGTTCTTCTTATCACTTAAAATAGTATACAATGCATTAGTAATCTGTTACCGTGTCTGTGTAATACCATAATACCGAGTAATGTGATATATGTTGTCGTATACTGTACAATCAACATATTCCACTATTGAGTTTTTGTTAGTAACAAACGATTTGTTACTATTAGTTTATTTTAACATTATTAATACTTATTTATAGTTCGTTTTATTACAGATCAATGTAATGTCTCAAATTCCAATTGCTATTTCATTGATACAGTTTCAACTTTCGTGGCAACTCTTTAATTCATTTTGATTTTGTTTCGTGTACATCATTGTATCCGATTCTCATCATTACTTTTATACATGTCAAGATCATAAGTAAGTAATTTACATTGTAATAAATTATTTGTTATATTTGAAATTAGTTATCTCTGATGTATAGAATTTATATTAAATATCCATATTTTTCTTATCTCTTTAGAAAGTAAAATGGTGTATTTTTGAAAGTCAATAGTATCCTAATACTATTTAAAATATATATATGTTAATATTAAAGTCGAATAATTTTGTATGCATACTGCAATTCTTCCTTATACTCTATGATTTCCAAAAAAGATAGAAAACAGTTAATTGGCTTATTATATATTATGTATGCACATATATATAAAATTTAAGATTATTAGGATAAAGACTGTAAAAAAACTAGACTATCATTAGATTATAATTTATAATTGAAAAATAAAACATTATTAGATAACTATAATTACCCTGGTATATTTTTTGATTAAGCCTTATTTATTCATTTGAAAAAATTTGAACTAATTTAAACTAATCTTTACTTAACGGAATATTTATTTTGAAGAAGTTGTGAAAGTATAAGAAAGCTGATTTTACAAAACTTTTGGTTAGCAATTCTTAACTTGTGGTCCTAAGCATTCAAGTTGCAGGTTCTCGACACTATTATCTTAGTCATAACTAGAGTTGGGATTATATTTTTTTAATTTGCAGGACACATAACTTTTTGAAATTTCATATTGTAAAAAAAAAATTGAAATATTGAAGTCTCACTCTATTGTAAAGTCAGATTTGGTTAATTTGACACATACATACCTCTAAGAATTGAATTAGAAGTTTAATAAAAATAAGGAATGTCTCTCCAAATCGTAACTTATCTCAAGCCAAGTCATATCCCTAAACAAATTACGTGGCTGTTATTAAAATGTATGAAAAACTGAGGTTTTGCTTAAATTAAATATCTTTTTACTTTTACGCTCTGGATTTAAAATATTACTTTTAGTCTATATGTTATACATTTTAAGAACCATTTCTATAAGTAATTTACCAATTATTCTGATAAAAAGGATACATAAGATCTTGTGTATGTAGTATGTATAAGTAGCAATTTACTGAATTTTCCTGAATTTGTTATCATATATCATTACAGGATAATAATAATATTTTAATTATCATAGAAATTAAAATAATGAATAAATAAAAATAATTATAAACACCTAAAATGTAAAATGTGAAAAAAAAATTAAATTTGAGTCATATTTTTGAGCTGTATTTCTTGACATAACCAATAATATATTTATAATACATATATTTTTCTTTATTTATTAAAAATTTATTACAGTTTGACAAAAAAATAAACTTTAAATAACAAATATACTATATTTAAATGAGATTGAACAATACTATAAGAAACAATAAATAGCAATGATAACAAAACATTATTTGTATATGTATCTAAGTACCTAATCTAATCCTGCTTAAGTAGAAAACAACAAATTAAAATACTAATTAAATAGAGAATCCCAATTCCTCAAAATATTTTAAGATAAAATATATTTTCAGGGTAGAGTAAAATCATAAACTTTGGTTAAGTTTTTAGTAACCCCCCTTCGCTATTAGTGTCATGCATTTTTTCTTAGCTTCATTTTGGCTAGGCAATCAGATATACTAATAGAAAAATAAACGTTCCCTCTGGAAATGGAATTGTAGATCTTCAAATTTTTTTTTAAAAAAAATGAAAAGAAAAATTGATGTAGTGAATATAAATAATATTAATCATAGTTTTAGCAAGAATATAACAATAATGATATAAATTGAGGATATTTGTATTATAATATTTTAATATTACAGTTATGATTAGGGCAATTGACTAAGCCATCTTTGGTCCGACACAAATAATGTATAATGCTTATTTTGTAAAAATATTTTTTAAATCCCCTCCTTTAAAATATTTGATGAATATCACTATAATAAAATATAAATTCAAATATAATCTGTAATCATTTCTGCTTAGATTAGTATTTAATGGTTATTTACATGGATATATGTTCATTTTTAAAGCAAACTGTATTTTGATGTTTTACAGATATCCATTGGTGAGTTTAGAATTCTTAAATCAAATAATTTTTGAGGAAAAATCATGTCTGAGTATGATGATGAGGACATGGAATATTCAGATCAGGATGACTATCAGAATGACTATGAAGATTATTATAATGCAGAACGTGATGTAATGAGTCCACCTCACAATCCTGATCCTGAATATTTTCCTGTTCAATGCCTTTCAGTCGATGAAGTTGAAAAATTTTTAAACGAACTTGTCGAACAAGTGTGTACTAGCATACTTGTAACACCATCAATGTCAAAAGTCTTACTTTATGAAAATAAATGGGCTGTTCAAGAAGTATTATGGAAGTATAATGAAGATGCAGATAAACTTTTTGTTGCATCAAAAATGAAAACATTACAACCACTTACAAATAAAATAAAAAAAGATAAATTTATATGTCCTGTCTGTGTTGCACCAGTAACCGAAGAATTGGGAATCACTAGTTTGGCTTGTGGACATTGTTATTGTGATAATTGTTGGCGGTCTCATTTTGAAAATAAAATAAAACAAGGTATGAGTACTGAACTTTCTTGTATGGCGTTAAACTGTGAATTACTTGTACCAGAAGAAATAGTTTTATCTACAGTTAATAAACCAATTTTAAGGAAACAATATCAACATTTTGCATTCCGTGAATACATAAAATCACATCCTTTATTACGTTTTTGTCCTGGAGCTAACTGTAATGCAATTATAAAATCTAAAGAATCTCTGGCCAAAAAAGCTATATGTACTGAATGTGAAACTTCATTTTGTTTCAAATGTGGAAATGACTATCATGCCCCAACAGATTGTGCTACCATAAAAAAGTGGATTACAAAATGTGCAGATGATAGTGAAACAGCAAATTACATAACAGCTAATACTAAGGATTGTCCAAAATGTAATATATGTATTGAAAAAAATGGTGGCTGCAATCACATGCAATGTTTAAGTTGTAAATTTGATTTTTGCTGGATGTGTTTGGGAGATTGGAAAGCACATGGTACTGAGTACTATGATTGTTCCAAATATAGGGAAAATCCTCAGAATGGTTCAGAATCAGCTAAAGCTCGTGAAGCTTTAAAAAAATATCTTCACTACTATGAGCGCTGGGAAAACCATTCTAAAAGTTTGCAATTAGAAAAACAAACTCTAGATAAAATTAAAGAAAGAATAAACAGTAAAGTAATGACTAGTAAAGGCACATGGATTGATTGGCAATATTTATTAGATTCAGCTACACTATTGGCTAAATGTAGGTACACTCTTCAGTATACATATCCATATGCATATTATATGGAAAATGGCCCAAAGAAGGAACTTTTTGAATATCAACAAGCTAAACTAGAAGCTGAAATTGAAAATTTGTCGTGGAAAATAGAAAGAGCTGAAACAACTGATAGAGGTGATCTAGAGAATCAGATGGATATTGCTGAGAAAAGAAGAGCTACCATGCTTCAAGATTTTTTCCAAATCTAAATAATTAATTTTAGGTACATTTTCTAAGTAAGTTAATGTACAATTTTACCTGAAATATATTTATTTTTTATCATTTTTTATTAATTTTTTTTTAATTGCTACTCTGATAAATATATTAAGATTCTTCTTATTACATTTTGTTGTTTTAAAGTATTTAAATATGTAAAAATTGATACAAATTGGTAATTCAATTCACACTTGATAAATAAACAATTACAATTAATATTATTTTTCATTTGAATAAAGTTTGACTTAACAATTTAATCTGGTAATATTTTTAAAGCTTTCCAATTATTTGATAAATGAGCTAGTTGCCAAACATCTTGACCATTTTTATCTTTTATGCTTAGATCAGAATCACAGTCAACTAGAGTCTTGATCACTTCCAAATGAGTAAACATCAATACTAAAAAAAATAATGTTTTTAATGTTAACTAAGTAATTAACTACATAATTATAGTAATTTTCATTTGTAAAATCAATTGAAGGGCTTGGAACAATAACAAGGTAAATGCAGTTTTTCGTGAATTATTGTATAGGAAAAAAATACAGATGATTGGACATAACAACCAGTTAAATCCAATAAATATAAACATAGTTTATAATGGAATGGGATTTATCTGGTTATTGCTTCAATGTGGTCATACTGTATTTACCACATGATATCCACATTAAATAAAAATAATGCAATAATTCAATACCTTTACTCTGTAATACAATATAAAGCGTTTGGTTTAGAAACTAACATAAGAATATCCTGAACCAGGACACAGTTTCCTACTGTGAGATCATTGTTTTGGGGTAATTGAACAAAAAAAAAAAAAAAATAAACGAAAAATTGAAAGAGTAATTTTGCAACAATAGTAAAATAAACCATATCTTATCGACAAATATATTATTTAAAAGAAGGATTATTTTGCAGTATTACAGTAAATTCTACTTGTGAAGAGCATTACATATTTCATAAAATTGACAGTTAAAGCCCATTTGAAAATATTTCAATGCTGAATCATAGAGCACTTGAAATTAAAGCAGCAAAGTTAAAAGACGTTCAGGAACTAGCTGTAAAATATGTACCACTTGAACATATGTGGTTCTATAGACAGTTCGAAGACAATGTACATAATAATAATCCTGATCTATCTGATAATGAATATTGATAACATTATTTTTAATTAATATTTTTATGTAACTTTTAAGCAAAGAAAAAAAATGAAAAGAAATCCTGTGATATTATTATAACTATTGAGAAAAAATATTTTGTTTTTTTGTTGTTTATATAACTAATTTGAATACCACTTGTTTTGATATAATTAAATTTTAAACTGTTTTATTATATTTCAAAATAGTAAAATTATCATTTTAAATTGTTAGACAAACTTTTTTAAAATTATTAGTATGCCTTCAAAAATACAATATGTTTGGCGCAAAACCAAATAAATTCATGGATTTGATAGCTTTGGACAACTTTTGTTTAAAGAATAAAAAAGTTAACTAAATTTTTAGTCCATAGTAGAGCCCAACATAGGCTAAGCTAGCCCAGCCCGGCTCGGTCCGTTGGTACACTAGGCCGGACAGAGCTACATATTTCTTTTAAGTGTACGGGTCTGAGTGGGCTTTGCTTAAGTTAGGTTGGATTAGTTTAAGTTAGATAGTTAAGTTTAGATGGACTCGGGTTTCAAAAACTAGAATAGTGTTGGGCTTTAATGGACCGGACACTTTATATCAGGTACGGGCTGGGTTGGGCCTGTATTCTGTAAATTATTTTAATATTTGTATTTTTGGACAACTAAAAATGAAAAATGGAAGGCTCGAATGGTGAACTTAATTATATTATTTGGATTATTTTTAAATCCATTAATTTAGTACATGTAGTACAAACTAATAGTTATTAAGTATAAACACTATAAATATATTCGATCGTTATTGGAAATAGTCTTTGTAATCGTAATATAAGGATAATAAATTATTTTTAGCAATAAACTATAAATATCATTACCTAATAGCTATATGTCATATCATTATCGTTGTATAATTCTGAAGAATAATAACAATTTTATATTAAAATATTACTATAATAATATAGTTTATAATTTTACTCATTAGTCGTTTGACGATCGAACATCTAACGAATACAAAATTATATAAGTATAATAAATAACATTAACAAATGTAGGTACAAATTATTATTCTATGATCTACGTATATTGTATACAATATAATATTAATATTTTTATTTGCTAAATAATAAATTTTTAAAAGTTTAATACTTTATAAATAATTATTATATATAAGGGCCTTCACCGAGCCTGGTTGAGCTTTCACTGGCCGGACTGGGCTGGGAATTGTATTAGAATGGTCAGGGCTGTGTGGGCTTCATTATATAATTTTAACTTTAGGAGAGCTTTGGTTTTATAAATTACAAGAGTAGAGGCTCTAATAGGCCGAATTTTTCATATCAGATATGAACCAGGCTGAGCTTGAAATAATCGGACCATGCAGAGCTTATAGTATTATTTTTTATCGTGTTAGTAATAAAAAAGTTTAATTAGCTTTAGTATAATATATAATATAATATATATTAATTAATCATGGAATAAAACGGTTTTTTTATCAGCCCTGAACAATTTCAATAAGTGGATTTACCTGGTTGTTATTCCAAGCCCTTCAATTGCATTCCAGTTGTTTAATTTGATAATTATACCAATAATATTAGTACATTATTTATTTATTTTTATTTGATAGTTTTATATTTATAGTTTTGTCTTAATAGTTTTTTCATAATCTGTTTTAGGCACATACCCAAATAAAATTTGTATATTTAGCATATCTATATAAATAATGACATTCAAACTTAATGAAAATGTTTTTACTATTTACCTTTTTTTCCCGTTTTTAAAACTAGGACCGGGTGGGAACTGTTTTGCATATTACTACCACTCAACTATTTACCTGCTCTCATCAATGGAGTCCATCCTTTAGAGTCCACTGAGTTGACATCACTCCATTTTTCTGCCAAAAGCATTTTGACCGCATTATTTTGGGATCCGTCTACTGCATAATGGAGGGCTGTTTTTGAGTTTCTAAAAAAATTAGTTAGAAAAAGTTAGAAAAAAAAATAAGTGTTCCATCCTTAAAAAAGAAATAGTAATTTCAATTACGAACATGTCTTTCATAGCAGCATCAGCGTCATTGTGAGCTAGTATTCTTATTATGTCACAATGGCCATAATAAGCCGCAGTCATTAACGGTGTGATTTTTGTGAACATGTTGGATGAATTCACATCCGCCCCATGCTGTATAAGAGTGAGTACGATGTCGTTGTGTCCAGCTGTGCATGCTTTGGACAAAACGCTTTCGCCAAATTCGTTGTACACGTTGATGTCTTTAGGTCTTGTGATCAAAAACTCTCGAAAAAGCAACGGCAAATTTTGATAGGCACTGTGATGAAAGGCGGTAATGCTTGGGTTATGATCTAGAGACGTACGTTGTATTTTTTAACAAGTTTTAAGTATCCAAAAACAATGCAACTACTAATGGAAAATATCAACAAAAAATATCAGTGCTTTTGGAGAAGCTGTATGGGTACAATTTATTTGGCATAAGTAGGTATATATAGGGGCTTCTGGATGTCCTCTTCCTTAAAAAGTCCTCTCTAGCAACCCGCAATACACTAATAATTTTTCTCTTAGAATGCAACCCTCAACACAGACAAACCGAACAAAAAATATGACCCTCCCTTAAATTAATATTATTTTTGATGACAAAACATTTACCTGCCCCATACCGAACACAGACAAACCTAACGAAAACAATTACCTCATCCTTAGAATACAACCCTCAACACATACAAACCTAATAAAAACCATGACCCTCCCCTTAAAATACTATTATTTTCACTGACGAAACACAACATTACCCTTATCCAACAAAGACAAACCTAACGAAAACCAATACCTTCCCTTTATACGTAATCTGCAATACATAAAATCCGAGTGAAAATCATGATCTTACCCTTACATAACACAGACAGTCATAACTATAACCCCCTCCCCCGCCATTAAACAGTGCTTTCAAATCACACGCCACTGTCGTGCACCCAAAGAGAATTACGACGGGTAGTGATGAAGTAGAAGAAAACAACACTTTGAAGAATATATCATGACAAGTTTAGATGACTGGGTTCATTCATTTAGACAAACACACTGTAATTATGTAGATAGATATAAAGTTAAACTGTACAGGAATCAAGTCGGTCACGACTAGTATTAACAATAACACAGTCTAGTGCCTTCATTAACTCTGTATTAAAAGTGACTTCCAGTGGCTAGTGAGCAAATGCATTATATAGAAGCCCACTTGTATCACGTACCCTGGTACGGAAGATAATCTAAAGTGCCAAAGTCATATTTTTTGTTCAGTTTGTCTGTGTTGAGGGTTGCATTCTAAGGGGAAAATTATTAGTGTATTGCGGGTTGCTAGAGAGAACTTTTTAAGGGGGAGGACACCCAGAAGCCCCTATATACACCTAATTGCATAAAAGAAAAATCACATAAATCTAGAATAGATGATTAATACAATGGGCTGGTTATACTTAGCAAAGAGAATCTACTTATTTGTATGGTAATGGTGGAAAACCTGAAAACCGAGAAGAAAAAACTTGTTGGATGCCCGTCCTCATTTATGATGGATAGATGTGATGAGAAAAGACGTCGAATCTTTAGATGGAGAATGAGACTGGATAATAAAAGTATTTAGGGGACAGGAAAAATTGAAAGTATTACGGAATGGTCCTAATAGTCAATAGCTTCCAAGAAAAAGAATACAAAGAACCCCATCAGAAGATTAAAAAGTTTAGGATACCAATTCGTTTATTCAGCTTAAGTTCACCAAATCAATTTTTTTTTTTTAAGATTTATATAAATCGTATTATATCTCCCTGTTAAAGAATAAATGCATCAATTATCTGCAGTGGCGCAACAAAAATTTATTTTCGGGGAGGGTTATACGAGTCATATTCGAAAAATAAGGACCGTTTTATTATAAAAAAAATTATAACCATATGAAATAAGTTTCATTAGCACAATTAGTTTCCTACTAATCATTTTTACTTTTCCACATAATCGCCGTTTACTTCTAAGCATTTTTCATACCGCTTCACCAGCTTTATTAACCCATCTGCATAGAAGCTCACCGCCTGCGAGTTGAACAAGTTTTCAATGGCGTTCTGAAATTCCATGTCATTTTCAAAGCGTTATCCACCGAGACATTTTTTTGAAATTTAAGAAAAGGAAGTAGTCACTAGGTGCAAGGTCGGGACTGTACGGTGGGTGGTTAAAAAGTTCCCAACGAAAATCTTAAATTTTCTCTTGGGTCTTGGCTGCAGTGTAAGGACGCGCATTGTCGTGAAGGAGGATTATACCGGATGACAGCTTACCACGTCGTCGATTTTGGATTGCATGTCTTAGTTTATTGAGCATTTCATAATATACGTCAGCTGTAATAATTACAACAATAATTATTATTGTCCCACGTTCCATAAAATTAACCAAAAGAACACCTTTTTCATCCCAAAAAACGGTAGCCATCATTGTTCGACTCGTGTACTGAGTTTGTTTAAATTTTTTTGGTTTTGGTGAAGTTGAGTGGCGCCATTACATTAATTGCTGTTTTGTTTCTGGATTGATATAGGATACCCACGTCTCATCACCGGTAACAATGTGAGAAAACAAATAGTCTCTATCTTGTCGGTAACGGTTCAAAAACTCTCGTCCACTGGACATTCTTTGCTTTTTGTGCTGGTCGGTGAGCATTTTTGCTACCCATCTTGCACACAATTTGTGGTGTCTAAGTTTTTCTGTGACAATTTTGTAGACAATAGTGCGTCGAAGGTTAAGAAATTCATCACTCAGGGCACTAATCGTCAACCGACGATCAGATCGCAGTTTTTGGTCCACCAGAGAAACAATTTCATCAGTTTGCCTACTGGGCCTACCACTCCGCTCTTCGTCAAGAACATTTGTTCGTTCATTTTTGAAATCACGATACCATTGTCTAATTTTTCCTTCACTCATTACAGTAGGTCCATAAACTAGACATAACTCTCGTTGAATTTCAGAAGCTGAAGATCCTTTTGCACACAAAAATCTTATTACAGCGCGAACTTCACAGCTGGCGGGAGCAACGATTATCGCGGACATTGTCTACTGTAAGCACAACTTGGAAAATTACTACTAAATCAAAACAACGCCTGAAATAATTACACGAGTAGTGCACGTACAGATATGCACAAATTTTAACGCGTTATGACTTGTCGATTTTAAAATATAAGCGAACGGTCCTTACTTTTCGAATATGCCTTGTATTATAAGTCTTTAATACGGATGAAGCTGGAGTGTTTTTTCAGCTTGAACCAAAAATGACATTAGCCTAAAAAGGAGACATGTGTGTAGGGGTAAAGCTTTCAAAAAACCCATCACCGCTCTTTTTTGTTGTAACAAATCGGGAACGGAGTAACGAAAAATCCTCATCATTGGCAAATCTGCAAAACTTCGTTGTTTTAAAAACTGTAAATCATTGCCATGCATCTATAAATTTAATAAAAAAACATGGATGACTCAAATAATTTTTAATGATTGGTTGATAGATTTTGATAGAGAAATGAAAAAAAAGAAGAGGAAAATTCTTCTTCTTATCGACAACTGTATTCCACATAATGAACCACCAAAATTGGATAACATTCGAGTGGAATATTTCCCACCTAACTGCACAGCTGTAATTCAACCTTTTGACCAAGGTATCATCAGTACTGTAAAATCACGCTACAGAACTTTTTTGTTACGTCAAATTCCATGCAATTTGGAGAAAAATATCCAAAGAAAATGCAATGTGAAGGAAGCTATCGAATTCATATGCGAAGCTTGGGATGATATTAGTTAGTCAACAATAACTAACTGTTGGAAACATGCAACCACAACCAAAGACGCTAATTCTGTTTCAGAATTGGCTGAATATGATGAATCAAACACGCACGACATCCAACAATCTGAGTTAAAGCAAATTTAGATCACTGCGAAAAAGAAAATGTCGCTTCCTGACGACGTGAATTTAGTAGATTATCTCGGTACAAATCAGTGCTCGAATTGGAAAAAAATCGAGGACTGACGCTGGTTTTAGTTCAAAAAACACCGTTCCATAGCTGATAAATTGTAAAGTAACTCGTTGTGGACTTCGTCCCCTGCGCCCCTGAAAATATAATATCGCATTATAAAGGTAGTATTATTATATAATATTTATTTGCTTATTACTATTATTTTATAACGAAATAATAATATTAATTACAGAAATAAATATTATTCTTTAATTAAATTCCACAATGACTTGTATGCATTTTCTTCAGTTATTTTTATCTTTTTAGGGCAATTTTCTTCCTCTCCTGTTCGTTTGCCTTTCTTAGCCCACGATTCAATCCATTTTGTTGTGTTGGTCCATCTTGTCAATTGGTGGAAAATTAAACAAAAAGTTCTTAAAAGGTTATCAAAATTAGAAATAACCTATACGACTATACAACCGAAATCACTTCAAAATTATATAGTTATTCAGCCATGATTATTATCCTAGTCCGTGATTATCGTCAACGGTAACTGTTTTCTGGGAAAAATAACCATTACTTTGCAGTTAGCTATAGAAAATTGAAATAAACGAAAACAAAATCCAAATACACCGTTCAAAAGTAAACATCCTTAGGGGGACTCGTTTTTAGCGTTCCTCGCTTAATTAAATGAAAGGGGACGCTGAAATCTATGGAAAAATTAAAGCGAACTCCGTCCGCCCGCGTCCCCCCCCCCAATTCAAGCACTTGTGCAAATGACAACGTTTCAACATTTTATGAACTAACCGACGTAGACATCATGCAATCCATTAAAGACAGCAAAGAAGAGACCACCGATAAAAGTAGTGGAGACAAAGACGAAGAAGCTGTGCGCAATTTCACTTCATCAGAAGCCTTATCAAGTTTAGAAGTAATATGAACATTCAATACATCACAGAGTGATGTACCAAACTTCATCTTTATAAACATTCATCAACTATAAAATTATTTACTTTCTAACAGCAAACCTTGTTTAAAAGAAAATTGTTGATTATCTATAATAAAGTGATTTACTTTCACAAATTATTTACTTTTATTAAAACTGTCAATTATTTATAGATAATAAAGTTATTCATTTTTTCCGCGAATTATTTACATTTGAATTATTTATTTGTTACATATTTACATATTTGTATTTGAATCATATAATGTTTTTAAATTTGTTTTTATTCGAATTTTCAAAATTTCGCTACAACGAAATTTCCGTTATAACGAAAAAAAAAAATGCTGTCCCTTGGAGTTCGTTGTAACGGGAATTTATTGTATTATATATTCCAAGTTTCAATAATTTTGATCAAATAGATTCTTCGGAATCTTAAGAAATATACCAAAAACTAATCCACTTTACCTCATTTTACAGTACGCTACTGGAAAGAAAGAAGCCATAGTATTACAAAACAATGACGTTCTTAAAATTGCTTTTAAAGAAAGTAATAAACTAGATATTTTATTCGTATTTCTGAAATAAATTTTAGACGTATTAAAACTTTTACTAAAAAAATGATTACTGCTCCCGGTAGTTTTTATATTTGTGAGCAAACATTTTCAATAATTATATTTTGAAAAAATAAATATTCTTCGCAATTAAACGACGAACACTTCAATGCAGGTTTCATAAATATCAACGACCAATATGAAAACGGATATAAACGATTAAGCGTGAAAATTTCAAACCACAAAAATCATACTAAAAATTAAATATTTATTTCCTTTTGCACTTTAAAAATAAATTAATAGCTTTTATTGAAAATTTTTTAATTTTTTCTACTAATGTAGTGTATATATTGTCATAAAAAATATGTGGAACAGGTAGGAAGTATGGTATTCCGATAAGAAAAATCTAGTGTTTGACAGAGCAAGAATAGAAATATTGTGAGACAATCTAATAAACCCCCAAAAAAAAAAAAAATTATATATAATACGGGCTAACGGGGAGAGTAGCTAGCCCTACTAAAAATGTAAAACATTTTATTATGGTGGAAATGCCATTAGGATGGTTGGTGGATGGGTGGGTACATCGCGGATATATATATCTACTTCTCACTTAAAATAAGTTCAATAAGTTACTGCATAAAACCATAATGATTAAAAATTTATAGAATAAAGTTGTATGAAAAACTTGATTTCCATACATTTTTTATTTTAGTCATAATTAATATATCTTACTTTTTGTAGTAAAACTAGCGATTGCTGTATTAGACATTGACCCATCAATTTTTTTCGTAATATCATTTAATTCCATTTGCAGTTTAAATTTATAGAAACGGCCATCAGACAAATTTTTAACACGGTAATATTTACGATACCCTCTAAAATTAAAAACATATTATAAATACGTAGGTATTATTTATATATTTCTAAACATTTAATCCTGTCGTGTTTCAATATTTTGAAATCCAAACTTTCATTATTTTGTGTTAAGAAACACAAAATAACGAGAAAATAATTGATTCATTCTGTATGTAAGAATAAAACATTACAGCTACATCCATTTCTCATAGTTTTCGTGACAACATTTTAAATACTTATACCTAAAAATTATATTTTTTTTTAAAGGCAATTTGTAACTTTAATTTATATCGAAATTTTAGAAAATATACAAACAAAATATTTAGGCCTTTATTTTTTATTTCATCAATTGTTCAGTAATGTTCAGCATTTTAAATATACAATCCAATAATATTTCAACAAGTATAAGATTTATTATTGAAACTCTTCTTACACTGTATCATAGGCGGACCCAGAGTTTTACATTTGAGTGTGCCCTGTCATTTTTTGATTATTTTTTCAAAATATAAAGGGGAGGCTATAAACACGTACATGTAGACTGTGTTATGATTTAAATTCTAAAAATAAAGGCTTCGTTAATGATGTAAAATAACGATTGGTAAAAATACACGTAATTATTATTTCAGACTTATTCTGAACACTTGAAGTATTACTTACAAAAAACTAAAATTTAATTAATGTGTATGCACATATATTCTCAATTGATATTATTAAATTTTTTTATTTACATTATTCACATTAGGGTGTGCCAAGGCACACTCGGCGAGCCGCCCATGCACTGTATAGTAAATAAAACTTAATATCTCAAACATTTTATTGTTTCCTTGAAGCATTTAGTGCATATTTGAAATGTGAAAACACATAATTACACAGATGTTATAAAAATCATTTATTGAATAAGTGTTATTTACTTTAATATGATTTTTAATAGAAAATATATTTACATCTACTTTGTGACTTAACCTTAAAATAATTTTGATCAAGACACCTGGTTCAGGTTTATAGTTGTAGAAGTTTATTTACTGTATGGTTTTGAACTAAATATAAATTATATTTTAATATTACTGATTTATACCTATAAATAACGACCCATTGTTGATCATTTTCATTCATATTCAATTCGAACAAAGGATCTATGTTTTCTTCTGGCTTGTTCCATTCTAATTGAGCTGAATTACGATCAACATTTGATATTTCCAAAATTAACTATAAATATAAAATCATATCAGCTAAACAAATTGGATAGAAATATTTAAATTTTATTAAAAAATAATTTAACAAAATATTGGTAGTATTATTTTCTATTTCTGAAAAAAAAAATAAGAAACCAACAAATTTTAATTATTATCGTATATTTTTGTCCTATTATTTCCTATTATTGTAAATACTCTTTATTTCTAAATCTTAAACATGAATTATTAATTATTAAGATTTGCAAATTTAAGTTTATTAAGTATCTATATTTTACCTAAAGCAGCATTTCCAAAACTGTGGTCAGCACGTAAATTTAAATTATACAAAGTATTATTAAGTATTAAGTATTAATATATATATATTTTTATTTATTATTGTTTTTTAAGTTTTATTATCACTAAGGGGTCCAGCAGAAAAAAGTGAAAAACGCTGACCTAAAGAATACAAATAATTTAATAAATATTAAAAAAAATAACCTTAAAAAACCACTTACATATTTAATATTAATTAAATATCAAAACAATAATTTATTAAAATATTACCTTAAAAGTCATTAAATAGTTGTTTAAAACAATTTGAACTCCAAAATCAACCAATTTAAAATTAAGTTACTTATTCGTTTTTCTTAAAAAAATTACAAAACACCATTCATAACTGATAGTAATTATTTGTTTGTTTCCTTAGTAACCACATTTACAATATGATTATTATCAATTATTTTCATATCCAAAAGAGCAAACTTTGTTAATGAGAAGAATTTTTATTTTAATTAAGTACATACAACGTAGAATTTTAATGTAACTTAAACTAATTGTTATAGGACCCATCTCTAAAAATTAATTAATATCTGTATTGGAAAATAGAAAGTTCTTTACAAATTTATAAATTTTAAAATTATTAAATTAAAGTAAGTAAAATTAAGTTAACTGTTTACTGTTATTTCTTAATATAAATTTATAATAATATAATTATTAGATTTTAAGTAAAGTAATAAATATGTTTACTTTTAATTATTTAATTTAATAATTACTATATTATACTCCTTCATTTGATTAGTTTTTTACAAATTTAAATTTAAATGTTTTTTTTCTGGTTTCTTAAAAAAATTAAATATTGAAAAAATATGAAACTTAAAATAGAAATACATTTTATTTTCGCTTTAAATTTAAATACATTTTAATTATACCTAAGCTATTTTCCAAGGACAAGCCTTAACCACTTACAAATGTTGTTAACATGATTGTTTTGATTATTGAAAATTATAATTTATTATTGCTATCAAATTTAAAAATAATATTAATTAAAATTTTTTATAAAAAATTTAGAAGTCTCAATATATATCAATGATTAAATATTATCTATTATTACAAATATAATTTAAATAAAATATCAGTAAAAATAAAAATGTATAGATTTTATATATATAATATATAAACAACAAATATAATGATTGGTAACTCTAAAATTAGTTAACAAAAATAATTACTCTGCATTCTTTTTACAAATTTGTTAATTATAAAATTTGTGACGTTGAACTTTGACTACAGTAAATAATTGAGCCAGTGAAATTTAAAGCAGCTGCTAAAATGAAGACTGGAAACCAGCGGCCATGTGATGTGGTCACAAGTTCTGCAGTCAAAGGACCAGAGAGTATTCCTGGTATAGTAGCCTAAAAATAAATTTTAGTTAAATAAAATAACATTTAACATAAATTGTATAAACAAAGGATACATATTTTAAATTTTTAAATCAAATTGTCAGTCATCGAAATCAGTCCTACAAAATATACTTGGAAGTATCCCTAAAATGTACATATTTTAGAATTATGTGATATCAAAGCTTAATACATTTTAGAGCCTAGAACTAGTCTATCATATACAATTTATTGTACTATAAATTTATGGTTAAACATATTATTATTATTTAATTTTTTTAATTATTATTTACAGAAGAAATAATCACACAACTTTGTACCATAAGTCATTAGGATAACAATTATTAGTATACAATTCATAGCATAAACCACTTAATAGAGTTACCAATAGTTACCTATTGGTAATATTTCACAAATGTATTAATCCACTGAAATGATTAACAATATTTATTTTTTTTAATATAATATTATTAAAAAATGTATGATTTGCATATTATATTAATACAAAACATAAAATAAAAAAATAAAAATTAACAATCACAATCATTTGAAACTTTTTTAGAGTCAAATTTATTTATAAATATAATTTACCAGAGTATTTGATATTGAGAATGTAATGCCAGCATGATTAGGAGCTACTTCTGCATGATTACTTAAATGTCCAGCTGAATTACATGCACATAATCCCATTGATATTGATATGAATCTATTACATAAAAATATTATTACTATATTTAAATATAGTTTCTAAAGTGAGTTTTTTGTAAATATTGATGTCATACATTATTGCTGGAGCTAAACTATTAACTGTACAAAACAAAAGTAAAAATACAGCTGGTCCCACTAAACCTATAGTAGTCATAAGTCGCCGAACAGACAATACTGACCATCTGTTATCAATTAATTTGTCAGCATAATTTCCTGCAACTAATTTAAATAATAGTTTGTTAGTTTTTATTGAATTCTTTATTACCAATTTATATGCAATCAATATAGAAATCTTGAATGTTACTTTACATTCTCCAGAATTTCTTATTATCATAATAATTTTAACTCACCAATTCCAAATACTGAGTTGAATAAATATGGTACAGCTGTTAAACTAATACTTTGTAAATTAACATCTAGATAACGCAAATAAGTAGGTAGCCAATGCATTATTATGTAATTAGACCAATTCATTGCAAAATGAGCTATATATATTGCCCATAAGGGCCAATGTATAAAGAATTTTCTCCAGTGTAATCTTATACTGGAACTCTAAATTAAAAACAATATTTCACATAAGATAATATAATTTATAAAATTTAGTTTAAATTACCTACTTAATTATTTAAAATAATAAACTTACTTGTGGAATAACAATTAATGGAAGTTCATCATTTTTTCCATAATCTTTTTCTGAATATAATGAAATCCAAATAAGTGACCAAAAAATTCCAATTGAACCAAATAAATAGAAGCTAGTTTGCCACATTAAATGTGGACATATCTAGACAATAGTTTTTTTATTTATAGAAATATTTAAAATCTATATTGCTTATTAAACTAATACTATTTACCACAGATGCCACTGTTTGGCCAACAGAACCTGCAGCCACTAAGTAACCAAATGCACTTGAACGCTCAGTAATTGCTATATTGTTGGCAAAAATATGAAATATTGTTGGTAAACCTAAATACAAAAAATTTATTCAACTTTGAATGATTTTACAAATATATTTAACATTTAATTGGTAAAATATCAAACCTAATCCTTCACCGAATCCAGATAATACTCGACATAGCATTAGAGCAAATGTATTATGGGAAACCCAGGGTGTTGCAACAGTTGATATTGACCATAAAAAGACGGACAATAATAAAATCACTTTGCCACCAAATTTTTGAGCAGCACAAGCTCCTATTATCTGAATGAATAATAACAAGGATACTGTTTATTATTTGTTTTTTAACTTCATTTACTTTATAAATAGACAGTATATTTATTTATTTTTAATTACTTGACTACTTAAATAACCAAATGCAAATGCTGACAATATCCATCCTTGCCAATGCATAGTCCATTTGAAATAACTAGTCATTGGTATTATTGCAATAGGCATAATAACTCTGTCTGCAGCATTTATAAAATTGGCAATGGAACATAGTACCACTAAACGGGTATGGCTCATTTTATGAGACATATTTTATGTCTAAAATAAAGATAGATTATACAAATGAATAAGAATATCATAATTTTTAAATCATACATTATTTTTAACACACTGGGACATGGTTTTTAGTTTTTTAATAGCCACGTCTTCACATTTTTCAAACATAGTGTATAACATAGTAATTTCAATTGATGATCATAGTTTAGAAATCATTACTAAAATTAAAAAAAATATTAATAAAATTTTAATTTTAATTATAACGTTGTAAAGTAAACCACTTTTGAAAGATAAATAAAATTGAGAGTTATAAATGAAAATACCCGAAAATAACAAAGCACAAATACCTATATTAATATAAGTAAAACTTCAATGAAAATCCGAATGACACAAAACAATATAATGATAAAACTTATCATTTGATTCTTATCAATGCAAATATATACATCTTTTATTTATATGATAAAAATACATTAATCAAATGTGATCAAAAAATCTATTATTTAGTAGTTAATGGTTTATTGACTTGTTAATACATTTTTAATTTATCAACATTAAAATCTAATATGAGTAAATTAGCCCCGAGCAAGTGTACAGTTTATGTTTCAAATCTTCCCTTTAATTTGACAAATAATGATTTACATAAAATATTTGAAAAATATGGAAAAGTTGTTAAGTAGGTATTAATTTCATAATATGTTTATATCTTTTTTGTTATTGTATTTGTTATGAGAATAATAGTTTTATTTCATTAATTATAAACTATAATGTAATGAACATATAATATAAACATAAAAAACAATTATTATGTAAATAATAAGTTTCTAATCTGAGAAGTTCATATTATTTTGTGTAAGTTGACTTTAAAAAAATAAATTCTTTATCCACTTAAGTTATATTAATATTAAAATCAGTCATTATTATTTATATTTGGCCATTTGAGTTATTACAGTATTATATTTTATTAAGAAAATTATAATAATTTGACTTTCAATAAATGTATATTAATAGAAGAAAATATAATACTGATCTATTATAAAATTAGTGATATTAATTTGGTAATTTGGATATTTATAATAACAATGTGGTGCATTCCTTTTTTTTTTATATATATAAGTCTTGATAAATAAAATTTTTTTTTCTTAATTTAGATGTAATAATTATTTAATTTAATTCTCTAATTATGACATAAATGAAGAATTTAGAAACACATAAACACGAAGTTAAATGCAATAACAAGGTGTCCAGTAATGTTCAGGTTTATGATAATGAAAAAGATAACTTTTATACAGTTGTAATATTTAAAAGTTTTGTATATTTTTTTCACCAAATAATAAATGAAAAAAATGTTTTATCTTTTATTTGGTGTATTAATAATATAATAAAATTAAATGTTATCCAAAATCTTAAGTGAACATTCCTTGAATAACAGTTTACTTTTTTTGACCAATGATAAAAGAACCGTCTTATAATTACTAGGTATACTAAGAATTAAGGATACATCTATTATAAATAATTTGTAAGTTATTAACAGATGTTCACTATCATATGTATGATGTATGATATATATACATATATATTTTAGGTTAACAATACACTATGTTAAGTTCTAAGCAAAACTAATTACAATTTTTTTTTTCTTTTGTAAACTCTTCATTATTTTTAAAATTATATATATTTGAATAACTCTTTTTTAATAAAAAATAATAACAGAAATTAAAATTATATTTAATAAATTGCATCTTCTTCAAAACAAACCACTTCTTGCTTCTAACTCAAAACTAAATGAGGTTAGCCACCGCCACATAATAAGATTTCCAACCTTTTGCTCGAATAAGCAAGTTTTTCTCATATCAATACAAATGAATCATACATTGATACTCATATTTATATACACATACTTGTTTTATTTATAAAAAAATCAACAAATTATACAACATAAGATAAAACTTTAAAAATATAAACTATAATATACAAAATACAATAATGAATAAAAACAACAATCTTAGAACATTTGTTAAAAATGTTGCACTATTTAAATTTAGTATAATTTTATTATATTAGAGTTACTATAGTAAAGGATAAAATATCTCGTCAAAGTAAAGGAGTGGCATTTGTATTGTTTCTTAATCGAGATGAAGCTAATTTTTGCGTAAAATCGACAAATAAAGTACAAGTAATGTAAAATATTCAGTCTTTTTTTTGAAAAAACAATTAAAAAAATTTATGATTTAGATGTTTGGACGAACAATAAAAAGTTCTATTGCTATAGATAATGGTCGTAGTACGGAATTTATTCGAAAACGTCAATATATTGACAAAACTTCTTGTTATGAATGTGGCAAAGAAGGCCATCTTAGCTATAAATGTCCAGAAAATTGTTTGGGTGAACGACAACCACCACCTAAAAAGAAAAAAAAGAAAAGTTTAGAAAGCAAAGTAAGAGTAGTTACATTTTATTATATATTATAAATTTAATACTAATTTTTTTAATTACATAGAATCAAGAATCATATCTAAGTTCAGATGAAGATACAATATTTTATAACAAGAAAGAAAAAAATCTTATGCAATTATACAGTGATGAAGAAAAATCCAGTATATCTGAAATAGAAACATTAAGTGCAGTAATACAAGAAGAAGTAAACAATATGAACTAGGTATAAACATATAATGTACATGTTGGTAATTATTTTTTCTATTTTAGCAAGAAAAAAATGTTGATGTTCAAAAAGTTCATGTTCAGCATAAAAAAATATATCGTAAAAATTCATATTTCAGTGATGAAGAGGAACTCACGGATTAATAACTTAAAAATGTAATTCTTAACATAATAATTTAGTTAAATGTATTTTTTTTACACACCTCACATAATGTACAGTTCTTTATGATCTTATAAATCATTTAGTATGACTAATTTCACAAATTTGTTTATTAGGTTCGTCAAATTGGCATTGTGATTTTTCTGTGAACATTGGTACATCAATTGGAAATACTTCATAATTTGTGGAAGAACAATATTGACTATGAGTTAATGACTTGAATTCAAATTTCTTCAATTCTTTCATTAAAAATTCTATAGAAATAATAATTAAATAAATAAAAACAATTTAATAGTAAAATATTAATATTCTTAACTGTTGGATTTGTCAAATTCAAGTTTTTGAATTTTCCAAACAATGACATCATAACGTCCTTTACATTTACTAATGTGACTACGAAATTCTTCATCCAACTTTCCCAAACGATATAATATAGAGTAACTATTTTTAATGATTTCTTCAGTTGACCTCAAAAGATCAGTATTGAAAGATTCTTTTTCTAATACATAATATTTAAACTATATTTTATGTATTTATGTATTTAAGCATAGTAAAATTTACCTTTTTCATAAATATTGAATACCACGTATAAAAAATCTATTGTCAACTCTATAAAAGATGAAGTACAGTCACATGTTTTATTTGGCATTTTACACATCCATCTGGGTATATGTGTACTGTTTAAAAGTGTATTCACAAAGTATAAATAGTTTGTAATAAGATGATAGCTGTGTTTATTAAGGAGTTCTAGTTGAAGACATAAGATTCGTAAAACACATGTATCTAAAGTAAAATTAAAATTATTTTTAAAATAAATAATGATATATGAAAAATGTCTACCTGTTGTAAATGTACCAACTCTTTCTGATAAAATAAATGTCTTTGGACCTATAAACAATTTGATGGTGTTATATACAAACCAGATAATTTTTTATGGTAATACATTAATATTTGAGAAAAATAAAAAATACATTTTAAGTACTTATTAGTATTTTATTTTGAAGCTATAACTTAACATGGAAATTTAAGTATTTGTAAATAAATTATTTAGTATAATATAATATAGTTATATAATTTTTGATTTAAACTTAAATCTTATAATTTTATTTTTACTTACAAGATACTTGACATAAGCTGTCTGTTATCATAGGGTATATTGAAACTTTACTTAACAAATTTATTAGTTCTTGTACAATTTCAATACAAGGGCGACTGAATACTACTTCTTTTATAGTATCAAAAATTTCTAATTGCCTAAAGCAGTTAATAATAATAATAACATAAAAAAATTCTGAATCAAACATTAAGAATTTAAAACTATTATAACTTACCTTTGTTTAGGTATTTCCCAATTACAATTACAAATATTTGTTAAAAATTTTATTAATGTTTTAATTACAGAAACATATTCTAGAGTTCGGCTCTAAAAAATAAAATAAATATCAATAATAAATAAATATCAATAATTTTAAAAATACAAATTACTTGTGAACCAATTATTTGTAAAAATTGTACAAATGTTTGAAATATGTTAATTTCGTCCAGAACAATTTTTGGAACAATGTTAGAAATAGTAGTTAGTTCTGATATACATTCCAATAAATGGGAAAATTGTAAATCAAACCTAGAAAAATGTACCAATGATGTATAAATAAAACTAATAATTATAATAACTGTAACTAAATGTTATCTTACGTTGAAGGACATTGCTTATTTAAATTTAAATAGCTGTAAACTAGTAATTTTTCCCTTTTAACAAAATCGGTATTATCTATTGTATTCTGAATTGTTTGAATTGTAGATTCTATAATAAATTTACAATTTTCAAATAACTGAAAAAATTGAGTAAATAAATTAATAGAGATTAACAAATCAATAAAATTTGTTATAAATGTTGATATTGATTTACCAGTTTAATTAATGAATAAGATTGACATTCATCAATAGTTTCTAATACCATCAATTTGGCTAAAATTAAATGACATTCTTGTATTGTACTTACATTTTTTAAACCTAGAATATAATAATTATTATTTATTAGTAACATGATAAATATATTATTTTACATTAAAACATATATATTTGTACAACCTTTTACATTTTGTTGGTCATCAAATAAGTCTGGGTACAAACATTTTTTCAATTTTTCATATGGTTTATTTACTTCTGGATAGTTACTTCTTAGAATTGTATGATATTCATTATTAATAGTTTGTAAAGTTTGAGTCGATACATTTCTTTTTATGTTGTGTTCTGAAGCATTATGTCTAAATATTTTTTAAATGAAGACTTTTTTTATAGTGTTTTAAATATTTAACTTACAATAATTTAGAATTGCTTCCAGTTTTCATACAACTAAATGATACATTTTTTTGAGGAATAATTTTGCTCACATTAATATTCATTTCTTTTATTTTATTTTTAAGAGCTGTCAATTCTTGTTTCTATTAAAAATAATAAATTAATAAGGGTTTCAAATAATAATTAGTTATTATTCATTACTTACCTGGAATTTAAGTTCAGTGTCTTTACAATCGATCATTTTTTTCATGGTTTTAAATTTATCATCTTTTTCTTGTTTTGTATTACTTAATTGAATTTCTAATTGATTTATTTTCATTTTCAAATTTTTTATTTCACCTTCTCTAATTTGATTATTCGTTTGCTTCACTTGATCTGCAGGTTGAACTAAAATGTGAAGATGTTTGATAAGTTTAATATTAAAAATAGTTTATCATTTATTGAGATATTCAAATAATTTAAAATAAAATATTATACTCCAACCTAATTCATTATAATTTATGTTTTGTAAGTATTCAGTGACATTTAGATAAAATAGGAATTAAAATTATTCAAAAGATTTTCATGATACAATCATAAAAATAAAAATGTATTCAGTAAAAAAAATGATATAAGATAAAAAAAAAATGTTAAATTATATTTTTATTAAAACATTTATTAAACAGAACTATCTACAAAAACTCAAACAGCATTAACCAATTGGTTTAACTTATATAAATTACAAATATAACATAATGCTGGAACCACACAGAGTCTACATAGAAATAAAATAAAACACAACATGGTTTTTTTTTTTTACACAATTTGACCATATTGAATTGGGTAAAAAGTATATAAAAAAATTATCAAAATTCAAACATTTTGTTGAAATTTTTTCTTTAATTAGCAAAATTAAATTTAAATAAAAATAAATTCTTTAACTTTAAAAATTTAAATCAAACAAACACATGTTATGTACATCAACAGTATAGAATAAAAATCTGACCAACGGGTATTAAATGGCAGACAACAAATTTGCAATAACAAAAAATAAATTAAAATTAATAAATGGTTAATACTCAAGTAGCAATTTTATTGACTTTGTACATATTTGATGATGAATTTTTAATTCGAAACTAGTTGTACTTTACAGATATAATAATATTACAGGCAAAGTATTTATTTATTTATTTAAATAAATTAGGTATTAGATTATTTATTTATAAATAAAAATATTTTTTTAAATTATTATCTTGGTAGGTACTACTCGTGAAATCCAGAAAACTATTGCATTTTAGTTATTTTCAATACATTGTACATATACGTTCGACATTGTTCAGCAAAATAACAAAAAAACAAAAACCTTTTGTAGTTTACAGTTACAACTTTATTTATAAAAAACAAGAACAATTTATTGGATAAAACACAATTGTTTTAAAAATGTTTTGATTTTTTCGAAAAATACAAAGTTTAAATTTTTTAATTTATAGATGGACCCAGTATATTAAACAGGTTACTCACCAGGAAAATATGATTGAGACGCTAATGTTTCAATATTAACAATAGAGTTAACTTCATCGCAAGTAAAATCGTCACCCCAAATGTCTTCTGGGCCGTGAGGTGGTTCTGTTCTAGGCCTTTTACTCATAATTTTTTAAGAATATTTTTGATTAATTTTTTTTTTTTTTTTAAATATAAACAAAAATATACATATTTCAAACAGTACATAATTTGAACAAATAAATGTTTAAAATTGATATTACTTATCAGCAATCACTTTTTTAATATTTAACTTGGTCATGGGTTTTATCAATTTATTAATTCAATTATCATATTGAACTAACCTAAATAAAAATATATTAATAAATAAATAAATTTGTGTTAATAATTATTAATACTAACCTACTATATAAAAAATATCAAATAAACTATTTTTTGTTAATAAGAATATTTTTTACTTTTTTAATAGTGGAAATATTTAAATTATTTTGGTGACATGTCTGTTTACAAGGTCCATGAATCATATGATTGTTATATAGTCTTTGGGAAATTCATTATAACAAAATGCAAATGGCTGGCGCACCAGACGTAATGGTTTATTAGGGAATGTTTATTGTTTCCGGGCGTATTTTTGCTGTTCGTAAGTGCAGTTTTTTTGTTTTTCGATTAATCCGTATGTAAACACTCATTCGCCGTGACCGTTCGGGTAGTGTGCGAAATAGTGTGTGTGAGTTGTAATGTGAAAATGTGCTGACATACTTAGTGGTACCGTGGTCGTATCATGACAAAGGATTGCATTGGTATCCTGTGCGCCGCCGACACCTGTGAACTCGGCCGTCTTATAATGATCAGGGTATTATCGTAAGTTGATATGTTATATCTAAGTCCACGGCCTAGTTAGTGTTTATTGAAAAATAAAACCAGAACAACAATATTATAATGAAAGGATTCCGTATCTGATATCGCGCAAATGCGACCAGTCATGCTACAAGTATTGCTTACGGCAATGCTTTGGCTCCTGGTGTCTGACAGCAATGCGCAAAAGTTCGATCATGACATGGGTGTATTAGACCGACGGGTATTAACCGATGGTGTGGACTATGAGGTATTTAACAAAACCCTAGCGTCAAAACCAGGATCCGGTTCTCGTGGTTCTCGAACAAATTCATCGCAACAACAGCAACATGTAACGAGTCCAACAAACCGTTTGATACCTGCATATAATCCACCTGATAGGCATACCTTTACTCCTCCATTACCTCCAGAACGATTTAATCCATTTGCTGATAAACCTACATTAAGGGGTAGTAATTCGGAAAAGTCATTGCCACCTCGAAGACCCGGAATTGTACAGACAAAATTTGAAAAAGAATTCATTCCTATTAGACCTGTAGATGTACCAGTTGCTGATACCAAAAAGAAGACTATTAACACACCTAGTTTAAATAAGTCAAGAGTACCAGAATCTACATATTCTGAACCAACTAGTACTACAGCAGCTAATGGATTTAAGGGACTTAATGATACTTATAGTATTGTGGTACAGCAAGTTCAAAATTTATCAAGTCCAATTGTTTTTCGAATTTTATCTGATGATACTGGTAAGAAGATGGATGGATTATTAAGTAATATCAAGCCGAATTTTGATCAAGATCTTAAGCCATCTCGAACTTTTAAACAAGAAGTTCTTAAACCCATACCACGAACTTCTCAGCCAATTGAAACTACATCTTCATCACAAATATTTGAAACATCATCAGAAGAAATAACTGAAAATGAACCAACAATATTTAAGGAGCAACAAGTAACAGATTCAAAAAATGATATTATACCTGAATCACGACCAGAAATAGTTTCTGTGCCAGATCGTCCTGAACTCAGAGCAAGATACCTTCTTGGAGTTTTTTGGGATGTTCATGTTTATCTAATTGCCACACTTTTCCTGATATTAGTATTCTGTTCAGTGATTAGTATAGCAAGGATAAGAGCATTTAAAAAATTATTAACATGTGGCTATTTTGTGACTATACATGGGTTATTAATAATTATAGGCTGTGTCAGGAGTGCTTATTTGTTATATGATCCATATAATGTAAATAAAGTATTATCAAATGAGATGTCTGGCTTGGCTCTGAATATAGTATTCCCACTTTTGTTAACTGTATATTCAATTTTATTTTTGTTTCTGTTACGAGCCACTGATGTAAAAACTATTTTTTATAATCTACAAAAATCATCATTGTTAGCTATATTCATTGGCTGTTATATGGGTTTTTGTATCATTGTATTGTTTTATTCTGAAGCTCATATTCTTTCATTGATATCTAAATGCATTTACATTTTGTTATGTGTGATACTTGGAATAACATATGTATGCCTGTATAGATCTATGACTAATGCTTCCTTAAGAAAACAAGGAACTATATTTGGAGCTAGTTTCCATGAACATCGCCCAACTTTGGCTCATTCAGTACGTGTGACATTAGCCACTAGTATGCTGAGTCTTCTGATGGCTTCAGTTCAACTATATGGAATGGTTGGTGGTTATGAAATGTTGGGGAAAGATCAACCAAATCCATGGTTATGGTGGGGTTATCAGTTTTCTGTACGTGTGATTGAGATATCATCGTGCTTTTTGATATTTTGGGCATCAATTCAGCCTTTGAGATATACCAGTGAAAAAGAAGCTCAAAATCAATCTGGCTTAACATTGTTTCCTTGCCGTGGTACTGTTTCCCGGAATGATCCACCATCAGATGACATTTATCCAGCCATCTGTAGTGCCAATCAAGCTGTACACAATTATACATTGCGTACAGGTAAACATATATATGATGACACATATTCAATGGGCGGTCCACCATTGGCAAACCATCAGCTTTTTGCTCACACTACTGAAAGGAGATCATTGAAACGAATGGATGATGACTCAAGAAGTATGTACGCATATGCTGAAAGAGCAGCCATACAACCTTCACCGTCCATGTTAGTCGCTGAGAATGGATTTGTTAGATTTCGATCACTAGCCGATGAACGTAATCCAGAAGATCACATGTATCCGATCAAAATTCATCATCACAGGGACAACTGTTGTACTTAATTAATAGACCCTAAATAAGTTGACTATTATTTTTAATTTTTTTATTTTTGTACATAGAATATTTATGTAATATTTTTTCTGTTTAAATTTAATGTGTTCCTTTAGCTTAAACAACATTCCATTGTATAACATTTTCGTTTCTTATTACCTATTATATTTTTTTTTTCAAAGACTGCTTTATTTCTTAGGGGCCAAAAGTATGATATTTTATGGATTATTGTTTAGAGTTGACACTCTTAACATAAGTTCTAAACATAATGAAATCTAAATTGGACAACACATTTGGCCTATACTTAACATGGTTATTTAATCCTAAAAAAAATAGTCTTGCTTCTTTATTTTTTTACTAACATGTCTGTGCCATTTTTTTTTTTTTTTATAGGTACTTACAAAATGTCTATATCTATTTAATGACAGTTTTATAACATTCATATTTTTAAAATTATTTATTATTGTCAAACACAATGATATCCGTCCCCCGGATTAATTATACTTCATGAATAAACATGTATTGGTACTCTTGTTATGAATTTTTGATGATCTATAAATGAGTCAAATTATAAACTGTATTAATAGTTGTAAGATTTTTGAAAGGTTTAGACAATTTTGATATGGTTTAAAATATTTACTAACTTGTTAAGACACTAAATAACTCATTAGTTCTACTTAATGTGATTAACGATTAATATAATCATTGTCTTCAATTATATTTTAATTAAAAATTAAAATTTTTAATTGAATAAAATGTATTAATATTCTGTAACATAATCATCATATTAATTAATACCTGTTCATTTTTCTTTTGTTCATTTTATTTCAATTGTTCAAATAAACTTGAGTATCAATTATTATTCGGATTGTATGACATTATTTAATATAATTGCTTCTTGCCCTAGTTTCAATTTGCATTTAAATCATGTTCCTTTGAGTTGAAAAATTAAAAAATTTCTCTGAGTTTGCAGACAAAATTAAATTTCATTAATAGAATAATATTAATAGGAATGTTTACTAAAAAAATATATATATATGTATGTATAGTCGACCTTTATCATGTTGTTATTTACTTATTGTGATCATCCAAATTAGTGTACTTATATACATAGTATTTTTAAATATATATAATTATATATTGTATTTGTATTTTGTAAATACTTTTTTTTATATTCTGTCCTAAGTAGAATTTTAAATATTGATGAAGAGGAGATAAAAAATATATAAATGTATATGTAATTTTGTATTATTTTATTCATTAGCTAGGCCTTGTCCTAATTTGCGTAATGCAATCTGTAAGTAATAATATGAAGGTGAAAAACATATTATTTAAACAGTAAAAAGTAAAAGTGGGACATAAGAAGCTGCTTTTAAACGATGTATTGTGCGTGGGAGATATTAGAAAGTATAAGGCACGTGCGAGTAATAAATGTATGTGGTTTTGTAGAATGAATATCCAAGAGCACGCACCTGAGGGTTAAGATACTAATAGCAATCTATATTTTTCGATATCTATGCTATTGCCAAACAGCGTGAGGGCGTGTAACCAACTTTAAGGAATTATGAAAAGTCGCCACCATTTGACGAGTCTGACAACCGGTTTTATAATCCTTCAATTTATAAAACTTCATCTGATATTTCTGAAATTCTGAACAACTATTTCCTACTTTCTTAATATTCATTAAATATTTTTTACTATAAAATGTTGATAATCTCGGGGCATAAAAACAAGCTTAAATATTGGAAAATAAATATAATTTAAAAAAAATATTTAGGAACTCGTATAATAATTTTATTCTAAAAATTACATCCCTTTGTTTCATTTGTTATTTTCCTTTTTAATTTTTAATTAATACCTTTGTATTTTTCTATATCTATGTATTGTTTATTTTAATAATTAGGTATATAATAAATAATGCATATTATGTTTTATTATAAAATATAAAAACATAAATAAATAAATTAATATTATTAAAAATTATAATACTATATCGTTACGACTTTAACTAACGTATATTACTTTTAATGCGTGCACGTTAGATATAAAATACAAATTCAAAATATTGCAAGTCAAGCATAGTCCAACAGAAACGTCAATCTTGTTTAAGGTAAGTTAAAATATTAGTGTTTAATTTAAAATTAAATATAAATACCTTTAAATTGTTGTGGGTTATAAGTGTAATATACTAAATTTATACTCATTCCTATGTAGATTGGTGTGAACTAAAATAATTGTCCGGTGAGGACCAAAAGGTGATAATTATTACAATAAATGTAAAACGAAAAACTGGTGTTTTACTATACACTTTTTTGGGTCCTATTTACAACTTTTAAATATCACTTAATTAGATTCGTTAGGACCAGTGGCGTATCCAGGATTCATTTAATGGGGTTGTTTTAAAATTTAATAGACTTAGGGTAAGTGGGATGCTCTGCTCCCTGCTATATTACATAAATAAATACCATGTATTTATATAAATTATACTAATGAAAATGATTATATTAAGACACTTTATGTAAAATCGACAAGTTGTATACAACGTTTATTCAAATTATACTGTAAGTTTGCAATTTGATGAAATACCATAGAATATGGTCGATGGGGGGGGGGGTGTTCTAACACCCATATCACCCCCCCCCTAAATACGCCCCTGGTTAGGACTACCTATGTAACGTGGACAACAAATAATTAGGTATTGAATGTGAAGTATATACCTATACAAAAACGTAAAATTACATCAAAATTTCGGGGAAGGTTTTCGACCCTCCCCCTTTATACATGTTCCTGTTTAAGCTTCTATTGTACTGGGCAAATTTACTCGCCACGTCTATTTGCAGCGACTTCTCGCTACATCAAGTCTCTATGACTAGGTGGTCACACACAGGGTTATACGAGGTAGTGAGTAGTAGTCAGTCGTAAAATGTCGTCAATCGATAATTAGCAGAATGATTAATTTTTGATATACAAAATATTCGAAATAGGAAGTTGGTTCGTAATTAGATTCGTAAGAGAGAATAATTTGAAGCATCCGTCTTACTTTTGAAAAAATTGGTTGAAGAGGTTCCTTCTGCTTATTTTCTGTTTATAAGTAAAACTATTTTTAACTACTATCTACATTATAAGTAAAACTACTTTTAACTACTATCTACTCATATCATCAGATGACCATTTTAAGGTCAGTTCTTGATTGTTATTCATGATAAACAAAAAAATAAGTCGACGAAAAATTGACAAATATAAAAAAGTTTACTCATGAAGTGTATTGATTAATGAAATAAAGTAATATTAATAAAATAAAAATAATAAGGTTGATAATAAAATTAAAATTGATAAACAATAAGCAGGTATAAGGCCGTAACTGTGGGGTCCAGGGGTCCGGACCCCCCCCCCCCCCGAAATTTTTTTCCAGTTGCGGCCTTGGGTAGGTAGCTAGTAGCGACCAGCGAGTAGGTTACGTGACCACCGTATTCGCACGTTTCTAGCGACTAGAATTGAACATGTTCAATTTTAATCGCCACGACCATTTCTAGCTGCGACTAGCTACTCGCTGCGAATATGCTGTAAGGCGGAGCAAAATTATTCGCTGGCAGTAGTCGCCTCGTGTAATAGGGGTTTAATAGACCTACTCGCTTAATCGCCGCGTGTTGAACACACTGTTTGCTAACGAATCAAGTAGAAGACTATTTTAGGGCTACTTAATTTGCTACTGGCTGACTATTTTACTCTCCAGTGAGTAAAATCGCTTTATGTAATCGCCCTAGTTGGCAAAATCGGTTGTAATGACTGGTCAAGATGTCGGAAGCTGTAGTTCACGCGGCAGGGGCGTCATTTGGGGGGAGCAGGCTATGCGATCGCACACCTTGATTTTTTTTCATCTTCAATTATTGGCATAGGCGTCACTGATACATGGCCTTGCCACTTTGGCCTTCAATTTTCCAATCTTTAATGTTATGCATGCTCTGTGGCTAATCAGTAATCATTGCTAATCATAAATGTTGGCCTGGTGGTGGGAAAAAATTGACCTCTCTAATTACTTGCATCCCTTTAAAAAAAATTGAAGTGGCGCTCCTGTCGCGCGGGTGTTGGAAATTTTTTTTCTTACGATTTTTGAAAGTTCGTTTCTATAAACAAACTTTAAATTTTTAATTTTTGCCTTGAGTTTCTTTTTATCAATTTGCATTAATCCTTCATTCTCGAAGTCTGCGTATAACGTTTCTAACATTTAATTTTTTAATTTTATGTTCAAATAATCCTTATGTTTTATATTCTTAAGTAATGGATATTGTTTGTATATTAACAAATAATCAATATTATTGCAATTCCACTTCATAATTTTAAAATTTAAAATTTAAAAAAAAAAAATTAATTATTAACATTAATAATTAAATTATTGAATGATTTAACTATTTACGTATCAATAACAACTTCTTGTCTCATGTAATAACTATGATGAATGTGTGTGCGCGACTAAGCGAGCGAGCGATTTTGATCGCTCTATGTAATCAACCGGACAGAGGTCGACACACGCACGATTTTGGTCGCTCCCACGCAACATGTAAATTTGACCAGTGTTATCGAGGTTTTACTGATGAAATCGCATTCGCAGTGCTAAACGCCGCTATTCCGTATTGTTCTCATGTATGTTTAGCATCAGTTGTAGGTGCGTAATGTCTGTATCCCACAACAAACAAGATATGTCGACTTGCCATCCCGTCAACGACGTAGATTTTATCTATATTGCTATTGCTAATTCTCTCCGCATTCTATTGCATAATATAATCGTAGCTTCTACGAAATGGACATACATTTTATCGTTTTCGTTAGAAACTATTATTTTGCACCAGCCGTATTTTTTTACACTTCTAAATTAAATGAATAACTTATGAAATTGAAATGTCCATCAAGCTTAATATCATTTTACTTGATTGGTTTTCATTATTTTAAAATCGAAGTGCTTAAAATTTTATTTAAATAGTGGTGAGCACAAAGGAAAAGGTGCCCCATTTATTTATTTATATTATTTACATTACCTTATACTAAATTAAATAGTTCAGATTTTTAAGAAATAAAATTAAGTTCCTTATATCTTATGAGTTTGGTTCTAGGGCTTGACAAATTTGTTTTGAGAAGTGAAATTTATGGCGGTAATGTTTGAATTTTTGACATTCAGTGTTGATGTAGTCAGTGTTGGCTCGAGGGGTGTGCAGAAAGTGTAATCGCACAGGGCCTCGCACTTTTGGATCGGTTATTGGGCCTCCCATTTCTATTTTGTAGTATATTCAGATCCGGGCAGGCACGTCGTCAAGGGGGGGGCCTTAGGAGGCCTGGCCTCCTAAGAAAAATCAATGGCCCCGAACTGGCTCCCTTGATTTTGATTTTTATATATTATGGTGTTTAGTTGTCCCAAACCGGCTAAATCCTGAATGTATATTCTATATGGGCAATAATATCGGTTAGTTAAAATTATAATAAAAGGTCTAGTGTAAACTCTCTGCTAGTCTTTTTTCTTTTGTTTACCTGCTCAGTGCTCATATTTCCACGTGCCTTCTCATATTAAATACGTTGACATATATTGCGATGATGTATGTCGAAATTGATAAAACTATTGTCATGGTTCGATTCATTTCATGGTGAATATATATCCACATTGATTCGTTTATTAATAATTTTATCTTCATATTATCTGAAATTAATATTTCCAATGATAATATCGGCAGTAGGTGAGGTATACGTAAAGTATACTTTGACGAACATAATAATTCGTAGTCTGCGTGTCCAGGGTTGGACTAGGCCACCGGGGCATGCCTCAGTGGGCTGCTGTAATTTTGGTTAAATAAAATTACTTAGATTTTTTTGTTTTTAATTTAATGCGTCTATCTTCTATTCTTAAAATAAAATAAAAAATATCGTCTTGTAACATGACATTACTAATGGATGTGGTGACACAGGATTAAGTAACTCGGAGTTTGAAAATTTAACATATTTAATGTCGCGATAGGCCAATTGATAACAATGATTTCATCAGAATATTTATAAATAAAAAAATTGTAGGAAATTTGAAGACAAAAGGTGTGTACAATATATTAATCATACGAAGTACCGTTCGCATTTTATTAAAAAAAAAATGTTGGTATGGGTTACGGTCTTAGAAGATTAATTTTCTAAGACCATGGTATGGGTAGACATTGTCGTGCAAGATATGCAATAACGAAATTGTTTTTCGATAATAATCATTTTTATAAGATTTATTAGACTTTTATTTAAAAACATTTTAATAGTTTTGACGTTCAGTCAATAACAAGTCTGTTGCTAGTTTCCAACCTTAATGGACCTTTAGGCCACATTCACAAATTAAAAATGGTTCTAGAGCCAGACAATATAAAAAATGTATATGATATTCAATGACATTTGCTAGTTTTGAAATTTACTGTGGGCCGCATAAAAGAGACATTAGTTGCCGACCCCACTGTTCTAACTCAATTAAAATTAAATGTATAAACATATTTAAATCAAATCATTTTTTATGGTGTAAAATGTATCTTAATAGGTAGATCATTATATCAATATTATAGATAAGATATATTATGTGTAAACTAGGTTTATTTAAGGTATAACATTAAATCTGAAAATATTCAAATGTACTTGTGTGAATATTGTTTTTTGAGTTACGAAAATACATTTTCGGTAAAACAATAATTTGATTAGGTACCTACCTACTTATAAAGTTCCATTGAGGCCACTCGAAATTATTTTGCCCGGATCGAGCTATAAAGTTAGTCCAACCCTGTGCGTGTCTCCGTGTATATTTTATATTGAATGAAATATGTCACAACATAGTAATAATATAAAATTAATTACTGGTCAACGAGGCAATTTATTGGTAATATTTAACAACTACAAATACAGTGCGCGACAAAAAGATAAAGGCACAACATTTAACCAAATAGAATTGTATACATTATGGAGTGAAACTAGTTATTATTATACAAAGATAATTAATATATTCTATGTACTGATAAATTTCGAAAAAAACCAAAATGATAGTAATTTAATCTTATTTTTTTAATTATAAGCTAATAAAAAAAAATTTATTGATGAATTCATTAGATTTTGTTGCGACAAAATTATAAAGGCAGTTAGTTTCGTTACGTATTTAGCAATTATATGATCAAATTATCCTTATTTTATACTTCTGCTATACTTATTCTGCTAACATTATATACTGTATTAGCATAATTTGTATAGTATTGTAATTAATTATTAAATAATTTACCATGGGAAGAGCAAAACCATTATCAAATGAAGAACGAGGAAAAATTACAGCATTTAAGGAATGCGGTCTTTCAAATTGTAAAATATCGCGTAGACTAAATAGGAGTTCCACGGTTATAGATAATTTTGTAAAACTTGGTCAAAATTATAATTCCAAGAAGTCTACAGGTCGACCTCAAGTATTAACTAATCGTAAGAAAAGAGCAATTTTAAGAGTTGCATCAAATTCTGCTTTATCTGCACGTGGTATTCTTGATCAATGTAGTGTGAAAACTGATATTCGTAACGTACATAGACTAATAAAACGCACACCTACACTCATTCGAAAAAAATTATTACGAAAAACACCATTAAACAAACTTAATAAAAATGTAAGATTGAACTTTTCAAGAAACAAAATTAATTGGTCAAAAAAATGGAGACAAGTAATTTTTTCAGATGAAAAAAAATTTAGTTTGGATGGACCTGATGGAGTTTTGTATTACTATCATGATTTAAGAAAAGATGAACGTATAATGACGTCAAGACGTCAAATGGGAGGAGGATCTGTAATGATTTGGTGTGCAATTGATTATAAAGGACGAAGTTAATTTTTTTTTAGCTGGTAGAATAAATGCTATGAAGTATAAAGATCTCCTTAACACCCAAAAGTCATGTTTTAGGAAAATACGAGTATTAGGAAGAAATTGTATATTTCAACAGGATAATGCGCTAATTCATATGGCTCGAATCATAAAATTATGCTTTGAAACAAATTCTATACCAATATTAGATTAGCCTGCACGATCTTCAGATCTAAATATCATTGAAAATGTTTGGGGATTACTTAACAAAGAAGTTTATAAAGATGCCAAACAATATTCTTCAGTCTGTGAGTTTAAAAAAATCAATTTTAGAAGCTTGGACACTAATTTCCCATGATGTTATAAAAAAGCTGTATGACACAATTCCAAATAGAATTTTTGACACTATTCGTGCTAATGGAGGTTTCACTAAATATTAATATATTAAAATTATACATATAAATATTAATAAATATAATAAATGTTGTTTTATCGATTAGTTTGTTAATATATATATATTTGCTTTTATAATTTTGTCGCGAAAATATCCTATTAAAATTTTTTTATTAATATTATTATAGTGACATAGAACTTTAAAATGTATAATAAAATTAAAATAATATATGAGAAAGTACTGATTAAATCATTTAATTATAATTACCATAATAATAACATAATTTGTACACACTTTTGTGGTATATAGTATATTATAACTAAATATATTCGGGTGCTTTTATCTTTTTGTCACGTACTGTATAGCCAAAATATAAAATATGCGTCTAATAAAATAAAATGGAGGTATGATATTATATAATACTATAATAATAATATTCACTTATTATTACTTATTGCGTATTACATTTAATAATGTATCATATTAATTTTATACTACTACTAGATTTACTTTAATGGTGGGGTTTACATGTATTTAATTTTACTTGATTTTTTTTAATGGCGGAATTTACATGAACCCAATTTTACCGGTTTATTTTTCTGGCGGAATTAACAGTAAAAAAAAATACTTGTGGCGGAGTTAATATACCATATAATTAACGATCGTATAACAAAAATTAAATTCTGAGATTCTATTTTATAAATATTCGTCATGTGACAATTTGAGATAAGACAATAGTACGTGTATTAATAGATTGAAAACTAAAAATTCCAAATACGGATATCGAACGCACATTTGATAAACACAACTACAGAAAGGGGTCGAAAAATGTTGGACCCCTTATAGAAATATGTCTGGTTACGTGCCTGGATCCAGGGTCTCGCGTTTAAAATTTACACAGAATAATCATAGCGCCAGTATTGGATACAGTTGATCATGAAGTTGATGAATGTCACAGGTGTCACATGATGATGTTCATTTTGAGTCATTAAAAACTGTATGTTATTTGAGTATGTCCGTCACACAATCGGAGTCTGTTAATCAAGCTTTTTTCTTTTCTATTAAGTTCGAGATTTTTTCATTGGCTGGTACCTATTGTTTTTATTTTGTGGTTTGGTATTAAAATTTAGCCAGTGGAAGTTCCATTTATTATTTATGTTGAAATTAATTTTGTTTTTAACGTCTTGAGTAGGTATGTGGATATATTTATAGTTGTAGATGAAATTTAATTCTTCTTAGTTGATTTTTTGTTTCCTGGTATTCCTGGGAGTCTTAACGAATTTGTTTTACTTTTATACCGGCTCTGAAGGTTTCTCCTTTAATAAGCTTGTGACGTTGGTTGGATTTTGAGTATATAGCGATTAAACTGTTAAGCCGGGTTTACACGACGCGAATCTAATGCGCGAGGCTTGATGCGCGAGTTAAGATTCGACATGTTTCACCCCGTCTGAACTTGCCTCGGGTAATAAGCGAGTCAAGTGAGGATGCCTCGTGGCGAACGGTTTTTCGGTATTTGAAGGACGCGCGTGAAAGGAAATTCGCACATTTGTTTCGCGTCGTGTGAACTGCCTCTTTGAGCGTCTTACATCACACGTAGCGTATTGTCACTATCTGTGCCTCGCATAAACTCTAAGTCCCTAATTATTATATTCAGTGCGAAGTTATTTATATAGTATTTCAATTATTACAGTAAATTTTTCAATAGTTTGAATTTGGTAGAACTTATTGAAAAATAATTTCGAATTACCGAAAGTTTAAATTGCTATACAGTTTGAAATATCAAGAGAGCAAAAAAAATTCGAAATACTAAGTAATGGAAAAAAATTTGTATTTTTATTATAATTATTTTCTAGAGTAAATAAAGCTTCGCAAACCTCGACATTGACTTCTGACTGGAGCGAAAAGTTACGTATTTTTTCCTTTGATGAACTAACTTATTTCAGTTACAAGAAATAGAGGGTGTTTATCATCTTTAATGTTTTCATCGATGCTTAATCCAAGCGGGAGTAGAGTGATCATAATCAGTGGCGAATTTTCAATTTTTTTGTAGAGAAGGGAGTTTTAAAATATTAATATAAAACTATAAGGTATGAATAAATTATATTATTATACAAATCTTTTTATACAATCCACACGATATAAATTAGTGTTTTCTGTCTCTGTAACTTTGTAGCAAGTCATTTATGATTTTTGAACTTTTTTTCATCCAGAGGGGAGGGGGTTCGAGATCAATGCGGCAATATAATATAATTCTGGAATCATAATCTGATATAAATTTGTATTTTGTACGTTTGGGTCGTATCAATATGTGAATAGTACGATAATACTACTAATGATTCTTGGACTTTGTATTCTCGCCTATCGGTATTTATCAATGGCAACCGTAATTATCAGAAGTAACGGAAGCTTCACCATGCGATCCAAGACAAGAGGAAGGAATGTTGACGAGAGGAGTACATTTGCATCAGGATAACGTTCGTCCACACATCGCCAATATCACAACCAATTTCAACAACCAATATAATTATTAAATTAATACAATTTTTAAAAAAAAAATAATTATACCCGTATAAGCTTAATTTAGTATAAAAGTTGGTACCAGATGATTTTAATTTAAGACTTATATTTATTGCACGGTTTATGGTTCAATTACATGATGAACTCGATTTTTTACGATTTATTTGTTGGACTGACAAACTAAAATTTATATGGAGCAGTAGCTTGGCCACCAAGATCTCCAGATCTCACGCCATTACATTTTGATTGCAATGAACTGTAAATTATTTTTAAGTTTGTATTGAAGAAAAATTAGTTTCTCCCCCCTCCTCGGCCTTAACTCAAATACGCCCTTATTGTATAGAACTTAAAAAAAACCGATATTAGCAGCCATTCAAATAAAAGTAATATATTGATTTTAATAATGCATGGTAAATGACGGGCTAAATTTTGAATAATTTATGTAAAGCTGCTGCTATTTAGAAAAATTCAAGTTGTTTTGTGAAGCGCACAATAAAAGAATAAAAAAAATTGAAAATTGCATACTGCAATAGTTCCTTACTATTTGAAAACACCCCATTTCAATCCAATGTCACTGTACAGAATTATTTAGTGTTGTCTTTAAAAGGAATCGCACTGTATTTTATTTTTATTATTTATTAATACTTTCATATATTTGTTTATACTTCCAATAGTCCTTGTGATTTATTGGTAAGTGAATACCATAAGCTTTGCTTGACGTTTTATAGGTATCCGAATTTTTTGATTTTAGTATTATTGTTCGGTCAGCTCTGAGAATCGGACTCGTAGTTTTACTAAGACCATTGTTTAATTCTACATTAGAATATAGTTTTAACTTTGATGCCATAAATTTATTTTTTGTTGCATCCCAACTAGTTAGCATTTTAGAAATTGATAATGAATCACTATGTTTTAGGTTTTCAGGATCATTTTCTTGTTTTTTTGTGTCTTGATTTATGTACTTGATTTTGTACAAAACTTTACTTACTATAGTCCTTACGATTGATTTCATGTACTGAAAATCTGTGATAAGAGATATTTGTAGTGGTCCGAGTTTACCGTATGTATCTATGTACAACGTTTTCAAAACGCTTTTGTGGATAATAGAATGTAAAGCTGTCTCTAATTTTGTTTTAGTTATCGGAACGGTATAATTAGGAAATATGTCACATGAAATTATACGTATATTTTGGTCAAATATTCTATGTGAATTAGAAAATGTTTCAATCAGTTTTAAAGTTCTTTCGCCTTCAACTACGTGTCTGTCAAAAAAAAATTTAATTGTGTATTTGTTTTATAAATTATTTAATTCCACTTACCCAAACGCTACATATTTATTATTCATCCAGGAATTAGCTCTTAAACTTATGATAAAATTTGGACCATTAAAATGTGTATGTCGACTACTTAATGACAGCACTCCTCTTCTGTCATGGCTTACTAAGTAATTTTCTTTTTTTAAATATTGCTTTTGATTTAAAATACCTTAAAACAAATTATATTAAATAAACTGACTATATATTCTTAAAAATCAATATAACAATTTTAATAATGTGAGTACTGACGTCCAGCTTGAATAAAACCATTATTTGTATCTATTCTGTGAATAGTACTGTTAGAATATCCTTCGGATTTATCCAGGCATAATTTTTTAAAATATTCACAAGTTTTCGGAGCCAACTTTTCTAATAGCTAAAATTTAATAATTATAATTTATTACTTAGTAATTTTATCATATTTTAAAATGTCATTAACTTAAAAATTATGATACAAGTACATACAGTATAGGTTTTATTTTATATGTAAAAATACAGTTTTAATACAATATAGTATTCATGTATAATTAAAATTAAAATTTGTAATAATATAAAATACACGAATTTCGAATTTTTTAAGAGTGTATAGATAAACAATTGGATGATTGATATATCACAAACGTGATCTTCGTAGTCTTCAAAAAAATAAACTGTTATAGTATTTTATATTTTAATTAATAATCGTGAATTATTTAAGTTAAATACTTAAGGTAATGATAATAGTGTACATAATTTTTAAATAGGTAAATCAAAAACAGAAATAAACTAAAACATAATCAGAATTTGATAGTGAAAATGCAAAGAAAAAAAAGTTTTAAACATTACACTTTTTTTAATACGTTTTCAATGTTCTACATAGTGTAGACTACTCATAATACATAACTATTTTTTGTTTGAATCTAGCGAAACAAATTTTGTTTAGTGGATCGTATACATAAAAAATGTTTTTCTTCGAGTACCTATAAGAATATTAAAGTTTTGATTTCTAAATTGGTATATTTCATATTTAAGAAATTTTTCAAATAAAAATACAAATCCTATATTCATATATTAGCTATTTTAGCTTATTGTTTAACAATTTAGTATTTCATTTTATATATACATCATATCGCTTACGCCTAAGATACAAAAATGTATTTAATAATCAAAATATAGAAGTTGAAGTATTATTCATATTGTTTCAATTAAAATTTAATAATATAAATATTATACTACAGTGCTTAATTTATATAAGTTTTAATTACTAATATTATCGACGGATTAATACATTTTTTATAAGATTAACTTTAAATATTTATTAACTAGATACAATAATATTTATAATCAAAATTTATTTTATATATATTCAATAGTTATTTAAAAGTATTATAAAATATACGATATAATAATATATGTCATGAACATTATGTTTCAATATTAAGTTTCAAGTAATATTGGTATTTATAATTGCAAAAATATACTAACCGCTATAACAATATGACCAATTTTCCAGTTGTTAACGTTTAAGACTATACGCACAAACGTCATCTAGAAAAAGTTTGAAATGTATTATGGACTATACATGAAAATTGTTCGTACATAGTAAATGCTTATGGATTTTCAGTCTTTTGTGGACAAGAACAGGTTGTCAGCGACCAAGTCATAGTGAGTAAATTTAAGTTATTTTAATATTAGTATAAAATACATTTCTATGTAGTAATCATCGGTGTGAGTAGACCTGTATTTCGGGGGTTCTTATGATTTGGTTATGATTTGTACATTTTTAGTCAATTTTAGCTGTTGTATTAACATAAAAAATGTTTACACAAAAATTTACAAAATTTAGATTTAATTTTTCTCTTACGAATCATTATTTTTTTTTTACCAAATATTTTAGAATAAATTACATTTAATTTAGGTAGCATCAGTTAAAATACGGGCTCTTTGCACTTAGACTTTAATTATAGGGCTCCACTTATAACATTTCAGGGGTGCCGGGCACAACCAACACCCCCCCCCCCCCCGTACGCACACCTGTTTTTCATATTTTATAGATAATAATAAGGCCAATAATAGATTATAAAATTATTATTATTTAATAAACTGTAGAGGACTCAATTTATTATTACTTATAGTAGCATGTTAACTGCATTACTACGTAATTAACCAATCCAACTACTATTATTAAATAGTTGTATATTATAATTTACATGGTTTATCACCGGTAGTTTCAAGTATAAGATACTTAAGGTACAATCATTGTTAAGATTTGAGATCGCGATACTTAAAAGTGTACCCCGAGAAACAAAAGAAAGAAAAAGAAGAAACAAAGAAACAAAAAATTGAACCTCTACAACGAATTTATACTAAATGGTTTTGTTCTGCGTAAGACATACCTACATATTTTACGCTTAAATTACTGATATATCACGCCCTCTTAATACATTTTGATGAGAAATATGTCTCATGTCATCATTTGCCGACAAAAATGTGTAAATCACAAATCATAATTTATATAAGAAAACTATACGAAAGTGGTATATTTAAAAGTACATATTTAAAACTTTAAAACTGTGATAACTGATGGATACAAGTATCTTAACATTATGCACAATTTAGCAAATTGTTATGTTAACGATATAAATATAACATATATTATACATACATATATATGAAATACATTAGGACATTTTTTTTTGAAATTTACTTTCTCATTTGTATAATAATTTTGAACATCAGTCACTATAAGTTGCTTATAATTCAAGAAACAAAAGTCAATGGTGAAATCGTAATGAGTGATTAAATATTCTTGGAACTCCACGTAAGTTCCTATATACTTTTTATTGACAAATATTGCTACCATATCTTGTTTCTTTCTACCACTGAAGCTCTACACAAGTTCATTAAATAATATCACTTCCTTAAAAAATGTCCAAATTGATATTTAATTTATTATTTATTTATATATATATATATATACATACTTGATTTAATTTTGATAAACATCTTGCCCATTCAATATCCATAACGCCTTTAATAATATATTTATTTATTATATCGGGCCGGTGTTTTACTGAGTTCTAAAATGATCACAACTATTTTAATGGTTCAATTTTAAACATTAAAAAAGGAACTTACCAGTAATATAAATTTAGCTGTATGAAATGATTTGGATAATATACATCCAACAACCTCTACATCCATATTATATGATTATTATTATTGTTTTTCAAAATATTAACATAGTTTAATAATAATATTACAAATCGTATTTGATTGTATGTATATTTTATATGTCCGTTACTTAGATACCTCATTTTGTACAACATTAACATTTGGTTTTTCGTTTGCATAACTAAACTACAAATTACAAAAATGAATGACTTTATCACAGTGCATATTTTAATTAATATACTGGGCGACATAATTGTCACTTATAAGTATTTACTATAGTAAATATTTTTTGTCGTCTAGAAGATGATATCTTTAATTACTGGGCGACAATGATGTTTTGGCAAAAATGAAGATAGTTGTAATTATTTTATAATTGTACTAGCTGAATTACCGTGTGTAGTTTTTGCTTTCACTAAATTAAATTTTTAATTGTTTTAATTTACTTAATTTGATCATGTGCTAAACAGTAGTAGTAGCTAAAATATGAATTACAAATAATAATAATAATAATAATATTTATAAATGATTCTATGATTATAATTTGTATAATTTAACTTTATTTATGAATATTTACAACTGATTCTATTCCGAATTATTCATTTCTAAAATGATTTAAATTAAAACCTCTTAGTACGAGTATACCACATTTAGTGTTTTTTTTTAAAGTGTATAAACGTATATATCGGCAAGTCTCCTAAGTCTGGAAAATTCTACATAAAATTTTCAATGTGAGAAACAGTTGTTTTCCATATATACACTACAATAATTTATTCTTGCGCATTGTTTATTATCATTGTAAAACAAACTTTTATTGGAAACGGAACTCTTCTTTACAAAACTGGAAAATCGTTGTGGTATGATGGTAATTTCAGTAAAAATATTTTTTTTCCCTTAGCACATCCAATAAAAATATCAATTTCAATTGTTATGTTAATTAATTACATTTTTTTTTAAAGGGGTGATCCTAACCTAGACCTATAACAATTTAAGAGAATTCAAAATTCTCATAATATGATTGGAACTCCTACCAGTGGATACAAGGGTGGCTATGGGGGCTGAAGCTCCCTCTTAGACATTAGGTAGAACCATATCGAACGTAAGTACATAAAATATTTAAAAAATTATACGTTAAAAAGACTTTGTACAAATCGACATGAGCAGTAACTCACTTTACTAGCCCGCATTTTTCATTTTTAGATCCACGCCTGCTCTCACCTTCAGTGATATATTATGAAGAAACACACCAAAATGTTCGTAAATTTAAGAACTCTGTTGGAAAATGTACCAACTCTTTACTATCAATAACTGTATACACTGAAAAGTAATTCATCATGATAATTATTGAAATGAGGAAGACAATTAAATTGTGAATAATAGATCACTGTAGAAGTATTTAGTACAACCATGTGACAAAAAAACCGTTGAATTATTTAAATAATACACTAAACAACCGTAACCCTTAAATACAATCCCTCTCGCTCTTTCCCTTCCAACAAAAAAAATGAAAAATTGAGTCACGTGATGACACTCGAGAATGTATATGGAACAATTTTTTGAAAAATAAATTAGAAAAATGTTAAATTGGAACATAAAAAAGACCTATTCTTTTATAAATATAAGGATTTTTTTCATTTTTTCCCCTTTTAACTCTGTAGAAGTTGAATTTTGAAATATCCTTTCTTAGGTGTTTTTTGCAACATAAAATTAACTCACTGATTAAATTTTATCCTCATAGCTTCAGCAATTCCGGCTAGGTGATAATGAATCACTTAGGACAAGTAATTTTATATATAATTTTATTGAATAGTAATTTATTATACTTAATTTTGTTATATGTTTATTATTTCGTTTGACGATTTAAATTTATTATGTTAATATTATTATTATTGAATATTAATATTATCATATTATTATTATTGAATATTATTATTAAAATTATTTATATTATCTGAATATATTCAATGGAAAACTGATAAAAACCATTATATTATATATAGTATTACGAGTTTGAATAATATTATTAGTTTCTAAGATTTGAAAAACTTTTTAACACTGGTTTCTAACACTGGTTTTTTTTTTTTTTATAGGTTTCTCAAATTTTTGTAATGTTGATTTTATCGATTTCGATTATATGATTGGTCATTTTTTTTTTCGTCCAGAGAAAATTCCATGAAATATTCACTGCTTTATCATGATATTTTTAAAAATGAAGTAAATTATAAAGAAACTCGCAGCCCAGCAAAAATGTAATTTAAGGTAGAAAACTATCAAATAATGAATAAGTCTTAAAATAGTTAAATGGTACGTCATACAGAATATATTTTTTTTTTAATCCTGCTACCTCCGGACACGTAATGTAAGTTAAACCATTATAACCTTTATATTATGATATCTACATAAAGGCAGCTTCATACGAGTTTTAGCTCGTATGTACCAGAAGAAGTGTAAAAGAAAAGAAAATTATTAGATAATTTGGAAGAAAAATCATATAATTCTTTAAATATATTATAAACTAAATCTATGCATATCATATTACTGAATTGCCTATATGTGAATTTTCAGGCATTCTTCATTTTTATTATCAGAATTCATTGTTACCTACTAATTTATATGGTGCGTGCAACGAATATTATTATACTTATTCTATTTAACATTAGTGTTAAATTTTCTATTGATATTATAGCTAGTATTTAAACCTGAATTCATCAAAAAAATCTATCAAGCGACACACTATAGGTTGAATATTGTACATATATTTAAATATCGTAGCTACTTATTGAAAATGAACATTTTATGAAAAGGAATAGGATTTTTCACACTTGGTGAATTACAAAAATATTTCACAAAATGGTTATTCAATTCGTGTACCAAACAAGATACTTAATACTTATTTTAGTCAACTCCTCTATGGACTGTAAAATAAGAAAATTGTATTCACGCAATACTACCTAGCTATCTGAAATGTTTAGATTTTAATAATTTTCATATAAATTCATCACAGCAATTTAGTAAAACGATACTCGTACCTTGGTATTTGATATTCAAATGTATAGTTACTGTATAGATCTACAATTATTGGTTATTATTAGAATTGATTACATTTTATTTTATTTTAGTTTACTTTAAAGGAAACGGACTTTTATTATTTAATTAATATGGAGCATTTGAATGCTAAAAGAGAATTTTAAAATTAAATTTACATGTAAAATGTAAAAATATTATTTAAATAAACCAGGAAATACATACTGTGTACCATATATTTATTTTTAAATTGTATTAAAGAAAAGAAACAACGCTAAGAAAGAACAAAAAAAGATGTATTATTTGTAACTTCATAAAAATTAGAAAATTAAGAAGATATGCAATATAATAATTATAAGTTATGCAAAATAAATTTAAGATTAAAATTTAACAATAATTGTATATTAATCAATTGAATATATATTGAAGTTACTCGTATGTTATAATCAATATAAGGGAGTCCATAGGTTGAGGGGAAGACAAAGGAAGGACATGTCCTCCCAGCTTTTCCGTGTCTATAATACATTTATACATAACATATTATGAAAATTAATTTATATTAAATTAATTTTATTGGCTAATCTTATCTGTCATGAACATGAGTTTAGACTCTCATGGCACAGACATAAATCCATAATAAATTCAGATACAATAACATTGATACAACCATTTTCCAACGGTATTAAAATTAATCGAATATGTACAAATTTTTTGCAATTTTAGAAAAATCTTATATTTACTTTTGTGTTTCCATCAATACTTACGCAAAAGGGTCCAATTGCATCTTTTAGCACTTCTGAAATTACTATTATTGAACTATATCTTATACACTTATATTTACAGTTAAAATATCTTTAATTAGATTAATTAAAATAAAGATTAATTAATTAATTAATTAGATTTTAATTTTTAAATACTCTTATGGCTACAGAATGCGGCAGTCCATTCTGCTTCGTTTATTATATATCTATACTGTGTTTGGAAAGATCGTCGTTCACGCGTCCACTTTTATATTTTGAGAACGAAACGCGAACGTCACTCACTTTTTTCAAATAAAACATGAACGTGAACGTGTTCACTTTAAAAAAAATGAATATAAACGAGAATGAGTTCTCTTTTTACGCACTGAACGTGAATCAATTTAATTTCCTAGTAAACCTTCTGAACACTGCATCTACTCGTATAGTTTACATTTATAAAAAATATTGTATTGTAAAGTAACGTAATGAAAGAATTGAAAAATAGCTTAAACAGTAAATTACTATTTAATACTCATACGAAGTAATAGTTCATAGTTATAATTTTTCAGATTAACTTATTGTTAATTTATAGTTGTTCAATTGTTTATTATATATGCCACTTGTAATAAATATCATACTAAATTATATTTTTAATCACTAAATAAATAAATATTTAAATTTATAAATTAATCTTCTAGACCTTATAAATAAGAATGTAAACGTATTTTTTTGAGTAGCTGAATAGTTATGAATAAAGCAAAATCAGGTTGAAAGATCTAAAGGTGAAATTAAAAATTGAAACTGAAAGAAGACGTACATGATTATAATTTATTGACTTGTAAATATTTTATGATATTCAAATAGCCTTAGATACGCATGGTACGTTCGTAAGTTATCACAAATATTTGTATTTCATGTTTTACAGATTATTAAAAATTAAAAATACATTTCTTAAAAACAAAGAAACTACTGTAGTTATTCGTATATCATCACGTATTTAAATTATTATTAGCACTACGTTTTCAACAGCTAATTATTTTATCTTATATAGTTAAAATAACATTTTAAGTACTTTTAAAAAACCATAACTTTTAATTTTGTACAATACAAAAAAAGAAATTGTGTATACTATTGTTCTCCGTTTCTAAGAGTTTCAGATCATAAAGTAATTAAATACGTACATACAAATAAATTAAATATGTATTATATTATTATGAGTATATATAATTTTATTTCATCAGCTTCATTTATTTATTTTTAATAAAGTTATTTTCATTTATGATACAACTACTGTGATTATAATTTTTAAGCAAAATAATCAAATTATAACCAAAAATAATTAATTTTTTAAAACTAATACTGAATATTAGGTTTACACCCATACTATCTGACTGAATTAAAGTATCAAACCCAAATTCGCAAGATACAACTTTTTTAAGAAACATTAAATTTTCGTTAGCGCGTACTGCCTAATATATAAATAATGAATCCGATTTCAAAACTAAATATTTGAAATCTTGGTTATATTAAAACGATACGTTATATGCTTTTCTCAAATATTAATATAAAAATTACTTCAAATAAAAAGTAAAATAAGACTTTTTGATCATTATAAAAATTTTAAATAATGTACAAATATTTTCACTTTAAACTATTAAATCATTAAAATCCTTTGACTTAAAATATTCGCATTCCAGGCTCTTAAAATAAGTGAAAATACTGTAGAGATTTAAATAATTAACTTTTTAGATAATTATTCATAAAATTATATTATATATAATTATTCAAAAAATCAAACTTAAAATGATCTGTAAAACGTGCCGCTTAGTAGATGGCTTCTTTTATTAATCATTTCAATACGTTTATACCAGCTTACACTTACATATTGTATGTTTAAAAAAATATAGTTACAAACAATAATACTATTGTTATGATTATTATGCTATTGGTTCTTTCGCAAGATCCTTTTCGCCCGCACACCTTCTATTAACGCGAGGCGTTACTCAAGAAGCGCGGTCGAACGAACCCCGAGGTATGACCAAGGAGCCCGGGTCGTCGCAAGGACCACCAGCACCGAGCTTTCGCCCGTACCCTTTCAAACCGCGGACACGAGAACCGTGTTGGGACCCGCGATTTACACTGGGTGTTGTGGTTTTGTTACTATCTTGCGCTGTGCCACTGCCACCACGTTTCAGCCGAGTTAGGCTTCTCAACCTTGGGGGCACCGGGTCCGGAGCGGCTAGGCCGGTCCGGCGTGCGGTGGGGCTCCCTCTCCCGTGGTACCGACTGGGTTTTTAGTTGACGTCGATGGGTCAACCCGGGGTTAGGTCCCTTCCACTATTCTAGCTTCCCAAGCCGGCTAGTGGTGGGCCTTTATTGGTTCTTTCAATGGTCTCATATTTAATTAATTATTATAATTATACAATTATAATTATAAAATTGTAATAACATATAATACTGAAACATTAAAAAAAAATTAAATAAAATAAAAAAAAAAAATGTATATGTGAATCAAATCTTTTGAGCTACAAGTAATATTGTTTAGTAAACATCCTAATTGTATCAGATACCTAAAGTTAATTTTTAAGCTTTTTCATTACTAAATACTTTATAAAATATTAAATGAGTTAAATTATTGAAATTTTAATGATATAAAATTATTATAATTCATTTAAGAAATATAAGACATGGGAAATCGTTTAATATAACTAGGCTGGATCACTGAAGTAAACATTTTACGAAATTTTAAATACCATGATAAATTATTATTAGATTACTTTCAAAAAATGATTTAACGCAGATTTAAGTTCACTAGAGATATAATGTCTTAGTAAATAAAAATATTAATTTTAAGATTCTTACGTTTGTCTAATATATATATATATATATATATATATACGATATACATAAGAAAAAATAATGAATAATCACTGACTACATGAAATTGATTATTTTAGAAGATATTTAATATTAATTCTATCTAATTTAAATGTGGCTAAATTATTTTTTATTCTTATTTGCAAAAATAATGTTAAAAATGTCAAACCATATTTGAGTTAAAGCCATAATAACTCTTTCGAAAATACAGAATACAACAATAATTGTATATTCTAAAATACAATATTCCTCAAAAAATATTGATATATGTTATTAATATTAATAATGGGTATTGGCTTAATGTTTTATAAATTAATAAATAATTTAAAATTTAAATTAATGGAGTATAGAAGCTGAGTTTTCTGAAAAGTATAAATAGATAATATTTTTATTTCCCTCCTTATTCCTCTAATCAAGACTTATTATGTAATTACTAATCAGTAAACCTAATAGTCCGATGTTACATTTATATACAATATTACAAATAATAGTACTTATGTAGATAATTATTTATTTAAGTATTTTAAATTAAAAATTAGAATCAATAAGGAAATAATGTACTTAACTAAATAATTAACTAATTAATTAGAAACAAAATGGAGTGTAAAATTATTTTTTAAATCATAACCTAAAGCAGTTTGTATAAAAAAAAAATTAAACTGATATTCCAATATTGTCACTGCCTTGGTTTATATGAATCACTCTGTATATACAAACTGTTATCATACTGTATGTATCAGTTCACAGTTGGCTTAATGTATGGTGGTAAATATTTCAAGACCATGTGTTCTCTTAAGTAGTACGGCATGGCAGCAGTGCAGACTTAGTATTTCGCGCTTTATTTTAGTTTCTATTTTATTGTTACGCTCAAAACAACTTCCCTTAACGCGCTCTCCCCTGTAATATTTAAAAATGAATTTTTTTGTGTGTTTATGATTTCTAATTATTTTATATTGTTATTTTTTTATTAATTTAGTTAAGGTTAAGTTTTTAAACGTAGTAAAAATAGTGCATTAAAAATGGAAAAAAGTGTAAACATTGATATGCTTATGGATAAATTAGGTAAGAAAAAATGGCTAACTACTTAAATGTTAATAGTTTATAAATTAAATTAAATAAAAAAAAAAATAAGATTTACTCTTAATTTTTCATTTTAAGAATTTCAGTTTAATTTAAATGAACGTTTATAAATATCGATAACAATTAAATAGTTTTAATATTTAAATTTACCAAAAAGATGTATGTATAATACGCATTTTATAATATTAACATGTATAAATCTTTAATTCAAATTTTTTTTATTTTAAAGCAATTCATATTTATATTATTTTTTTATAAATTATTTTATTAAATCTTATCGTGTCATAAAATAAATTGTTCAAACTTAATTGGATATTTAAGTTATTATAACATGTAGCTGGATTAAAAAGATTTTATTTATTTTATATATTGCTGTAAAATCTAATAACTGATCAATAAAACGTAGCTGTAAAAATTGAAAACTCAATATTAATTTCAAATAGGAAATTCAAAAATTAACCAGTAAGTAGGAATAACCTAATTAATTATTAATGTAAAACATTAAATGTGTTAAAAATATTTATTAAGGTCTTGTAGGTTAATAATACATATGTATTCTTTCACATTTTATTCGATTAATTTTGTATGAATTTTACAATATTACTATATTTTAATCTTTACACGTACCTTATACATTTATGATTAATCGAATTATGTGTTAAATATAAAAAAAATAATGTATAACACGTATTAATGACCTTAATTTGAATGATAAGTTATTTCTGTTTATAATCTACATAATATATTTAAATTTAATTTTTAATTGCTAGAACACGTGTTCTTAATATAAATACACAAAAATTACATTAATCAAATTTAAATCAATGTTTTGTTACATCTAAAGAAGAATAGAAAATAATTAATTTTGTAGTAAGGCTTCGCCACTATAATGATACATTTATTTCATATGGTATACATTGTGTTAGGTACATCGTAAAATGATAAAATATACATAATATATATACAACAATTTATAATTTAACCTGTTTTGTAATATATGACCAATGATTACAAATAAAAACTGATGGCTTCTATACCATATTGAATATATGTATAAAGGAAACCTTATCTACATTGGATACCTTTGTAAAAGTATTATCAAATGATAATAGTTATCCATAGTTTTTTTATTAATTTTACTACATAACAAATAGATTTAAGCAAATTTAGATTTCGTAACAGAATCGAAGGTTATTAAGCTGTTACAATTTTATAAAAATCCAAAATATACTTGTATATAGGTTTTAATTTAAAGAATTTTTTTAAAAATCAATATAAATTTTAAATTAAATTTTGTTGGTTTAATTTGAGTGTATAAGGAAATCATGTAGGTAAATATTTATAATTGGAATCTACTTGAAATATTATTTTCATTGAAATCAAATAATTTATTTTATTATAGTATTCTATTATTTTTAGTTAAATTTAACTAATAATAATTTTAACATTTTAATGTATTTCTGATCGTTGAATATAGCATAATATATTCATCCCATATATATGGTGTGAAGCCAAATATGCCCCAACAAACAATAATTCGAAATACATCTGTTGACGTTTTGCAATAGACCATTGTTACGAAGTATTGGGTTAGTTCTGTTTTCTTATGAGAAAGCCCCTTTATTAAGGTTTGTTTACCGTTATAAGTTAAAACGTTCAAAGATTAGTTAATCACCTACCTATAATTTTTAATTTTTTTTAATTTAAATATAACAACATATTATAGATATATAAAACTATATTATTGAGTTTAGTATATCATTGATAAACTATTTGTTTAAATATTTTTTGAATCTCGTTTACACAATTATAACGATTACTAAAATTTCTTTATTCTTCCATTATTAGTTTCAAGATAATATTATATATATATATTTATTTATTTATTAAATATATGTTTTTCGCTACTTTAAGCTAAAATATTTGACATAAACTTAATCACTTTGAAGTTGCTTAAATTTTACTAGATAACCGGTGTTTTTAATCAAAAGACAGTTAATTTATTAGTCTATAGATATAAATATAAATTATAATTTATAACTTTGTTAGAAAAATTTGTGAATCAATGTAATAGTTAAAGGTAATGGATGATTTGAGGCTCGTATACTCATAAATAAATATAATTATCGGTTGTCCCGGCTATATGGTTGGTACATGATAAAGGCGTTTTAGAAATGACGACTCTTTTGAAAAAGTCATGCATCAATCCTTTTAAATATTTCGTAATAGTTATCATGAAAACATTTGGAAATTAAAAACTTTCTCGCAAATTTTATAAAACAAATATTATTCTGTGAAGGTCAATGGCACTAAGAGAGTAATATACATATGTAAATCATGTATACATACCCATGCCAAAATACTGACGCGTGCCTGCATCTCGGAATACTCTGGGTATGTTTATTAACATTATTTATTCGTGTTAAAAAATTTTCTATTTTATTGAATGCAAAATTATTATATTTACAAACTCTAATATAAGACGGAGAAGACAAAAATATAGATGACGTCTTTTTAATATATTTTTCTAAAATATTATAATATTGACTACATGAGATTAATTGTTAATGTTATCAAAAATTATTTTAAAATATAATAATATTTAAAATAGGCTTTTAAAAATAAATGTTTGAGTGCCAAGTAAATTTACAATATAGTAGTCATGGACTTAAGCACATAAGTCTAAGATATCATAATTTTAATCAATATAAATATTAATGTATAAGTAAGCTGTTTCCACTTATTTATGAAAAATGAAGGTATATTTATTTTTATAACAGTGATCAGGGACGTACTACTCTACTTGTTAATCACTTTAAAATTTTAGTGACATGATATATTTAAGTATCTAACATAAACATAACGTGAAGTAAAAATATATTTATGTGTGTATGATACATTATAACTCTTCATAAATTATTAGTAAAAACTTGGAATATGAATTGTACTAATGAACAACAACAGCCCACTCATTCATACTTATAGAGTTGTAATTTAAATTTAAAAGTGAATTATTCATTATCAAAAAATATAGTTAAAAAAAAATGTATGCATATAAAAACAGTGGTGTATTTTGGAAGGATTCGAGCTAACTTTCCACAGGATCAAAAAAATAAAAATTAAATCTATACTTACGGTGGAATTGAAATGTATTATAATTTATAATAATAAAATATTTACATTTACTAGATTCTAGTAAAAAAAATATTTAGATATTAGGTTCATAAGTTATCAATAACTTGCTACATATAGGATTTTACGTGTTACCACTATTTTATAATAAACCAATGTTTAATTAAAAGATTATTCAACTTTTAGAAAATGTTGAACCCTCCTTCAAAACAAAAAAAAAAAAAATATGAAAATACACTACTGAATACAAAAATAGGTAAATGATATTCCAATATTCGGTATTTTGTAATCTTGAAACTAATATACCATTGCTTTCGAAAAAAAAAAATCTGAATGAAAAAATTAAAATGGATCTGGTTGTATTTCCAATAATAATTATTGTTTATGTTGGTTCTAACACTTTCTGGTAATTTATTTATTTTTTTGCTACAAGTGAAATCTAATGAAAAATCTTTTATCCAATATTAAACTTTTATCATAAAAATGGAAAGTCTTATGAATTTTAACTATAAAAAAGTAAAGAATTTTTGTGATTTTATCGTTTTGTTAAAATTTCATACAATGAAATGAAATTTTCAAAAAAATCTAAACTGTTCAAAACAAATTGAAATCTTTTGAAAATATACCATATACGAACGTTAAAATAAGCATTAAATCAAAATGTTAACTTTATAATAATTATTTTTTGAGTTGCGAGGAAAAAATTAATTAACTTTTGTCAAAAACTGGTAAATATATGTATACAAAGTTAAAATAAAAGAACATTATGGTAAAATCAATGAATTTCTCGTTTCATTCAGATTATAAAAAGAAATATTTTATAAAAAATTGCCTTATAAAATTGTAATTTTTAATAATAATAATTGATTTGGTTATTTTGTACATTTGCAAAATAGATGTATATATTCTTTTTTGTGTTACTAATGAATAATTTATATTTATTTATTAATTTTAAATTTATGAACAAGCATTTATATTCAACGAAAAATAATGTTAAAAGTATATACGAAAATGTACAAGATATGTGTTAATACCTACTATTAATACTTTTACCCGTAGTTTTTTTTTTTTTTTTTTTTTTTTTTTTAATACAGAAATATTTTTAACATACAATTAAAAATCGTAATTTAGTAAATAATATAAAATAATGAAAAAATCGAATATATTGAACATTTTTCAAATTTATATATCTGAAATACATTGAAAAATATTTCGTTGATTTACATATTGATATATTAACTACGAAATTATAGTACGTATTTCATTTATGAGTTATATAATTTTTATAAATAATTATTAAGATGAAATAATACAAATCTAATAAAACAAAGAATAATAATATTATAATAATTCATGGATTTGGGATTTAAAATGTATTAAATATTAATTAATATGATGTGATTTTCATTATCTAACGTTTTTATTTGAAGTTTCTAATACTATTGAATGTTTACTATAATTTTATCAATAAATAAATATAATCATGATTTAAATTTTTACTGTTAAAAAGATTATGTTATTATCATTAGGTACTTATTATATCTCAAAATATAATTAGAAGTTTAGAACTTAATATAATCTATACATATTATTATAGATTGATATATACAAACAAATATTATTAAGTATTATAACATAAAATAAATTGTATCTATGTTAAAATATAATTTTAATAACGTAATATTTATAGCAAAATATATTTACATTTAGCTACTATCTATAAGTTAGTCAGAATTCATTATTTATCAAAAAATACTTAAATGAATACCTATTTAAAATTGTTCAAAGAATGACATGTACAAAACAAACGTTTAGAACATGTTTTGAACCAATGAACATCTTTCTTAATAAAATAAAAATAAAATATTATTTTTATCAATTTTAGATTGTCTTTTCCCTGTACAGAACCAGAATAAGGTCCTTGCTCTCATTCTATTATATAACTATGAAACTCGAATTATAAAAATAAATCACACTATAGAAAAAATGGAAACACATGATGTACCTTTACAGTAGATAAATAGAAATTCTTTTAGGGATTATAAACCGTCTTATTTTTATGGCTACCAACATTTTATTATTCTGATCAAAAATGTTAACATATATTTATTAAAAACTTATTGTTCATTGAATATTTTTTTCCTCAAAGCCGTTATGAGAAGATATATTTGTCTTGTTATAATAGAACCTACCTATAAATATACATGTACAACGTGTAATTTATAATTATATCCGAACATATCTACTTAAAATATGCCAAATATGTTTTATATATATATATATATTTTTTTGTTAATGAATTCTTTTAAAACGTGTTTGTATATGATTTTAGGAGATTTCGGAACCTATCAATGTAGACAATTTTTACTACATCTACTGTCAGCATTCACTGCTGGACTACACATGATGACTTTAGCTACCGTTGCTGCAGAACCTCAATATATGTATTTATAAAAAATATTCACTATATATTATTTAATAATATTTATATTTAACAGTTCTAAATATAATAAAGGCTATATGTAACAAATATAATTTATAAATATTTGCATAATATTATAATATCTATATTTATATTTAAAAATTTAATTTCCTTTTAAAAAAATTTATTTTGATTTAAAATTGGTCCATTTATAATACTCAGTATTTAGTTATTAAAACACATTTCATTATTTTCTAATGCAATTTTTAAAAAAAAAATAGAATTTCGTAAATAAATATTTGCAATGAAAACTATTTAGTGTTTCATATGAAATCGATATGCTAATCATGTGTATATGTAATTAAAAAATATAATATATATACATTACATTATAAGAGTTTTATTGTAATTGAAGCACTATAGCAGTATAATAGGACTAATACATTTTTTAAGTAATCTTTTTTTAAGATAACTTATTAATAACAAAAATTAAACTTAAATATATTTATGTTTAAAGTTGTGCTAATACGATACAGCCTGAATCAAATATGACAAATTGGTTTGCGACACCTGAGATATTTAATGATTCGTGTAAAGTAATGAATGATTTCAACGAAACTGTGGCTTGTGAAAAATGGATATTTGATAGAACATACTACGAAGATACTAGAACTACAGAGGTAAAATCAACTATACGATTAATTAAGAATATTTCATTTTAAGCAATTATATATAATATAGAATTATCGACTACAATTAATAGAAATAATTAATTTAAACAAATAACGTAAATGTAATCAATCGTAACACAAATTGATTTACAAAAGTACGTTATGCAAAACCCTACTTTAGATGCTTTCTTAAACTTGTAAGGCATTTATTATTCTTTATGTTTCACTTTATACAAATAAAAAATAAAAATATTTATTTATGTAAAAATTATGAGTGTTTTTTGCATTTTATATAGTGGATGATGATTTGCGATAACCGATGGATGGGATCTCTTGCACGGATGAGTTATATGCTTGGAGTGTTTACCGGTTCAGTTGTACTTGGCAGTCTGGCTGATAAGTATGCTGATATATTTAACAATATATACGTTATGATGTTAGATGAATAAAATATTAAATTTCATATGCACAATTTAGTTAATTAACCTTAAATAATCGTTCATACTCTTGATAACCTTACATAAATATATAGATTTATTTTTACTGAATTTCGATACAAGTAATAATAATTAAATCTTTGTGTTTTAATTACATAGGTATACTTCATTTGTACACTAGAACGAATAAATAATTATGATTTAATTTGAATCGTGGTTTCTTTGACCATGTTTTGGTGTATTGAGAATAATATAGTTTTTTTTTTTTTGCTAGTTTATTGGTGAGATGGAACACATGTGCAAAATAACATGGTTTCATTGCTAAATTCTCGGGTCACCCATCCAAAAACTAATAATGATAGATATGATACATGTTCTATATGTAATACATCACCGAAAGACGATCGTGGTTTATTAATATATCACATCATTCTATGCCTTGTCAATCCTACTTTTTTAATTGAATTTTATTGCATAAATCAATAAATATTTTTGAGCATAATAAATCGTAATATAAATGTAAAACGTATGTATTTATTTGTACGTGCTATTTTCATATTAAACATATTGAACACAATTTATTTCACAAATAATAAACATAATCAAGTTTCAATCTGAAAATTAAATTTATATATTTTTTGTAAAAATACATAGTATTTATAATTTTACTTTTGTTTATAAAATGTAACAGGCCCTAAAAATATTGTTCGAAATTTAGTATAATTATATCTAGGGATTCTGAATCCAATTAAACTTAATATTTCTGAGCTTTGAATGTAACCATGTAAAATATCGAATATTAGGAATATATCCGATAAATTATAATGGGAAGAGAATCATTTTATAGGCTATGAAATTATAAAGCAAAAAAAAAGTGTCTTTAGCAATAGGACAATGAGTTATATAACCTAGCCTGGGCATTAACGAGTTAATAAGTTAAAAGTTAAGTTAATTCAACTTATTAATTGAACTTATTTCATTACTGATAAATTAAATTGATTTATTAACTTAACTAATTCCTTACAAATTAACTTGAAATTAACGTATTATTTCATTCATCTAAATTAAGTTCATTTTCATTTTCAAGACCAGAAAAATATTTTTGTAAAATGCCACATTCAATAGCAAGTTTATAGAATTTAGAAAATTATAAAAATAAAAAAATTGAAGAACTTTTAGATAAGACTATAATATTTATTATGGTATTAACTTTTAATAGGGGTCCCGCCGGTCTCGGGAAGGGTACTCACCCGTCTTAAGACTATTGAGTAAAAATAGACATGTCACCCATGAATTACATTACCATTATCAATGACTAAACAATTATTGTACTCAATTATTATTAGAAATATTTCATAATCTATGATATTATTAAATAAGATTAATATTATTAAATATTATTGAATTAGAGAAGAAATTTAATATCTGATTAACATTTTGAGACGAATATTGTTCTGAGATTCAATAGGTATTTTCATTAACCTATCCATTGTATTGTTTTATTTGTTTAAATTTTAATACAATTAAATAACATTATATATTTATTTTAATATTTTGTATCTAATACATACATTTATTGCCTGTATAATTTTATAGTTACACTTTCAGCTGCAGTAATTATTTTTAATTTTCATACTGTTATTGAACATCAAAAAGAATACTTTTTTTAAATTATATTTATCATATGTGAATTGTATGAAAAATTAATAAAAACAAACCATACATAAATTACCATAAAATTGACATTTAAGTGCTTAAAAACAATCCCAATGAAGAAATGTATACTTTTCTACTCTAGTTAGAGTCTAATAAGATTTTTTTGCATTTTCGTTATCGTTAATGTTAAATAAGATTAGTTGTAAATTGTTAATATATATATCACTTATATCAGCGCTTAATGTAAATATTTTTATTTTTTATTTTAGTAATTAACTTAACTTATTAATTGAAATTAAGTTAAATTATTTTTTAATTACTTAATTTTTAACTTTACTGATGTAATTCTCATGTGCATTAACTTAATTATTAACTTAATTGAACATGAAATCAATTAACTCAATTTATCTAAGTTAAAAAATATCATTAACTTGCCGAACCTTGAGATATTTTTTCAAAAACGTACATTGAATATTATTAAGATCATTTAAATAAGTTAAATAATTATTTTATCAAATTAATGAGCATATTATATATAAATATATAGTCAGTTTTAAAATATTAAATACATTATTATAAAAGATATACCTATGTCAACATAAAAATATAAAGAATCAAAATATTGAGAAATTAAGACTGAATTGGCAATAAATGTTTTTACTATTTTATGTTTTTATATTTAATAATTAAAAATGTATATTAATTATAAATATAATCAATATGAAATAGATTGAATCATATTATTGTAATTATACATTAAGTTTTACTTGACTTCTTAGTTATTATACATAATTTCCTTTTTAAATTAATTAGTCTCTATGTAGAGTTGAATTAACATAAGCTATTTATTTAAACAGATTTGGCCGTAAGACAATTTTCTGCATTTCAGCTGTAGCACAACTGATTCTTGGAATTGGGGTTGCATTTCTTCATGAATATTGGATATTTATAGCAACCACATTTGTGTATGGGATTTTTGGTTCGTCTGGATCTTATATATCAGGATTTGTTTTGAGTATGTTATGGTAAAAATATGTTGAAGCTTATTATTTAACTGTACCTATTAATATTAATTTCTTAGCTACGGAGTTAGTAGGACCCTCAAAGCGTTCTGTTTGTGGGATTTTATTCCAAGCGACATTTGCTCTTGGTATTATGGGCGTATCCGTATGGGGATATTTTATCAAAGACATATTTTTACTTCAAATTATATACGGCTTACATAGCTTATTATTAATTCCTCATTACTGGTAAGTAATTTTAATTGATTTTGTTGAAAAATGTTATCATACTGATACGATACATATTATTATATTATGTACTCAAACACTATAAACAGGTTAATCGACGAGTCTCCACGATGGTTGTGGGGACAAGGAAGAAAAGAAGAAGCATTTAATATAATACAAAAAGCACTGAAAACTAATAATAAGACACTGGCATTACCGTTAGAAAAAGAACAAGTTGTACTAGACAAGGATGGCAGCGAAATAAAAAATCACCAAGACGTCCAATCGTTTTCAATATTAGATTTGTTCAAAACTCCAAACCTGAGAAAGAATACAATGAACATTTGCTTATTTTGGTAAAAACCATACAAGTAACCATTATTAATTAGAAACGATTTCAACTCTTTATAAGATCGATATTTTTATTCTTATGTTATCATATTTTTTACATAACCATAACTTTGAGTATACAGTTGAATATTTGAATATTACTAGCAGTTTCTAGGGAAATAAATTCTAAAACATGTAAGAAGAACAAATATTCGTGGGATTTTTTCAAAAAGAACTTAATTAAGTTTTGGTTAGCTTCAATATGAGAGAATTTAGATTCTTAGAATATTTATATAAAACATAAATTGTATTTCTGCTCAGAATTATTCTTGAAAGTGATGATTTATATTTGTTTTGGAATTTATTATAGTTCAATACTAGTTCATATCGACTATTATGTTAATTATAATTATAATTATTATTATTATAATTATTATTATAATTGATACCTCAATACTCAATATTTTTGTCTTGGAAAAAATCAAAAAATTAACGAATATTAATCATTTACCAATTTTTATTTTTTATTTAATTTATTTTTTTTATAATTGTATTATATAATATTATGATTTATATTTACATCTTACATGCACCAATATTATTATTATCGTTATTAAATATCCGTTTTAGGTTTGCTGCTAGTTTTGGGTACTATGGTATTTCATTCCAAACTGGAAAATTAAAAGGTGATCCATATTTGATGTTATTTGTGATGGCCGGAGTTGAAATGCCAAGTTATATATTTGTAACATTAGCAATGGATCGTTTAGGAAGACGATTTCTCAACAGCTCTATGATGATTATTGGAGGAACCGCTTTATTAGCTTCTGCTTTCCTTCCTATGAGTAAACAAAGTTCATTAATTTCTTTGTGTATATTAAATACTAACAATTTCTTTCAATTTAATATATAGTATCAGAATCAATATCTATTAGTGCTGCGTTTATTGGAAAGTTTTGCATTGCCGGAGCATTTGCTATCATATATAATTATACAGTAGAACTCTATCCTACTGTGGTTCGAAATACTGCCATTGGACTAGGAAGCATGTTTGCTCGTTTAGCAGGAGGTTTTACTCCTTTGGTTACACTATTGGTGAGTAAAAAATTTTATAAGTAACAATTTAAAGGAGATTAACGATATTATATTACAGATATATTTTAAATTAACTTAAAATTGTATCTAAGTGTATTTATATGGTAGACACTTGATTATCAAATTAATTATGAAATAAGAAAGTACAACCAAAGTGGAAATAATTAGTCTTGTGAGATGTAAAAAATATTGGAATTTTTGTTACTTTAACTTTTCTACAAAATGGTCAATTAAATAACAAAATGTATGTTTTAAAAAAATGTCAATTATTATTACAAAATTAATTAATTAATTAATTTTTTTATACATAAAAATGGAAGTATTAGAATATAAATTTTTCAATTCCAATCAAAGTATTTATTTTTAAACTCTGGTTAAAACATACCATTAATGTGTAAGATTTCCTGTTTTCATTATTATTTATTTTGTATGTTGTTGTAGCCACTTAATAAAATTGATCATTTCATGAAATCGTTACTCCAACTCTGCACCGTGTAACTAATTTTTTTACAATGTGATACATCAATTCGTGTTCCACACAAGATGTTTTATATGCTATTTATATTAAGTTACTCTTCCATCTACTTATTTATTTCAATAAAAAAGTACTGGACTGTTTTATTTAATGTGAAAATTGTGTGTGTAAGTTTACAATATAATGTTTCTTAAAGCAACTTTATACTTAATTATTGAATATAATGTATCAAAAAAATGCTGATATGACATTATGTCAAAACTATAAAAATCAAAAAATGTTAGATTTTCATGTAATCGTATACATCTAATTGTATTACTTAATAGCTGCTAATAAAATTCAGTAGAGTATTTAACTGAAATAAATATAAAACGTCTTAAGTAGCGCATGTAGTAATGACCATAATATAAATTATCACAGCTTAAAAAATTAAGAAATGTTTAATTGAATTGACCATTTTATGAAAAAATGACCAAAAATATTGGATATTGTGAAATATTTTCTTACTTCACAAAGTGTGAAAAAACGTTTACATTTCATGAAATGGTCTCCTTTTCATAAAATTGTCAATTTTACTATATTTCTGTGATGTATACAAACGTCATGTATCCTCCATACAGAGTGATTTTTAAGTATCTCCCATTTATGTGCTTAAATTATAAATTTTTAAGTTCTAATTTTAGAAACTATATATTTAGATATCTAGACATCATATATCCTTATACATAAATTAAGCGTATCTCTCACGAAATATCATATTTCAATAAAAACTTTAATTTCAAAAAAGAATATTATTTTATTTTTTATCCAAAAATATTACTAAGCAAACTTTTCTGTAATTGTTGATGATTGTTAGCATAATCAACATTTGGATTATTACAGAATTATTCAAATTTATAGTTGTTTATGAAAAGTGTACAATAATTAGAATGTTTTTATTTTGTCGTTATAACTCCAAGATTACACAAATATAATATTATGCGTAACTTGGTACAAATCGATACAAGTTATAGATAAAAATAGTGTTGATAAATACCGGTCATAGGTTAGTTTTTGCTTATTCTCATTCCCCCGCCAAACATTGCGAATTACACCTTCAATTTGTGTATCAAATGTATGATAGTGAAAATTACGGTGATTACGATAATAGTTCTTGAACATTGTACTATTAATTATAAATACTATATGTATATAACAATAATACTAGTATATTTAATATTCATAATCAATGATTCTAAGAAAAAGGAAATTTTACCCAATCTTTCTTACATAATAAGTTCTTATTTATAACATTTGAATAACTTCAAATGTTCAGATTTAACTGTTGACTATCATATATCAAAATTTTCAGAAAAATGAACTAAATAATTGTTTATAAAAATAATATTCTAATTCGATAATCCCACACTATACTGCTTAAGAGTTACAAAAAATCTCTGTATTATAAATTTATAATTTTAAAAATTAATTATAACAAAATATATACAATATATTATATACAGTACCATGCCTAGTATAAATTATCATCAAGATGCGCCACTATTCCCTTCTTTGCACACTCCATTTAAAAAAAAAAATCTATATTCTATCTTATATTTTCTTTGACTGCCCTTCCTTACCTACCAAGCTCAATATCCTAATTAGTCTTTCTATAATCCATTCAATACTTTCAGCATTCTAAATTTCAAAATCTGCTTTCATTCTAATTATTTTCTTCATTCACGAGGCTGATTTCTCTTTACAATCTTTTATTATTTTAATAGTTTTATAAATGGTATATTATTGTTAATTTGTCATCTCGTCGATTTCGAGGCAAAAATATATACCAATACTAAAAATAAATTAGCAACACCGCCGATCAAGATAATGTTAATGATGTTGACTACGCGTTAAGATCATGGCTTTAAACGTATTAAATATTTTGAATTAAATAATATGGTTAACTTTTAGTCATTTTACTTAGATTACGAAAAAGCTTTTGGCGCACCAGTGTTAATAGAGCTTGGTGTACTCGCACCTCTCGCACCCCCCTAGGCACGACCCTGATTATATATATTGTTTTAACTGGTAACTCTTGATTTTGTGGGAGAACTGAATATGTATTTGATTAAAGTTAAATAATATAGAGTAAGAATATCGTTTAAACCATATAACCAATAGCAAAACTTGAAGCAGATTTTCCTGAAGAAGTTATAAATAAATGAATTTTACTTTTAATAGTTTTGAAATTAATATACTTCTTTCAACAAAATGAAAGAAGAACATCATTTTAAATAAAGGATGCTAACAGCAAATTTAATTACTCAAATTCTAGCCTTTGAAATTAACACTTTAACATATTTAAAATAAAATTAATGTTTATTGTTTTTTTTTAGGATTCCTTTGATTCAAAAGCTCCGACAATAACATTTGCTTTAGTTACACTTTTAAGTGGTATTTTGAGTACTCTACTTCCCGAGACACTTGATACAACAATGCCCCAAACCATGGAAGAGGGTGAAGAATTCGGAAAAGGTGACACATGTTTCTCAACTGGATGTTTTGGTCGTTCAAAAAAATTGTCGAAAGAAAAAGATATACCACTAGAAAGTTACAAGTCATAAAATAAAACCGCTTTGTAATCATTTATTTTAACTTCAGTTGTTTTTGTGTAAAATATTTTTTAAAATGTATATTTTAGAGATATAAATTTACATTTTTTATTTATTAATATTAATTTTAATTTAAGGAATTCAATATACGTTTATTCAAAAAAAATTTTCCAATGAAAAATTAAAAAATGGTTTTTAGTTTTATAAAAACGTTAAAAATGTAAAAAAAAAACTCTGAAAGAGCATAGTTCTGTAATTTAAAATTTTAACATTTATTTTTTAAAAAGTTCAATATTTAAAATATTGAGCGATAAATATAAATATGAAATAATCATCATAGGTAATTATTATGTTAAGTATTTGTGTATTTTAAATATCATTGTTTTTATGTTAATTTGAAAAGACGATGGAGGCCATGTTTTTTTTGGGTTTGCGTATTCAGATTACACAGTATAATTGACTTTATTTATAACAACTATCAGTTTTATCATATTCGTTAGTGTATTACCAATTTATTGTATAGTGAGATATAATTTGTGACTGTGAATAATTCAGTATTATGTATTGTTTGTTTCATAATAATTTAATACATAATGTCTATGAATTAAACCAACGTTTGATACTTTGACCGGAGCTACTTGTGTTGAAATAATTTAAAAATAAATATTATTTCAAACTAATTTATAAAACTAAATGAAACATGAGACTTTTAAAAAAATTGGTTACTCTCTACACACAATAATGTAAAGAGTTTTGTTTCAATAGTGAATATGAAAAAAACATATTTTAAGTTTCAACCATGTGGACTTTAGAATGATTTCTTTATTTGAGTTTCAATAACACCTATATGGCTGTTCATATGACAATTTCCGTCTGGTTTATGATTGGCCCTTAAAAATTAATGGCCTCCTAAAAGACATTATATTAGGGTTTTTTTTCTTTCATATGACGTCCCTTTTGGTGAAAACATACATATTGGGGTAAGATTTAATAACTATCTACTAAAAAATTTATTGTTACTACGCTCAAATTCTTCTACACATTTTAATAATATTATTTCTGTTTATACGTTCATAGGTTATATTGTTTTGTATTTGTTATTTTGTCCTGTAGAGGACCCAAACATATTTTAATCATGTGTTTATTTAATATAAAATGCTGGACGAGGTGTAAATTACACCCATCCTCAATTAAATCATATCCATCGAGTCAATTTAGTTTAAAATGTACAAATATTATCATAATAAATTATTTTACCAAGTCTATCTCAGCAAAATGTTAATTAATACATAATATTTTTTTGTCAACTTTATTAATTTTTTTAAGTAATTTGTATAAACAATCAACTAATTTAAAGCAATAAAACTGATTAAATTTACTTAAAATAATATAAGTTCGTTATGTTATAAATTAAATTAATAATTTGCGTAATTATGAACTAGATGGTGCTAATTAATCAATTATTTCATATTTTCTTTATAAATTTAACTAAATTATTTTTTATACATAATGACATTAGTAGTTCAAGATTTTCTCGACAGATAGACGACTTGAGTTATGTTTTCAAAATGTTTATTTTTGAAGACACTCGTTTGCAGTAAACTTGTGTATACGGAAGAATTAATACATGTTCATAGTTAAATAAAGCACATTAAATAAATCAGATTTTGATGTTATTTCATGTAAATAAATTCGTGTATGTGGTTATATACAACACTTATTTCAATTTTTCAAAATATTTAGATTTATATTTGTTCGATTTTCATCGAGAGAACGAAAGTGTACAAAAAAAAAAAAAAAAAAAAAAAAAACACCTACAAATTTATTTACAACTCTGTAAGAAGAATGTGACTAAAAGTTATATAGTTTATTTGTCAAACTGTCAATTAAGTATGAAATGTGAAAGATATGGAGTGTACGTCATTTCGATGCGGCAATTTGGACGCGCGTCAAATGGACGCGGTCAATTTAACACCATGACACTTGGACGCATACATTTCGACGTGTTCAATTTCAACGTATCATCATTTCGACGATCAATTCGATGCATTTTATGATACAATCATAGCATCGCTCGATAAGAAAATACTTCAATAAAAGTTGTATGTAATCAATGTAAGACAGTTTTGACGCGTTTTATTATATATTTCTACAGAAAAAAATTTGGAAATTTAATCGAATTCAATAATTTTCATCTTGTCAATACTTATTATAATACTTATTGTAATATTATAACAATACTTATTATAATATTCTTATACAATACATGTAGTATACTCATGTGAAATAATACCAATGGTATACTTGTTGTTTCCCAATAAATAAAAATAACTTATATAAAAATATTTTAAATAATTAAATCTCTTAATTCCCATGTATGCCGTAAAACATATACAACCTACTTTGAAAAAACAGTGACGAATGCTATTTCGATTGAATATTTCAAACAGAAATACATTATTGCTTTTTCCACTTCAGTCAGGGAATTTGGAAATAAATACAAAATCATGGGTTATCAACAAAACATATTGAGGATATCGAATTGGTTTTCGGATAGGAAATTTAGTTAGAAGAAGAAGACGTCGAGCTCCATTATTCTCAATTGAAGTCTAAAACAGTTTTAATCGAATTTAAGATAATTTCCTAGGACCAACTACAATATAAAGAGATGGCATAACTCATTTTCGGATCTGATATGTTTGCCCGACACTCGAATGTCACTTCAATTGCCCAACTTAATTTGCCCGACACCATATTTTATATATTTTTACTGTACGTCATACTGATATACAATATTTTATTACTATTCCATTATTTTATTATTATTATTTATAAATATGCAATATTAATATACAATAATTCAAAAAAAAACTAAATCAGACGAATATTTTATCATAGATATTATCGTTCTATGTGAAAGTATAAAGTAATACCTATAATAAGGTCAAGTGTGTTATTATTAGTATAATTTTAAATTTAACAATAATTTGTAAATAACGCAATATAATATAATATAATATTTTATTCATATTTTGAATAATTTTTAACACTTTAAATATTTTGACACATATTCATTTATAATTAAAAATAAATGTTAAATTTGAGATTGTCGGGCAAGTGTAGTTTCGGGCAAATGGTGTCGGGCAATTGAATGTCGGAAAAATGTACTGATCCCCTCATTTTCGACCCTTATGAATAGTACAAAACCGATCACACTGAAATTCATAGATACTTTAAAAAGACTTCACAACTTAACTAAAATGTTAAACGAAGAATTACTAGCCGGATATGTGATACAAAAAAAAAAAAGTAGTATACAGATTCGTTAAAAAGAATATTAAAAATGATCAATAATTTTGAAAAATTTTCCACTGATTAAATATAAACAGGTTAGGTTATAAACATTAAATATAATATATAAACAGGTATTGCTTACAATTTAAAATTGTAGGTATAAATAATAATAATTTTCTCACTCAATATTAATTTTTACATTTTTACAAACAATTTTAAAATTCAATTATTTTAACAATAAAATACCTAATGTTTTTAATATCTTTGTTTATTTATTGTTATTAGATAAATATAATAAAACGCGTCAGATTAACATTTGTCAAAATAATGATATCTACGTACACAATATTACACACATAAAATTGTATTTCGTCGAAATTTCCGCGTCTAAATGGCACGACACCAAATATATGAATTGATAGTTTTTTCTTGTTGAATATAAAATATAAAAAATGTTATTTTTATATTAAATAATCCATTTAATCATGATTAATTAAATAATTCATAAATTAAACTATCAAATGCAATCATTATATTAATTGTTTAAATTATTTAATTAATTATTAATCAAACCATATACCTATTTTAAATTAAAGTAGTTTTTACATTTCTGCTGGCTATTCAACATAACATTCAATTAACTCATATACCAATAATATGTTTAAAGATAAAACGATTTAACAATCATTATGCACATAATTATAATAATTGATAGAGCAAAGAATTGCGAAATCTTGTGAAATTCGTAAATCACTGTTAAAACGATTCTTCAGTAAGGTAATGAAATGTATGTAAAGAAATATAGTATCTATATACATACGTACTTACGTACTTACATACGTACTTCATCAGTACTGTATGTATGATTATGTAGGTTACCAATCTACGGAATAATAAAAGGGTAATAAAAAAAATAAAAATAAAAATAGGTATATCTTCAACTTACGATGTAGAGAAGGTGTACGAGAAAATATAAACTTCTCCACATCGTGTTTCAAATTTATGGACTTCATTTGAGTATGGTAAAATGTCATAAAATGTACCATTATTGTATCTTAATTATATCTTTAAACATCAGTACATAATTGTTATTATTTTTTTTTTTTATTAATAAAAAGCCTCAACGACAAAGGTTATTGGCTTACATTGTTTACCATATTAATATTACATTATACATTGTACATTATATACAATTAAAAATTATAACAAAAAATTTAGCTTAGATAATTTATAAGGTACAATAAGAGAAAACAGAACAAAATAGAATAAGATAAAATTAGATAAGGGTGTACAGTTTGATAATTTTTAAGAACGTGATGATTTTGTTGAAGTTTGAACTTCATCAGGTCCTAGTGCTTTATATAGGTGAGCCGGTATATTCAGAGCTGTTCTAGTGTCAGCATAATTGTGACAATATAGGCAGTGCTCGAATTGGGAAAAATTAAGTAAAGGAGCTCAGTCCAACGATTTGAAAACTGCATTCCACGTGCGCAATTATTTGACACAGACCCATGGGGGGCTTCGTCCCTCTTCCTCCTTCCACCAACCTTAAATATATTTTGAATACCATTTTTCAGCTAAACAAATATTTAAATTCCAAATATAATATATTTTAATAGCAATACCAATATCCTATATGTGACAATAGAAAATAAAAATAAAATAATAATTAACATAAGTAATTGTAAGCGATCAGGCAGTCTCACGAATCGAATGATATAATCACATATTTAATATTTGTTTTTATCTATTTTTACTCTTTAGTGCGAGCCACGGCCTTAGAAGATTAGTCTAAAGTCGTGGTGAGGGCATTTATTTTTTTCCGAAATGACGATATTGTCGATCGCCAATATTAATAACAAACCGTACAATATATAAAGTATAATACACCAAATTCGCAGAAATTATTATTTATATTTTTCCAGAAATAACGACGATGTCCCTTATCATAACCACCATATAATCTTAAATTATAAAAATAGTTTTGTTATTATAAATCGTAAAATTCATTTTCCAATTGACATAAATTGAAATTCACATAAATATTATTTTGGACATTAATTAGGATGAACGTGACGTCCCCCCGTTCCAGTGAAAAAATATAGTTGGGGTACGCAAAAAAAAAAAAAAAATAGTAGTGGAGCTCCTTCCCCTTGTGCACTCCCCCCCCAATTAGAGCACTGAGTATAGGATGATATGTTTAACTGTAAATGATTCCCCATAGTTAATACATTGGTCTGGTTTCTCGAGTCTCATGAGGAAACCATGGGTAAACCAAGTATGGCCTATTCTAAGTCTGTTGATTACGACGTCGAGGTGCCTTTTAGTTGTGAGGGTTGTCCAAGGATTAATAGAAGGTTTCATTTCGTTTAGTTTGTGGCAACGACCAACAGTGTTGTCACTGTTACAGTATCAGAGATTGTATGGCTCGCTTGATGGCACTCAGAAAACAAATTTGAGTTTAAATTGCTTCGGAAGAGTTTATGGCTCTTTTGGCATAGGTTTCTGCTATCTCGTTGCAATGGATTCCAACATGGCTAGGAATCCATACAAGCTTGACATATTGATTATGACTGTTAGTATAAAAATCTGATTTTGTATTATTCTGGATAAGATGGGTTGGTTTATATTACAGATGCTGTTTATAGAACTTAGAGAGTCACTTAGTATAAGTGCTTTGTTTATTTTAAGTTGTTTAATTATTTTGAGTGCTTGAGAGATCGCATAGGCTTCTGCTGTGTATATAGAGAAGAAGTCAGGTAATTTCAACATTTTTATTATATTAGTGGAGTATACAAATGCACCTACACCCGCTTCAGTTTTGGATCCATCCTGATCTACTCACTTCAATTTCTTTTCGAGTTCCATCCTATACTACTAGATTCAAGGCCGGATTAAGTACCTATTGGGCCTTGAGGCTGAAATTTTATATGGGCCTTTTGATAAAACATGCTTTACAAAGCCGCTCGCAAAAATATACATTTTTTTTAACTATTTCACAAATTTTCAATTGCATTATAAAATGATAAAATTAATAGGTAGGTATATAAAATGTATGTCTACAAAACTATTAATTTTAGTATGATTAAAAATGTGTATCGGCTTAAAATTGTTTGGGCCCCGAGGCAGCCACCCCGGCCAGACCCCCCCCTTAATTCGTCTTGACTAGATTTCACTCCCTATAAATGACCCTATCCATATATTATGTAAAAAATAAAACTCAAATAGTGTTATCAAATTAGTTAAATATATTGAAAATTGGTTACTCAAACTAACTTTCTATTTTACTTCTATTATATCTGGTTTATCTGGAAAATAATAATTTTAAACAAAAATTATGATTATTATTACAATATTTTACAAATTATGATGTGTTCCAATAATTCATTTTTAAAAAATCGGAGATTAGATTTAGTTACAGTAATGTGTAAAAAATATTTTAAGATATGACTACATCATATTGCTAAAACAAAAACTTCAAATATTGTTAGTAAACGAAGTCAATTAACCAAATAAATGTTACTTAACCCATTTATGACCAAAGTCTAAAATTTCATTAAATCAGTAATTTTATTATTTGCATTTTCAGGTGGCTCCATAAATATTTCTTTTACACTGTTTAAAATATCTCCTTCTTCCAACAATGCAGAAACTTCGTATACAGTTGGTTTCTTATATAAATAATAATAGTATAAACTAATTAGTTTTTCAAAAATTTTTAAAAATTGAAAATAATTAACAACCTATATATTCCTAGTTTAGTTATGGAATTAAAGTGTTTTGTGATACATGTAATATATTAGGTAAACACTAATCAGCATTTTATATTGAAATTCATACATATTACGGACAGAAATAAATTAGTTTATTTACTTTGAAAATTACGACATAATAAGACAAAAAATCACTGGTGAACTAAAATCGTTTTGTAATAATTTATCCCATAAACATAAACGAAAATAGTTTATATCTAACCTTAATATTCTTCTTTAATCGTTATTAATTGAGCTCGGATTTCAATGAATTTGCATTTTTCTTGGAATGTTTTAAACGATGCTTTCCAAGCTACAAATATGATTCAAGTATTACATGTTGTAACTACATTTTTTTTTTTTTGGGGGGGCATTTCTTGAATTTTAAACGGATTTTATACTTGTTGGGACATTTTTGACGTTTAAAATGCATTTTTTAATTTTTTGACATCTTCAACTTATTTCTCGTATTATATACTAAACAAATTGACTTCATTGAAATATAAACATAGTATTAACATTCATTAATTAGCATTAACAAAGCATCAACATATACGATTTGTCAAATTAAATTTTTTATATTTTACATATAATTTCATATAAATTTTAATAATTTCACATGTTAAACAAACATTTTTTTTCTGAATTTTAATATTAATTTAATTAGTACAAAAATAAAATTATTTAATGTATATTTATGATTAAATTAATTTTTTGAGAGGGGATTTTTTTAGTTTTTTAAGTCATAAATGCATTTTTTGATTTCTTTAGGGTATTTAAATTTAGTTATTAAGGATTTTTAAAAAAAAAAAAAACTCTAAAAGAAAAGCTGATAATAAATGGGTTAATAATATGTGATATGTACTTTATGTTCTTATTATTTTTTTTCCTTTATTGTATTTATCTTTTATGTCTTCTAATTTATTTGAATTTGTGTTATTGAAGAAATAGTAAGAATAGAACCCAGCAAGTATTTGATATGTTTTTTGCTGATCGAAAATAAGGGACGCATGATAAGAGCACTCCCATCAGGTTTCATCATTATCAATGATAAATGTCCTAAGTTACTTATCTAGATAGTATACAAGTCTGAGGGTTTACATCATAAAAATATAAGATATCCTTAAACCTATATCTAAGGTTTACATGTTATATTATAACACGATTTAAGATATACTCATAGGCGAAATTAGGGAGGGATGGAGGGGCTAAGTCCCTTCAAAAACATCCAAAGCTCCCCTAAAAACCATACAGAACTTTATATTATTATATTGATAAATAAAAAAAAATATGTGATTACTACTGAAAAAACGAATAAAATACATTTTTGTTATTCTTTTTTTAGTAACAATATTATAATCATGGTCTTAAATAATATGTCTATTATTTCTAGAGTCTAGACCGTGCTTAATATAGTGCACAGCAGAAAATAATAATGCTTTGAAAAATATGATAAAAGGAGTTCCTAACTATTTAACCATCAAAGAAAATATATTTAAAGATACGTTTCCAAATTTTTTTAAAATTATTTAATTGGCTATCACTCTTTCAGTTAGTTCGGCTACTTGCGAACGGTCATTTTCTACAATAAGAAAAATTAATAATTATCTCAGGTCAACTATGTTACAGGAACGGTTTTCGAAATTTGCAATACTTAATAATGAGAGAGATATTATTGTTGACACAGAAATAATTTTAAATACATTTGCTGAAAAATATAGAAAAATAAGAATATAAAATGTAAAAAACTATATTAAATCTGTTATTTATACTTAAAAGCGAATTATTGTTTTATTGTTTATTTTTAAATTATACTTGCCTTCCAATGAGCACATTTTTTACAGAGGGTAAAGGATGGAAAAAAAGCTTCTGAGAGCCAGTGATTGAAAAATTTATGTGAAGGGCTGAAGCCAGCCCTATTTTTTTACTCTAATTGCGCCTATGGATATACTTAAGTATATCTTAAACCGTGATTAAACATAACTTATCAGATAAACACATATGTCATAAGTGATAACTTATCTTATCTTATCATTATTATTTAACTACAACTCCTACTACAATTGTATTGTTAGCTATACTACTATATTATTATTAGACAACACGTAGGTAAACATTTCAATAATATGTTTACCAATACTATGAAACTGTGTTATGCTGTTTTGTCACGTATTTAATTTTTTTTATATAGTAAAATCTTAACTATTGGAAGAGTTAAGAGTAATAAGTAACGTTTAAATGAATCATGTTACCAGAAAGCTCTTCAATATATCATGAAAAACAAGTAATAACAAGACATATTTATTTAAGATCCAAAATTATATTTTGTCTACAATATTTATTTTGCTTTTATGAATATTTAGTCAAAGGAATTATGTGCCTTACACGCTCTTAACAATTTGTTTCAATCAAAAGAAGCATTCAAACAAATTGAACTTGATGCTATATGCTTCTCACTATCACCAAACAATTATATAAATCCACATAGATCAATTTTAGGTCTTGGAAACTATGATGTTAATGTTTTGATTGCTGCATTACAAAATAAAGGCTACAGTGCCTTTTGGTTTGATAAAAGAAAGTTAGTATCCTAATATCATAAATAACTTTTAATTTATAAATTTATTTAGTTATTTGATTATTTTATAATGATTTTGGATAAAATAACTATTATTTAAATATTAAATGTATAAAAAAAATATTTTAATATTATAGGGACCCAAAAATGTTAAGATTGGATCAAATATTTGGTTTTGTGATGAACATACCAAGTGAATGTCGTTTAGGTTTTGTATGGCTACCATTAAAACGAAGACATTGGATTTCTATCAAAAATATTAATGGAATTTATTATAATCTAGATTCCAAATTACCTAGTCCATCTCAAATAGGAAATGTATGTTCATACTCAATTCTTAATTTATTGTAAATTTAATAAGATATATGTATTTTGTTGTAGGAAGAAGATCTTCTTAATTACTTTAGATACCAACTACATATAAATGATAATCAGTTATTTGTTGTTGTAACTGGTGATAATAATAACTGGATTGCATCAGAAGATATATCTTGATAATTGCCAAAATATATATCCTGATTAATGATTTCACCTAGAGATTTAAAAAAAGTTAAATGTAAAATGTATTTTAAAAATATTTAAACATACAAAATGTATGTTATACATCATCAAATCAATAATCAATCACTATTATTGATAAATGATGTACAAACAACATAGGTATTAAAATGTGATTATTAATAATTTTTATATTACCAGTATTTTTTTTATTTTTTTTTTTATAACATTGGTTATTTTATTTTAATTGCACCAACACATATAAATAAAACTTGTATTTTAATAACAATTGTATTATATATTTATTTTTTAGATATCTTAAAAATTATCAATCTAATTTAAACAGTTAAAAATTGTACTTAAAAAAAAACAAACAAACAAATTGTAAAAAAATCACAAGTCTTGTTCAATATTGGTTTTAAAAATTTTCAAGTTTAACAAAAACAAATGATATATCTAATAAATACTAAGTTTATTTTAGTGGAAAAAGTTAATAAATAAAAATCCATATTTTAATAAAAATTAAATTGTGCATAAACCATAATATCATTAATTTTGTTTTTGTTTAATTAATAAACAAATTCTAAACAACTAATCAATATAGTATATAATATACAACCTATTCTAATAAAAAAGAAATAAATAAATATAATAAACTATATAATGTATACTGATATATCAGTAGTAATTTTGTACATAAATGGAGTAGTAAAAATATAATATGTATAAATTATAAATATTAACTTAACATTTAACAATAAGCAATAATATTATACAGAATTGAAAAATAAATGCATATGAATTAGTTTGCTTAACATGTAAACAATTCAGAGATAATTTTTTATTTGTAAAAGAATTAGGAATGAAAAAACAAATAATAGTATGAAATTTAAATCTGACATTTATATCTTACAAAAATGATGGCATATTAATTTTTTATTTTTGGACATCTAGCATTTTTAATAAAAATAGTTTTACTACTAAACTCTTAAATTTGATGTAGGAAGATGTAGGAATAGATATCAGAATATATCTTGTGCAAAGGAAGATTACTGAAAATAAATGAGATTACAATGAAAGATATATGACTATTTTCAAAATAAAATTTTGTTTACATCTAATTTGGTCAAGTGAACATTTAACAAATACCTGTAAATAATTAATTTTACTGAAGCATTAAAGATTCTAAATTCCTATGTAAAATTGTATCTTTAACTGCATTGAATACAACTTTAATATTTTCTGTATCCACAGCAGTAGTGAAATGATGAAACAAAGATTTTCTGGGATCACGTTTTGCTTGGCGAAAAAAATCCAATAAAAATGCTTGTACATCAGGTAAACTATGAGGATCTCCTATAACATAAGACAATTATTAAGATATAATTTTTTATTATAAAAAATAATTTCAGCAATTATTGTAATACACAACTCACACCAAATACTAGGCAAGCTTGAAATATAAATTTACATGTATTATTAAATTATTTAAATTATTAGTTAGACTAATACCTAGCCTAAATTTTTATGTGTATAATTAATTACCTGTAAAATTTGAAAAATAGTGCTTAATATTTGTTTCTCTTCTTTCTAATTTGTCAGCCAATAAGTCAGTTTTGTTCATAAAAAGAATTATAGAAACTCGTCGGAATATTACATTATTTACAATAGAATCAAATATATTCTTTGATTCTTCTAATCTATTTGTTTTTCTGAAAAAAAAAAGTTATTATAATCAAACATATATTTTGATTAAATTTATATAGTAGTAATATATATGATATATCAATTACATATCGTCAGCGAGAATAAATCTTCTATGTAAAAAAAACCCTACTTTTCAGTAGAAACAAAACAGTTACTTATCTATATATCCCTATACGACACTTACTTAAACGCAAACAACGATACCTCCAATGTGATTGCTAATATTTTTATTCACAGGAGGTATTTCAGAAATGTTTATGATTAGCCCTACATAAGAGAGATTATTTAATTTACATTTCATTAAACATAGAAGAAAGATATTACATAAGAGTTTTGTTCATATTGAAGATATATTTTTTTTCTAAATTTAATGATACCAAAAACCTCAATTTGGTAATTTTTCACATGGGAGATTTATTTCACGGAAGGTGATGTGCAATTATGCCACTGATTGAATAAAATTAAATGTTATTTTTTTATAAACAATATATTATTTTTATCATAATACAGGCACCAGCAATTGATGACCCACATAACTTTTTATTTCAGCCTACAAATTTTGATTATGGTATTTAAAACTCTAATTTCATACTTTTTACAAATTGTAATTATTATTAAGTATTAATTTTATACTTTAAATTAATAGCTATTATATTTTTAGGATATTAGGTATTCAATTCGTATCTACAATAATGTTTTAATTTTTAATGTGGCCTTCAAAGAAAAATAAAAAAATATGGATTACATAGATGAATAGGTTGCCGACCCCTGTTATAACAATAAGTAAAAATATTTATTATTAACCTAAATAGTTAAAATTAAATTAAATTAAAAACAAAAAGTAAAAATTAAATCATTAAAAAAAAGTACTTCATAAGATTAAATAAATTATATATTCTGTTAAAAATTGAATATGAAAATCATGAAAGAATTAGCTCTAAAAATTGGCAGTGCTAAAATTAAAATACGAGTATAACAAGCCACAGGTATATTTTTTATCATTACTAAGTTAATGCAATAAATATACAATTTTCACATAATACAAAATTATTAAATTCTTAGTTTAAGTATATATTAATAACATTTTATAGTTATATTTAAATACAATATATTAAATATTTTAATCAACTTATAACTATAATTTACAATATATATAAATATATTTGAATGGTTATATTTTATCAAAAACACTTTTTACCAGTGCTAAATATCAGCAATCGCCTTCTTAATTATGCAATTTATCTAAAAGCAATTACAATTACAATGGCAGTAAATAAGCATGTGTCTAATTTAACATAATCTTAAAAATACTAACGTTATACATGCACCAAAGGTTGACACATAATCATTGAATAACTGTAATCTTATAAATTTAACTTTGATATATTCTTATCATAAAAATAAGCACACTGAATGATGAGAACAAGTGACCTTGTTATGGTAATTATTATTAACTAAGAAACTGTATGATATATGTACTTACATATTTAGATTAAAAAGAAATTGAAGAAATAATCCTTACAAAATAAAACATTTCTTCATATTGGTTGATTCAGAGTAGGATAAGAAAGGTTTATTACTATTTTGATTTTAATGTTAATTAGATTAAAATAAATAATAAAAAATTATAAAATTACTTAAATTACTTTATTTATAGTAAAAATGATAAAATATTTTTGTATTCAAATTAAAGATGAATTTGTTAATTATTTTTAATATTTTATGTAAATATATAACACATATGTTCATATTATTATATTCTAAATATTCAGATTAAGCTAATAAAAATAATATTATATTTTATATTATAAATTTCTACTAAAGCTATTAAAATTATAAAAAAAATATTTAATTTTAATTTATTCTGTTAATAAAAGTGATGTTAACAGATTTTGTATCCTATCATACATTGTTAATCATTACATATATACACCATTTATTATATTATATACAGATGGTAAACATTTTGTTAAATACAAACACTCAAAAATAAATAAGTGTATAACTGAGACTTAAGAACTGATAAAAAAAATAAAAATATTTCAAATTAATAACATACCTGTCTTCAACAAGAACTTGATCGAATTCTGAAGAAGATACTAAAAATAATATCGATGTTACAGAGTCAAAACACTGAAACCATTTTTGCCTTTGGGATCTTTGTCCGCCAACATCAACAAATCGAAATGGAATATTGTTTATTGGAATAGTAAATTCATAGATGCCTTTAGTAGCTCTCCGAGCATGTAAAATATCTTTATTCGTAGGTAAATAGTCCTAAAATTTAATATATATATATAACTAATTTTTCTTCTTTAAATTGAACATTAAATTAATACAAATACAATTTTTAAATTGTCAATTAATAAAATATCTTACACTTCTGGCAATATTTTCAATGTTATCCAGAAAGTATTGAACGGAGTCACTAAGTTGAAACTCTCTCCTCCGTTCAAATGCCCTTTTAATGGCTGAATCTTTCCATAAACAGTACATTGATGGAGCATATGCTAGGAATAATCGTGTATCCAAAGTAGTACGATTGTCAAAATTCAAAATATATTCAGCACGCTCATTATTATCTGGATTTTCCCATGGTATATCCAACTTTTGTCTAGCATCTGCTAATACTTTCATTCCTATTTTAAATAATAAATATATTTCAAATTTTATATTAAATTAGTGTAATAAATTTTCTTTACCTCTTAATATATTTTGATAAATTATATGTTGGTATTCAATGACAAGTTCAGGTTCAAAATGTATACCATGTATAATGCGCATTTGCTTGAGAAATGTTGATTTGCCACTCTCACCAGCTCCCAACAGAAGTAATTTGACTTGTCGACGTAACAGATGTTTATCTTTATCTATAAGTTTATCAATCTCTTTACTTTTATATCGTTGTTCCATTTCATCAGCGCTAAACTTGAAACGCAAACAACACGGACAGGTAATAGTACATCTTGCCATTTTTCAGGTCGTATCATCTTTTTCCATAGTAAAAAATAGTTAAGGTTGAAGGTTCTGATGATTTCTAAAAACACACGATTATAAATTACTTATGAAACTTTTTCTATAAATACAATTATACATATATATATATATATATATATATATTTATATATAACTTATATTTCATATTTAATAATTTAATTGAGGATTAAAATTCAAACTTCTCAAATATTTTTACAATATAAAACTGTAAAAGAGGATGGTCCGATGTTGAATAGCTATTTTGAATAAACTGTATAACTTAAAAACTTATTTGAAATGACAAACATGAATATGGAATAAAAACTTACACACAATAGAAGAAATGCATCCTTCATTTTCAGTTATCTACGAAATTAATTTGAATACAATTGGTAATCCACTAAACAATAATTATGAAGTAAATTACAAAATTACAAATACAAATTATATTCTACAATTCTATTTTTTAGGGCTTGTATCTTAAATTTCTTTTATTGTGTGTTTGTATTGATAAGTAGATAACATAATTCCACGGCACCTCGATCTAGCGCTATCTTGTAGTGTATTAAATAGCTAGTAATAAACATTTAACATTTTATCACAACACCAATAATTTCATTATTAACAAACAAACCGTAGTACATCAACAACATTTATCTCTGTTTTTCATAAAATATTTTTAATTGTTACCTGTACAAAATGTAATGGAATATTGGTAAGTATTTAGTTAGTATATTTTAAGGGATTTTTGTTTTGTCTTTTTATATTATTATCAGCGTCCCTTGAATACAATTTTTAATATCTGCTTAGACTATTTAACTTTAATTGAATTGGCTAAACTGATATTATTTTTTAACTCATAAATTAGCTACTAATATAAATCTTATGCTGTTTTATTACAAAAATTTAATAATTGAAAACTCCTATATTCGATTGGTTTTTGGAACATTGTATAATTAATAAGACTTATATTGTATTAAAAATATGGATTTCTGTGAACATGCTCATCGTTCAATTTACCATTTTTAACAGAAATTTATCTAGGTAGAAAGTCAATGATACTTTTCTAAGTGTATAACAGTACTTTTACCTTCTTGTTTTGCTTATTGACTAATAATAGAGTTGGTGAGATGGGAGGCCAATTACATACATTTTTATCTAGATGTCATCACAAGTGATGTAAAAATAATGAAGTATATAACAGGTATATTCACAAAATAGAGAATTAAGAAATAATTTGATAACTTATGATAAAAAAGAAACCAAAGTTAGGAAAATAAAGAAAATCTGATTAAATAAAAGGAAGGCCAGTGAAAGAAAAAATTATTGAAGTTGAACTGGGTTCCATATAATGGTGGGTGTAATATGAGGTAATAATGAAAGAATGGAAAATCCCCGAATTGAAGGCACTTTACCGTTTACTACACAATTATTATAATTGAATATATTATTTAGAATTATTCTATATTAACTATATAAACGTCAATATTATAATGTGAATAATAAAGTAGAAAACCATGATCAGGGATATTTTAAATGGCCTGGTTACTTTAAGAACATAAGGGATAACCATTTGAATTGCTAAATTTTCCAGTCTGTTTTCAAATAGAAATTTAAGTCTATGGAGAGAATTTAGGTTAAAGAAGGATGGGATACATACTGCATATAATCTTAATACATAACGAAATTATAATTTTTTTTATTATTTTTTGGATTCTATTTTAGCTCATTAGTTTATATTAAATCTAATTTACAAATATTTACAACTTTCCTTTGCAATTTTTTCATACAGTAAATTATTCTAATAATTTTGATATAATTAATATTTTATGCAATATAATTTAATTTAAAATGTATTTCATTACATTGATTTCTACTTATGTATAAAATTACTTTATTTGAGTATTTGAAGTAATAAAAAAAACATAACTAGTATAATTACTTATAAAAAAAAGTCAAAGACAATAATAAAATAATTTGAGGTTTATTGATCTTTAATTATTATTAAGGGAACAGATTTATATGTAAATACATATTTTTATTAAAACGAGATATTTAAAATTTGATAAGAAATGTTCATGATTTAAATCATTCCTATTAATATGATGCTACTTTTATTTTACATATTTTTACATATTTCACTAATTTGTAAATATTTTTAAACATATTTTATTATTTCATCATTCATACATCTTCTTCGTACAAAAATACAAGAAATTATTTCAAATTTAGATCCAGAACTTCTATCACTATTAGAAAAGCTCAAAATATTATGCAAAATGAAACATTGAAAACTAATTTAATTTTCATCTCAGTGAATTTTAGTTTTATTGCACATATATTTACAAAATTAGAAAGAAAAATATGTCCTTGAATGAAAGTATGCAAATTGTCGAATCAGCGATTGCAAAATGAAAACTTGTAAACGGACCAATAGGCGAAGTTGTAAAAAAGAAAATTCATGTTACAGAAAAAAATTTCAGGCCATATTGATTTTAAATCAATCAATGACATAGAATGGCAGACACCCTTCTAAAAATTTGGAATTATCGCCTTCTAATATTATGCCCTTCAAATATGCTTAAATCAACCGATGTAGGTTGATGTGGAACGATCATTTAGCCGTTTTAAAAATATTTTCAGATCTAATAGGCGATATTTAATATTTAATAATTATAATTTTTTTTTTTTTTTAACTAAATTTTTTTCCTACATATTTATGTATTTTTATTACATAAAAATCCGTTCCCTAGTTATTATATATTTAGTATATATATATATATATGAAATTCAACATTTCATGAAAAATTGACATTTTTATGAAATGGTAATTTACTTCCTACACCACATTAGAAGTTTTTTTATTTGACTCCTTTATAGACTTATTAGTGACTACTAATAATACTATATTATGGAAAATATTACCCAATGTTAAATTGGAGTGACCATTTTGTGTTTCACATTGTTTAATAAAGCCATTTTTATTTTATTAATTGGTCGATTTAATAATGCACAAAATATAAAATAAAATATTGCTAAAAAAGTAATATACGATTAAACTTCAAAAACCATTGAATTATTGTTTTTAATATAAAGAAAAGTTTAGAAAATGTTGTAAGATGGAAGTCCATGTTATTCTCATTATGTACCTGACATTAGGTAAATACTTTTTAAAAAATATTAAAGATAGTGTTTAAACATATTAGATAATTTTAGGTACATATTTATAGTTTATAATGTGTAATAAAAATTAAATGTATAAAACACTATACAAAACATTTAAATTCCTTATACGTAAAACATTTTTTTTTTTTTAATTTGTTGTAAAAATAATAAATATGATATTTAGAAAAAATTGTTGTATTTAATTATATTTAAATAATAAACTCTTAATCAACAATTACAAACTTTCCAACTTTTTATTTATTTGTAACAGGTTCTATAGCATTTTTTTTTTTGCAAATAGATTATATTTTTAAAATGTATTCTTCATTAATAAGTTGGCAAAGATAGTGAAAAATTATATTTGATGTAAATTTTCAATCTATAGGATATTTACTATAGCTCAAGATTAAAATTAATTATAATAATATAAAATATGTTATAATAATTTCTAAAATGTTTTTAAAAAATTATTATTTCTATCAACTATTTTGACTAAAATTATTAATATTTGATATGAGAATATATTGGTCTATTATGAATTTATATTAAATTATATTTAATTTATGTATTGAATTGTTTATTATTATTCTTCTTCTGGCATTTCCACTTTCTAAGAATTATTGCCACCTCTCTCTATTTTGGGCTGTCTCTCTCCAATCTTCAACTCCAAAGATTTTTAAGTCTTTTTCCACCATGTGAATCTATCTTTTTCTTGGTCTTTTACCTTGTGGTTTCCATTCCAATGCTACTCTAACTACTTCGTTCTCTCGTCTTCTCACTATGTGACCTAACCATTATATTCTTAGGCTATTAATGAAGCTTGTTACTGGTGCTAGTTTCAAATTAGCGCATAGCTCTCTGTTGTATCTCCTCTGCCAATTTCCCGTTGTTTCATCAATGACAGGTTCACATATTTTCCTCTATACTCCATACTGTATTATTAGTAATATATATATTTTTTTTTTTTTTCAGAAATGATCACAAAACAATTTTTTATTTTAATTAATAAAATTTAAAATTGATCATGTCGAAAAGAAATAATGAGGAAGGAGGCTCTGAAGAACCTCCTGTAAAAAAAGTACAATTTGAACCAGTTAGACTTGGCCCTATATCTACAATGGAAGATTTAGATATGAAAGTACTACAGTATCAAAACAAAAAATTAGCGCAGGTTTATTATTCAATAAAATACAATATTTAAATAAAATTATAGAGTTTCTTATAATTTATTGATCTTTCAGAGGTTAGAACAAAGAAATCGATTAGAAGGGGAATTAAGAAACAGAATTGAACAGCTAGAAAAACGACAAACACAAGATGATTCTGTTTTAAATGTTGTAAATCGTTATTGGAATCAATTAAATGAAGACATCCGAATATTATTACAAAGATTTGATGCTGAAACAGCTGATGAATTAGAAAGCAAAAGTAATTATTTATGTGTTTTTAGTTTTCATACTAAATATATTCATATGATGTTCAATGTTTATTTAAATATTTCTTAACTTTATATATATATATATATATATATATATTTTTTTTTTAGATGAGAGTGAAGTAACAACATCATTTTTAGTACAATTGTCGACATGGGATAAAGAAGAATTAGATGAGAAATTAGCTAATCGAGTCCAAGTGTCTAAACGAGCAGTAGCAAAAGTTATACAGGCTTTTGATAGACTAATGCAAAGAAATGAAAAAATTACACTTGCTCTTAAAGGCGAATTTGAAGGTGGTAAGTATTAATTATAATTTATGATGATATGACTTTTAATATATTATGTATTTCAATAATATGAAGTGTTATAATGCTATATGATATTTTGGTTCATTATACTTAAAATTACCAATTTTTAATACCATTGATTATAATTACTAGTATTTAAAATCAATGGTAATACTAACTATATCTCTCATAATATTGATGATTGAAGCAATCCTTCTGGTCAAAATTTTATACATAGACAAAAAAAAAAAATGCGTGACAATTACTAGACGGTGTTAAATTTGTATCTTAATCTTAGTTGTTGTTTTTTGTTAATTTTTTTAGTTTTTCTCAATAATTTAAAAAAATTATGAGAAAATAATAGACGACCCCCTTAAAGTACCAATTAAACATAATTTTCTATCTTTTAATTCTCATGATTGTGATTGAAGTAATCTTAACCAAAATTGTGTATCCAGTTAAAAAAATAACACACAGTTAAATAAATTAATTCTTATTTTCCCTCAAAATCTAAAATGTAAACATAAATCTATATACTCATATCTTTTATATGCCAATTTGAACAGATGAAGCTCCTAATATGGACGAAACAATCCGACAAGCTAACAGTGAACTTCAAACTGAAAATCAAAAATTACAATCCTTGAACACTTCATTACATAAAAAATATCATACAATGTCATTGAAGGTAATTATTTTAGTTCTATAATTTTATTATTTAAAAATTTGTTTAAAAATAATGTTTATAGAGTAAAAAAAATTAACTTTAATTATAAAAATAATTCATTCTTATATCCTGATTATTTTTATCTTAGTTGGCTGGCTTACAAGACAATGTGAATTGTAAAGAAACAGAAGTGGCTGAAATGCGAAACCAAATTGAAGAGTTACAATATGAATACCAAAAAATTTTGGATAGAAATTATAAACTAGAAACACATCTAGCAGAAGCAAGGGACAAATTGAAAGGATTAGAAGCAATACAAATTGATGATAAAATTATTCCAAGACAAGATACATCCATTACACAATCAAGTTTATCACTACAAAAGGTATATGTTATAAATATTTACATACATTTACATAATTTTATTACAGTTTATAGTAATATTTAAATTGAATTGATATTTGTTAGATAACATTTTATTTTGTTTATGATTCCGAGTGAAACAAGGAATTTACTGGTTTTATGATGATGTATTTTTATTTTATGTGTGTGTACACCTGTACACAATTTTGACCCAATAGATAACTCTGGTCAAAAAAATTTGGGAGATTTCAGGAAGGAAATGTTATCTAGTTGGTACTTTTGGGTGATAATTTTACAAGCTTCCGAACAGTTTTCTAACTATTTATAGGTATTAAAATATTTCATGTTTTAATAATTTTTTCTGTAAAATGCCTTAAAATTATTTTTTTTTGACAAAAAGTCTTGAAAATTTATTATAAAGGTCCTCATACATTTTTCTTACAGGTTAATAAAAAAAAATTTATGAGCGATACATTATTGAACTTTAACAAAAGGACAAAAATCACAAAAATCCATCATACTTAAAGTTAAATTTATAAAAAGGTTAAAACTTAAGCTTGAAAATTGGACACAAGATTTTCATAAGTAATTTTTTAAGCAAAAATAATTGTTATCAGAAAGTTTCTAATTATTTAATACTTAATTATTTAAATTAAATTAAATTTTAATGAAGGTATTTCAACAAATGTTGGATATTTTAATTATTCGCTTGTTATTCTAAAATTGTTGGTAGTTGGGACTTGAAACAAATACTAATTTTTAACATTTTAAAGGCATTTCATAATTTTCGATTTTCCCAAATTTTTTTGATTTTTGTTTGATTACCCATAGGGACAAAAAATCATTTTAATGTTATTTACTTACTTTCGGGATAATTTTTTTATTTTATTTGCAATAACATTAAAGTTTAACCACCCTTATTATAAAAAATTTGGTTCCACTATAATATTAACCATCTTTAGAATTATAAACTGATCTACCTGACCTCTTTCACTCAGAATCTTTTTTTTGGAGAACAATGGTACACTGGATTCAATTTTAAAAGATTAATACAACTATTTTTTTCAACCATCTCAGAGCTCTAAAATGTTGGGATTGCTACATTACCAAAAACATTTTGAATACACAGAAATATATTTGTAGGAATACTTAAGGATTCTTAGAATTTTAAAGCTAGCATTTTAATTCTCGTGTTATTAGTACACATCATAATATTTATTTAAGAAATTAATTTAATTTAAATATTATGTATCATCAAATATTAATTTATTATTTTTCATCATTGTAATAACACTATTAAAAATAAGTGAATTTATTTTAGAGTACTATTACTTTTGATTTAGGTTGAAGAATTACAAAAAGAAATTGAAGAACTTAGAGAGTTAAATAATAATCGTCTACAAGAACTTGAAAAATTACATCAACAACATAGAGAAGCTTTAATGGAAGTGGAAAAACTTAAAATGGATGTATGTATTTATGTCTATACTTCATATTTAATTTCTTATAGTTAATTTTTGTTCAAATTTTAGCTAAGGCAACTTCCTGATAGTGTAATTGTTGAAACAACAGAGTATAAATGTTTACAATCCCATTTTTCTGTATTGTATAATGAATTTATGGTTATGAGAAGTCAACTAATTGAACAAGCTGGAATGCTTCAAAGTAGTAAAAATACTCATTTACGTCAAATGGAAGCAATGGAGGTTAGTTATATATTATTATGTACCCAATTATTGTCTAATGTTTAATATTACATTTAATTCATCAAATATTGTAACCTTTTTCTAATCAATACATTATTTGAAAATATAATATAAAATTTTTGTAAATGTTTTAAGATATGGTTCTTTACTTATCTCTTCCCCAAAATCACTATTGATATCATTGTATTTCTCAATTTAATTTTAACATATTATGAAAATATTATATTTCAGTTTAACTACTAATCCATAAATTTAATATTTTAAAAGTACTTTTTGAATTAGAAAAATATTTGTAACTTTTATAGCTTCATGATTTTAGTTTAATTTAAAACTAATAATCAAATCAATGGTATATTAAGATTTATTTTGATGGTAAATGTTCTCAACTTAATAAAATGAAAATCATTGTTAAACTAATTATAAATAAGTTATTCAATTTATTTCTGATTTATTTCATGTATTTCAAAATAAAATAAATGTTATTGTTTATAGAGCGATGAGTTATCAGCTCAGAAAAAGTTAAGGTCAGAATTGATGAATTCTGAAGATGTTAATGCTCAGTTACGTAAAGAGTATGAAATGTTACGAATCGAATTTGAACAAAATTTGGCTGCTAATGAACAAACAGGACCTATTAATCGAGAAATGAGACATTTATTGTCGTCTTTACAAAATCACAATAATCAGCTTAAAGGCGAATTACATAGATATAAACGGAAATATAAAGATGCCAATGCAGAAGTACCTAAGTTAAAGTTATATACTAATATTGATTCTATTTTAAAAACGAATTGGTTTTCTTATATATTTTTATAGTTAAAAAAAGAATTAGAAGATTTTAAATTAAAGTTGGGCCAACAAATTACAGCTTCTGTCCAAGATTCAAAAGAAGGATTAATAGAATCATGTAAGGAAGATGAATGTGGGGTAAATGAAACTATTAAAGAAGAGTTTTCACTCTCTCAAGTTATTATGAAAAAGGAAGATGATTTAGAAGTAATAAATTGGTAAATTTATGTTTAATAATTTAAACTATCATATTTTTTTTATTTTTTTTTTAAGGGTATTTCTCAATTGGTCGATGATAATACCCAAGTTGATGAAAAAATTGATATTAAAAACTTAAAAAAAGAGCATATTAAAGATGGACAACAAACTCCTAATAAAACAACAACTGGGCCTACAACTACTCCAGACCAAAAAACTGTTAATCAAAAAGATGTTGCTAGAAATTGGGAAAGTGAAATTCTTAGAGATCTGAAAACACAACTTAAGTGAGTAAATATTATGTACAATAATTATTCATTTTCAGCTATCATAATGCATTTTTTACAATCATTGTTACTCTATTATCACTTTGAAATAGATAGCTTTCTATTATATACAGTTGAATCCGCTTAATAGAGACACACAGAGCTATCTATCTGTCCCAATAAACTAATTTTTTTTTTAAAAAAAACAAATTAAAAAACTATTAAAGTGCATTATTATAACTTTATTATAAAAAATATACATACTTAATTTGAGCTTTGTTTAACAAATATTATTTGTAATACATATTATGATATCGTAAATTATATTATATGTACATATTTATTTTAAATTAATTGATTAACCTAATATTTTTTATAAAAAAAATATATACATAATTCATTCTTTGTTGGGCTGAAAAAATTATCCTTTATTCATTCTTTTTGTTGTAATTTATTAAAACTTTGCTTATTGACTAATTTTGAATGCTATTCAACTTAATTATCTTCATGGAATATGTGGTTGTAGGAGATAAAGAAATGATTAGTAAAAGTAAAATATGTAAATAATTATTATAATTTAAACATAAGATAAATTATATTAAATCTGTTAAAGACAATTAAACAATTACAGTTTCCATAAAAAAGTAGGTATTTATAGATTATAATAATATATATAATAATAAATATTATAATATGTTCTTTATAACAGATATTTTGTCCCTAATAAAAGATGTTAAATTGCTTAAAACGAATACATTTGTTCGGGACAATGCCTATTTATCCCTATTAATAAGCGGATTCGACTGTATTAGAGTCATCTATTCTATGACAAAAAATATGCTGTTTTAGCATAAGAGTTCATCTAATTTGCTGCTCTTTTATTTGGGCATGTTACACAATATTACCTTTAAAACCTACTTACATCCCAGTAGTCAAGTATAAGATTGTTGTAAAAAAATATCAGTCACAATAATTACACAATAAAAATCTGATGATTTTCAAATGATAAGTTATATAATAATAGGTAACTAATACATATTATATTTACATTACTAATTGTATCAATTATTTTCTACAAATTGTATCTGATTCCCAGTACATATTGAATATTTAGTTAATTATAATAAATGCCCTAATTAATTAAAAACAATTTTTTTATGTACAGGTTTTTTTTTAAATTGTTATTAAAATTTGAAAGTACTTTTTCTGGTATTTAATACCAATAATTTATAAGCATATTCCCCTAACTGTAGGAGATCTTCCCTCATAACTTCCCAATCTATGTAAGTTATCACCATCAAATCCTGATTTACCAATTTGTGGGCCCAGTATAATTTACAATTTTGGGCTCCAAATTGTCCATCTCTATTTTCTTCAATGCTAAAATAAAAATGTACACATAACATATTTTTAAATTAATACTGTATATAATTAGTATATATGCAGTTGGATCATAGAATAAAATTGTATTGTTATAAATATGATTATTACGTTTAATATTTATTCAAGTAAAACAATTAACACATAAAAAAACAAACCTTTTTTTAAATTAATATTTTTACATTTAATGTTTTAAATCTAATTTTATTTCAGTTTTCTCAACTATTTCCTTGCTTTCTTCTTTGAAAAGTGGTCAATAACATCATCAAAACTCAGGTTTGCTGTGATATCACTTTCAATAGATAATATTCCCAGAGCGTCTTATTTTCTTGACTCAATGTAGATCGTAATTTATTTTTAATTATTTTTAATGAAGAAAATAATCGTTCATTGGAGTAATTTGTAACAGACATTGTAAGAAAAATTTGAAGACACGTTTCCACATTTTGAAATGCATGTGATATTTGCATACCTTTAATGAATTTAAGTTGGGCAGCGGGATTTCTTGATATTTGATGAGAAGAAATTAAATTATGAAATTGCAGCCATTCATCTGCAAAATTATCAGGATCTAAATCTAGTTCATTTGTATACATTGATTGTAAATTATTTATTTGGTTGTTAATTTCATTCTATCAGGATTTGTATTCAATAAAAATCCAAATTTTTTTTCTACTTCAATGTAAGCCATTTTTCGTTTATTCAATTCAGCTATAAATTTATCACAAATAATATAGTGAATATCACTCATAAACTTTGCTCTTGAATCTAATTGTCTTTCTTCAGAATCAGTATCATCTAAATGTTTACTTTTTGGTGTCTTTTTTTTTTTCTTAAACTCTGTTATTCAATATCCTTATTTAAAAGTCTTATAGATTTGCTTTCATAATCATCAAAGTGTTCACGAACATACTGTATGAAATCTATTAAGGAGTTAAGTTGTATATGGTTACTATTGAAAAAAAATTTTCTGTTGAACTCTGAAGATATTTTGATGTTATATTTATTCATTGTAGTATAACATCCTTTACAATAGTTAATATAGCGGTTTCCGTTTTTTTTTTTTAATTTTTTCAAAATGTTTGTTGCTTCAAATCGAGTACTGCCGTTTTCATTTTTATCTTGAGATAATTCTAACAAAATAGTTATAATATGAACATAATTTTGTCGTAATGTTTTAGTTGCATCAACATTTGCGGAATACCGTGTTTGTAATCCTTTAATTTTCTATTCGTTAATCCACTTAAATATTTTTTTGACCATTTTAAATTATTAATAATAATTAACAAATGACTAATAAATATACAATAAATACGATTGACGTAAATCGCGAGACTGAATGCACCATGCAACTACGCAAGACAACGTCTATAGTATTATATATAACTTATACTACAAATATTAATAATATATTATTATTATACAGACTGGGGTAGTGTTCCAAATACAATATTCGGAATACTGTATTCAGAATACTTTTTAAGTATTTTGAATACTTTTTAAATACTTTTTTTGAAAGTATTCAATAAAGTATTTTCAATACTTATAACGAGTATCCTGAATACTGTATTTCGTATACCGTCAAATCATTTATTTTTTAAATGATTTTATTACTTCTCCATCGTATCTTGTATAAGCTAATATCAGGTATTTATTATTATTGTAAACCATAAACTATAACAGTTATGTAATATAAAAATACAATAAAATAACATATATTTAGTATACAATTTCAAATATTTCTGTTGAGTGGACATTTATTATTTTTATAGAATGAAAACTAAAAGTATTTTAAAAGTATTCGGAATACAATTTGTATAAAGTATTTGAATACATATTCAAAATACTATTTTTTGTAAGTATTCGAGTATTTATTCTAAATACTTTTTAAAAGTATTTTACCCAAGTCTGTTATTATATAATATTACGACAATAATAACGAAAAATAGATTTTGTTATTGTCAATGTTGAATAAAGCTGTCATTTTTACGCAAAATCCTCATTCTACTTTATACCCACCAAAATATACAAGTAAAATTATGTTTTCCCATAATATGATAAAACGGTATATAATTAATTTTATATGGCTGAAGTTGATGGACCCAGTGCAAATTTCCCATTTGTCCTTGCATAAATATGCCCTGATCACCATGTACTCAACCCAGTGTTTTTCAACTGCTTTATCGCTTCGCACTGTGTTATAGTGGTATAAGTCCAAAAGTATTGTAAGATATACGAAATTACACAAAATGTAAATTAGTATTTGATATAATAAAGTACATTAAGTTGTTTAATATTATAAATTTAAGAATCCCAATTTTTATTATTTATTTATAATTCAAAAAAATATTAATATACATTTATATTATATAAGATTTTTGTTTGACTTTTTACAATATATATTTGTTCTGTTTTGTAAGATATGAAATAGTATTAATACATAATACAGACATTGAAAAACACTGGCTTTACCTATCAAATATGTATTAATCTTAATAGTCCACACCAGCAGTTCCCAAACTTTTTTTTCCACAATGCCTTTTTTTGGACCAATTTAGCCACGGTGCAATGCTATGAATAACGTGAAAGACAGAACAAAACAAAAATACTCACAGATAACCAATTTTATTAATTTTATTAAAATTTAGCTAAATTATAAATGAATGGATTTTTAAACTTAAAAAATAAATAAATAAAAATTATTTTTAAGATCATAATTATTAAATAAAAATATTATGAGGTTGAAATGAAAATGTCCGAATATACAATAGAAAATATTACATTATTCACTATAACGTTTTTTACGAAAATAATAAGGAAAAAATATTCTATACATTTTAAACTATTTGTTATGAACCGTAGGCAACGGTGCCCTTAGGAAGTGCTCGCGGTGCACGGTTTGGGAACCGCTGGTCTATGCTGATCTTCTTTGAAAGGGTTAACAAAACTCTGTAATATTTACAAATTACAACACATGATAGAGTTTCCATGTGTGATTATTTTCATATTTTACTTTGGTTAACTAAAATTTCATTAATAGTATTTTAATTTTTAAGAAATTTGATCTCTACATTTCTAGTTAAAAAATGCATTTTACTTCATTATTCATTTTTAAAAGTATATCTGCTTTCAATATACTGTTTAATAAGTTTTTCTTTATATTATAGAAAAGCTGTTAATGATCAAAAAGAAATGAAGTTATTATTAGATATGTATAAAGGAGTAAGTAAAGACCAAAGAGATAAAGTTCAATTAATGGCAGCAGAAAAAAAACTTAGAGCAGAGCTTGAAGAAGCAAAACAAGCATTAAAAAAAATACAAGTAATTATTCAAACCATTTCATTGATATAGGATTAGAAGCAACAAATTTTTCACAAAATTGTTAAAATAAGGAATGAATAATATATATTTATTACATAGAGAAGACAAATAGCACAATTAATTTTAATTGTAACTATATATTGTTTTAAAATTCTTAAATTCAGTATGATTATTATTATTATTATTATTATTAAATTATAATTTAAAAATTAGTTATTATTTATTATATATTTATTGTTGTGTATTTAAAAAAATGCAATTTATATTTTAGCCATTTTAATTTAATTAAATAAAAAAATACATGCTTTGCTTAAAATATATAAAACAAGCCTCGAAAAAATACTGAGTACTCCATTTTATTTTAGATTGTTGCTCTAAAAAAATTATTATTTTATTCAAGATTTATTTTATTATCTTTAAATGGTTTTTAATAGTATGGGTTTGATTTAAGTATTATCTGCTTGCCCTGGTGATACTATTACAAAAATAATTTTGATGATTTGATCAATAATCTGTGCTTATATAATTGTTCCTTTTATTATAATTATTCATTAATCACCGTTTAATTTGTATATAGACAACAAAATATGTATTAACACAAAATTTTCTCCTACTCATAATCTTTAAAAATTACTGCTTTATTTAAGTGAAATTGATTGCAAGATACTGTAATGTAACAACAAATTAAATTTTTACTTCAGGAAGGTAAACGCGAAGAACGCAAAAAGCTAGCTGATGAAGATGCCTTACGAAAAATTAAACAATTGGAAGAGCATATTGTTCAACTTCAAAAACAAGTTGCTACTCATAAGCAAGTACGTTAAAGTTTTTTTATCGTGTTGTCACATTTTTTAAAGTATGTTTATTTTTCAAAAGGAAGAAGAAGCTATGTTAAGTGAAATGGAAGTGACTGGTCAAGCTTTTGAAGATATGCAAGAACAAAACTCTAGATTAATTCAACAATTACGTGAAAAAGATGATGCTAATTTTAAATTAATGACTGAACGTATAAAATCTAATCAGTTACATAAGTTAGCACGTGAAGAAACTGATACTCTTAAAGAATTAGTTAGTTAAAATGTACTATATTATTTACATATGTGTTTTACTTTTATAATTTATATTTTAGATTAAAACTTTAACTAATCAAGTAGAAATGACCAATTCAGTGGTTCGTAAATTGGAAGAAAAAGAGCGTATACTGCAAAATTCATTAGCAACAGTTGAAAAAGAGTGTTCTATTAGACAACAAGCTATGGAAATGCATAAACGAAAAGCAATTGAAAGTGCTCAGTCTGCTGCGGATTTAAAGCTACATCTTGGTAGTACATTACTTCATTTAAATATTAATATATTGAAAAACAATACTTTATTTAATATTATTATTTATAGATAAATATCATGCACAAATGAAAGAAGCACAACAAGTAGTAACTGAGAAAACCAGTGCCCTTGAAGCTGAAGCATACAAAACCAAAAGGCTCCAGGTAAATTGCATCCATGTTAAATTAATTATAATTGTTTTTAAGTAATTTTATTAGTTAGTCTGGTTTAGAGTTTGAACCCCAAAACATTTGTATTTGTGCTGGTCTTTAAGTTAACCGCTTCAGCCCATTATTTAATAAGAAATCTGTCAAACAATTTTCCTATAATGAAATGGTAAGCTTTTTCTAATACCTTGAGTTTAGTAAAAATGTTCCAGTTTTATCTAATTCCAAAGTATCAATTATACATACAAATCATCTCTTAACATCAAAAGTTTTGTTCTAAACAGATTAAAAAAAAATGTAAATTCCAATGTTCAAAATTTTTACTCTAGCAATGACTATTAATTTTGGATATTACAATCAAATATAAAGATTATATTTTTACATAATATTTTGATAATTTATTGATTCTTACATGAGTATTTAATATTAAAAATATATAAACTTTACTTCATTTTTATATACTTCATATTTATTTTAAACTTCACCTTTTACATTTTAAAATATGTAAGGACTTGCATATTCTGTAATTTTTGTTGTAATTTTAGCTATAATTATTCTTTTCTTGATAGTTTTCACTGGTATTATTTTCCTACTTTATTTAAAATTGAATAGATTCAGTTAACTTATTTTTTTTTTTATATTTTAACAAAATAAAAAATATTACAGGAAGAAATTGTTCAATTAAGACGAAAAACTGAACGCATGAAAAAAATTGAACAAGCTGGAACATTGGATGAAGTAATGATGGAAGAAATTAGAGAGTATAAGGAAACACTTACATGTCCATCATGCAAAGTTAAACGGAAAGATGCTGTGTTAACTAAATGTTTCCATGTCTTTTGTTGGGATTGTTTACGTACTCGTTATGAAACAAGACAAAGAAAATGCCCAAAATGTAACGCAACATTTGGAGCTAATGATTATCATAGACTTTATCTTGGGTCATAGATATATTGAAAAATAACAGTGAGATATAAAATTTGTGAAGGTATCTCATTATGATTTTTCTTTATTGATGAAGTCCTATTTTATTATTTTATATTTTGGTGACCATTCTATAGTTTATATCAATTTTTAATTTGATATTCTTGATCAAGTGTTTTATAACTGCATTAATTAATTTTAACTATTTATGTAACTTGAATTATTTATTTGCAAAAAAAAAATTAATAAGGTACAGTTCAATTAGCTACTTCTTAAATATTATATTTTGTTGTATTTAATATAGATTTTTTTTATAATAATATTGATCCAAATTTTTTTACTATTTTATTTCTATACTGATTATATTCTACACTATTGACAAATTATATAGTTTTTCTCCTTTTGACTGATTTAATTTAATTTTGTTTATATAAAACATATTATTACATTTTATCATTTAAATTGTTTAAACAAAATTAAAATTTTAATGCAAAAGTACATTTTCTTTGAGAAATATTAATAATATAAGATTTACTCATTTTAAAACAAGAAGACTGAAATAAATGAGTATTTTATATTATTGAAATCATATAAACAAATAATTTAATAATAACATTTTAATAGTATCTATTAAACTTATAAAAATAGTACAATTTAATTTTCTTTGGTCATATTTACTTGTCCTATGATAACTAAAACATGAGATTTGTTCATTTTTTATGTTTAATTATTGCTATTTAAGAGATTCATTTTATATCAGTGATATTTTATGATTATTTTTTTTTATTTCTCACAATTTATATAAATAATGCTATATTAGCAAATAATAATACTCTGCATTAGCTGTATTTAATTATTGAAGTGAAAATTGTATAACTGTAAATTTATTTTAAATAAGTAACCATATTGTATTGTATAAATACATTTCTATAATTTTTAAAATACCCTTTAGCATGTAATCTTATTTATTACAAATTCATATAAATATATGTAAATTAAAAATAAATAGTAACTGTGTTTGCCATTTAATTTTTTTAATACCAATTTACATCTTAATATGTTAGTATTTAGATAAAACTATTATTGAAAATTAAATTAAAAATAAACTGAATCATAATAATTTACCAATGTTTTTGAAAAACAATTTTGAGAAAAGGAGAGGTGGATCAGTTTAATATCTAAAGATAGTTTACATTACTAATTAAATACAATTACCCAATCATTTTATTATTGGATCGGTTGAACTTAATTGTATAGTAAAAAATTAAGACATAGGTAAGAAATAAGGAAAACTTTTGTACTTAAATTTAATACATTCTCTACTCCAGCCACAATTTAAAAAATAATAAGAATTATATAATGTTATATCACTGCAATGTTTCATACTGAATTTACTGTATCATTGGCATTAATTCTTTCAAGAGTTTTTTGTTGATGTTCACTTTTCCTTCATCCAAAATCTTTGAAACTGTAACTGTCCTCCTTATTTAGAAACCAGATTTTTTTTTAGTATCTTCTATGGTAAGTTTACCATTTATAATACTCTAATATGGTTTTGTGATATACAATCCTTAATTTTTTCAAAATTTCTAATAAGTATGCAACCTATCTTTTCAAATATTTGTATTGTCTTTGGTTTATAATTTAAAAATTTTATTTTATGTAAATTTAATTAACCTTTTAATTTGAATCAGTTATCAAATCTTAAGCTTTTAAGAAACTGAAAAATATTTCTCTAATGAAGTTCAAATTGTTACAATAATGAAAATCTGCATACAAATTTACACTTCAATATAATTAATATAAGTATTACATTATAATGGAAATACTACATTAGGTACAATATTGTGAAAATTTATATTATGTAATAATGCTTAAAAGAAAATTTTTTTAGAATTAGAAATAAGTTCATGGATGTTAGGAAATTTAAAATTAATTTCTTTTGCATTTCTGTGTAATCATTGTAACAGAAATTAATTTAAAATAAAACAATTTAATAAGTTTACATTTAACCTATGAGGAGCAGTGTCACTTATGACTAGTAAAATCTTAATTTTTCAAATACTAGGACACATAATTTTAGTTAGTTATATTATGCTATGGTATGGTTTACGAAATGGCTCTAAAATTAAATAATGAATATGACCTGTTCATTATATTTTTAATATACTGGCAATGTTATTTGGCCATATATTTTTGTACAGTATATACCATATAGTGTCAATTATTAAAATCCTGAAATTATGTACCTGTATTGAATTTATATTTGAATAAAAGTTGTCAATTTCAAGTTGTCACTGCCTTGATGATTTTTCCATTTGCTCATCTTATATTTGCTGTGTAAACTAGTATAACTTTCAAGAAAAGTTTAATGAGTTGGATTTTGTAATATAAATAATGATGTATCTGTAGAAATAAATACTAGACAAAGATTTTCATTAAAATTATCTATGTTTTTAATTGAAATAGAACTTTTATATTTTTCAATTTTAAATTACATGTGCATAAACGGTTGGTCTACTGAAAACATTGTAATTTATTACCAGGAACTTTAAGAACAATACAATTTAAAATCGAATCATCAGTTTTCTGATTAGGTTTTTACAGAAAGATGAAAACTGAAACTAGGTCTAATAGGTGATTTATTTTTAATATTTAAATATTATTTATTAAAAAAAAAAAAATAATATATTTAAATGTCACTATAAGTTAAATATAGTACTATAAGTATGATATACATAAATCATGAATTTCCCCCAAAAATTCTGAATGTATTTCCATGTTGGTACTTATTACATAAAATTAACAACAAATTGTGCAATTTAAAAATATAAAAATAACAACAATTCATCTTACAGATTTTATTTAATGATATTTCAATACTTATAGAATACAATATTTTGTTACACTTACAAGTATTTTTATGTGTACATCCACAAAACAATAACTTAAAAAATTCATTGAAATATTAAATTGCAAATCATGTTAAAAATTAAGAACCAAATATGTAACAATTAATGAATTCATTCAAAAGTCCAAAAATGTTTTATTATTTATAGTGCATTAAAATATTACAAAAATGTTTAATTAATTACGGTAACGCATTGGAGCAGGTCTTCTTAAAAAACGATCTGGAGGAGTAATGCAAACATCTAGATAATCACCAATTGAAAATCTGCAAATGATTATTTTCATTATAAATTAAAACATGATAAAGCTATTAATTATAGTAAAAATACAACATTATGTAATCAATGTTATAACCATTATTTCTTAAAAGTTAAATAATACTTACAACTTAAATGATTATTATTTAAAAATAATGTAGCTTGTTCATTATAAACATAACTGCTTGTAAGATAAGTTAAAAGATTAAAATGTAGAGATAAGTTTTGTTATATGTATGTTTAAATAATTGCAATACTTAAAATTTTATGAAATGTGTTTAAAAAGTTGATAGTTAATGAGTATTTAAACATTTGTAAGCATTAAGAATGCAAATCATAAGTAATCAATTTGCTTCAAAATACCTTGTATTTCCTAATGTTTTTGAGTCATCAGGAGATCTATTTCCAGCAATAGTAGTGCCAATTTCAAAGGCATTAAATCTAGGAGAATTATATTCTGGTGAAACTAGAACAAAATCAAATGTTGTTCCACGAACTCGGGACTCAATGTTTACTTCTTTAATCAAACCAGTTAACTCACGCAATGTTGCATCCATCCTAAAAAAAAAAATTTTTTACTAATTTAAACTATATATAAATGTACAAACTTAATCATCCCATCACTCATAATATACCATACAATTAATATTAGTAATAAGGTAAAATAATTGATTATAACTACTTATTATATATTATAACCAATAATAATACTCTTGTCTTAAATACAAAATTTATGTGTTAGATATAAATTAATTTTAATCATAAATTTATTTAATAAATTTTAACATTTTAAATACTTTAGTTAAATATGCAAAATAAATACTATTATATAAATCAGCAAGCTTTAATTTATATAGTTACTTTATCAGCCATACATGATTCTAAAAATTGTACTAAGACTACAATATGAAAGGAAAAAACAACTTACAATTATTATCGATTTGTATGAGCCCACGTTTATGAGTAAGGATTCTTAGATTAGTTGTGATTCACCAAATGATATATATATATATTTATCAACGTCTTATAAGTATATTTTATTATATTTAAATTGGTTTAAATTGGAGAGATACATAATTATGATTTGTACTAATTGTGGCAAGATAATAACAAACAAATACTATCTCTATTCTGTAGTTAGTATGCATATTTGTAAGATTAAAAATGTTTACATTTATCCAGACATTTTTGAATACATATTTATTGTAACATTTATATTAGTGTTTATTGGTAACCCACTTCCAAAAATATTTAAAACAGAGTATTCTTGACTTACCATGTATATATTTGGAGTTCATTTCCAGGTACAGCACCACGGTAGTACTCAGACAGATTATTATGGTGTCCCATTGCACAAAAAACTCTTAATAATAATGGGCAAGTCTGTAATGTACAAATTCATATGATATTAATTCAATATTATTCCAATCATGCATATTTACAAACTTTTTCTCTGTTTACTGGTTTTTCTTCGACTTTAACAAGTGATTCAACTGCGGCCATTTCGGTTAAGTATCTACCAATAAATTAAAACGTCAATAATTTTAGTTCAAAATTCACGAGAAAAATAAGCATAAACCTTTAATAATATACGCAAGTTAATTAAGACATATAAAACATGATTGAGATTATGAAATAATATTAAATATTTGAGTACAATTTTCATTGGGTTACAGCCAAACAATAAACAATTGATAAATTTTTATCATATTTATAACATAACCTATTAAATTCATGACACTGCCATCTAGCGGTGTATCATATATTTAGAATATTATATATCAATGCCGAGATTAACCCACAGAATAGGTTAAACTAGGGTTGCCATACATCCCGGAAAACCGGGATTGTTACCAGTTTTAGACTTCGTGTCCCGGTGTCCCGAAAAATGTTTTCGGGATGTATATATGTCCCGACTTAGACATTTAGAGGAAATGTAGTATTATTTAATTTTTAATTTCGACCATTTTATCTCAAAGTAAATTTTTAATCGTAATTGATTAACAATATATAATTGTTTACACCTATATTATATATTTTGTTTTACAAAATATTTTTAAATATTTTATTGTTGGCCATTAATGATCCTTTTCAGTGGCGTATACATAACTTTTGTTTGGGAGAAATCATTTGCAAACAAATCATTATTTTTATTTTATCATTATTATTTTTTTTTTTACGTTTCTAACGCCCTCACACAAGGAACATTATTTTATAAAATTTAAAAAAAGGCCTAAAGGGGATCTAACACTCACATTCCCCCCTGTATACGCCACTGATCCTCTCAATATATTAAAAGTTATATAAAAAGTATATTACTCAATAATGTGCTTGTGTTGTCCCGGTTTCGCCTTATAAATGTATAGCAACCCCAACCTACGATTTTTACGGAATTTACTGTTTTTACATCAATTTTTAACATTAAATGTTTATTAAAAAAATTTGGTCCACAGTGAAATTTTGAATACAGATAAATATTTGATTAAAAAAAAAAAATGTTCGTCAAACAATAAAATGTTGAACAGGTTAATAAAAAAAAGAACCTATCGATAATTGGACTAAAAATGGTAAAATATACTTATAAACAGTTGATTCTTATACTGAACCTTTGCTCACAACCGTTTTAATAAAGAAATGACTTATCATTTCTTTAAAACTCAGTATATTTACTATTAGGCTTGCCACTCGTCCCGGTGTTCCGGAGTTTATCCCGGTTAATAGAAGCTGAGAAAAAATAACATTTAATATTATATTATTTATTAATAAAATATAGAATAATATTGTACATTATATCATTATATTATAGTAATTTAATCGGTATGGTTATATACAATAATAATGTATTTTTATATTAACCAATAAATATTTAAATTATAAAATTATATATTTATTTTGTTTTCACATTAAAATAAAAAATGAGTCATTCAATATGATGTCTCGGTTAAGGGATTTCAAAATCTGGCAACCCTACCTATTACTATTATCCAGTTTGAGGACCGAAGAAACGAAGGACGAACTTCCACCACCATTATTTAAGTAATAAATTTATATATTTATACAATAAAAACTCTATTTTTCTATACATAATAAATGATGAGTATTTAAATGTAAATTAACATGAACACATTTCGGGGTGTTAATTTCGAAAATAGTGGTGCTAAGCAAACCTAAGTCCCCCCCCAAAACGCGCCTATTTTCTTTCAATTAGAATCCCGTTCCCGCTGACAAAGATCAAGACTACCTTCCAACAAATCAACTTTCAATAATACATCCAATACCATCAAAAAATGAATTCAAAAGTATAAAAATGTTCTTTTTAATACAAAATTTAAATTGCTAAATACTCATGATCATTGATTATAAATAGTATACTATTTATAATAAATTTATAATAGTATACTAGTACCTATACTACTATTTATAATTAATGTTCATGATGGATGATTATGAAAATCCACTAAAAACATGCTCAAATTAAAAAAAATTTCCTGTCCCATTAAAAAACCCGACGGATCGCTCGTCCTATCAGATCTAGATAAAGTCAGATAAAGTCAATATTTTTGAAGAACACCTCTCGTACATTTTCACGCCTCAATTCGATATTATTCCTAGTACCTTATACTTAGTCAAAATTAACAACTTTCTTGTTACTCCTCTACCTAGCTATGTCTATTCCTATCAAACATGTCTCTCCAAACGAAATTGTAAATATGATTCAAAGATTAAAGCCCAACAAATCTCCTGGTCACGACTTAATAACTAACAAAATGTTGAAACATCTCCCCAAAGAAATAATTATATTGCTAATTTTTATGTTTAATTCTATGTTAAAGCTGTAATTTTCCCTGTCGTTTGGAAACAGTCCATTATCCAGTGGCGGCTTTAGCCACCGCGAGGCCCTGTGCGGGAATATTCTTCCCCCTCCCGGCTCTTGACTAGTTCGTGTGACAAATACCGGTACAAAAAGGCCGTTTTTGCCGTCGTGTGAGTGCTCCCGTGCGGTACGGACCTCTCGCACGTTCGTGTGTTGTACCAGCGCATTGGTTATGTCCATCGAAGACCGTGCATCTTTGTCTTGCCGGTGTGCGTGTTACTGCTGGGTATTGTCACGGCTGGACGAGTCAAGCTGCGTGGGCGTCATCGTTCTTTTCTTTATCGTCGCTTTGGACGTGCTTCCGATTCCAGTCCAGTTGTATCCGTCGCGGACAGGTTTCTTTTCCTTTTTATTATTGTTGTATTAAAAAATATTATTGTATTATTGCCGATACGGCTCCTCTGTTTATACATTTTGTATTATGTTTATTATTAGTATTATTAGCTTTATATTTCCCACCCCACGGGCGTCCGTCCCAGGGGCGGACTGACAGGGCGGGTAGGTGGCCATACCCATCCAGGCCCTCTAAAAATGTTGTGTTTGGGCCTCAAGCTATATTTTGTTATTTTAACGCCACGCCGTAATCATTACCGATAGCTGAAAACCATTGATTATATAATAGATATTATATATTATTATATTATATAATCAAGGCTGAAAACGAAGAAAACAATACAATATACAATAATAAAACTGGGATAGTCCGACTGCTGCCGCAGTGGCTATGAAAGTTATTATTAGATTCATTTTTGGAATTAATTAAGTAACGATATACGTATCGTGAAATCTTATTCTTATCTATGTTTGATTGACAAAATTTCTATAATAGTTCGACCACGGACCAATATAAATAATGAATATAAAATATACATATATTATTACTATTCGGAATTCCAATTCATGACGAGTTGTTTGGTTTATTAGCTTATTGTTTATAGCATTGATTATGGATATTGTTGTGTATTATATACTAGCTGACCCGGCAAACGTTGTTTTGCCATATATTTAAAAGTACACTTTCCTTTATATTTAGAATATATATGATTATATACGATTAATGTGTTTAGTGTGTAACTGAATAAAATAAAATGTTAATATTTTACAAAACTTTTGAAAATATTGACCCACCGAGCACCGGTGGTTTAAAAAAAACCATCTAATTGGCAAATAAATATTTGTCATATCAGTTCGAAAATATTTGAAAAACATTTTCAAACCATATGTAGTCAAATTGGAATTGTGTCAATAATGACAAAATTAATTATGGCTAAACTAGACAAAAATACAATTAAAATGAAAAATGATCAGTGTCAGCAGCATTTAGTCTACATGATAAATCTTTTATTAACTATTCGCGTGTTTAAAGAATGCAAATGGCAAAAAAATCATTTACAATACTCAACTAAAAGAATACCAAAATTAAGAATATTTGAACATCAGTAAATAAATATCTATGTTAAAATTACCAATATTGTATGTTTTGATTTTCTACATTGATTTAATAATATAATTATTTTCTAAAATATTTTAAAAATTGTAAATCAATAATTTTTGTATAACAATAAGTTAATTGAAGTCATGCTTAATTTGTTTTTATTTAGATCACATTTACTTATGTACACAAGATGTAAAATTATATGAAATTCAAGTTTACGAAAAAATATGTTCTTAAACTGACTAATAAGAGATTTTAGAATACAATAATACAAAAAAAATTCACTTTAAAAATTGTAATTATCAGTAATCAATTAAATTAAATATAACAAAGAATAATAAGTATTACAATAAGACGGAGGTAAGTACCGAGCATATACTTTATAAATACTATAATTACTTATTTCTATTAAAATAAATAAATTATAATACAAAATATATAATAAACAATGATTACGATGCGATGGTACGGAAACAGCTCGGCCTAGTTGTCTTCGCCCGTCGCGCATGGGATATAATATTCTTATCTAATAAGTAATAGAAAATTATCTGTTTCTCCCACCCGACGCACACCAACATTGGTTCGATACGGAGCTATACGGGATTATTTTATAAATATCAATTTAAATAAATTTATTTCTTTTATCGCTATCTACCGGCAATTATATTCTACGCCATCGAAAAACCATCCAGTGCAGTGGTGTAGTTACGGGGAGGGTGTAAGGGGTTTCCACCCCCCCACAGATTTTTTTTTTAATGATATTTGATTATTATTTATTAATATTTATATATTATAGTAAAATATTTTGATTTTACTATGATTAGGTATATATTAAAAATTGAATAACAAAATAATTTTCATTAATACGGGACATAATAACACTATTTTAAATGTAATATTATTATATATGATCTCGTTTTAAGATATACTACGAACACTTAAAAACTTACTCTTAAACACCCCCCCCCCCCCCCCAGAAAAGAATTGTATCTACACTACTGATCCAGTGAGCTATCTATATTATCTATAATCAATGGTTTATAGTTAATACTCTAGTTAAAACTTAAAAACATACAGGTAAATACTAAATTTATTATATTTTATATTTTATATTTTTTTTTTTTTTTATGTTCATAATCGTAACTTTTTAAGTAAAGGCGAAAAGCTTGAAATTTAAATTTATAATTATAATAAAAGTAGTTATTACTATACTAGGCATTTTTAGCTATACATGGAAGTATTCGGTTCTTTCTGTTACACCCTCTATATTAAATTTTATCAACATTAATCACAATAATATTTTTTTTTAAATAGTGGTTTCTGGTTTTACAATGGAAATGGAAGATAAAAATAAGAATAAAAAACAAAAAAGTGGGTTTGAAAAAAAATTAAAAAAGCAGGCGGCATTATTGTCTGCAGCTGGGTCGGATAGTAAACAACGAAAGCTAAATTTTACTGTGACTTCATTTAAAAAAAATCAACACGAAAATGTAACTGAAATTTCAAATCTTCCACGTGCTATTGAAAAGTCTTCCAATAATAGTGATGAAATTCTATCTGAATTAACCCCAGAATTTTCTACAAAAATGTCCAACATAATATATCCTAGTTCAAGCAACATATCTTAAATTATCGTCATTAATTAAATGAGGATTTTTGGCGAATTCTTTAAAACGTTGTGTATTAAATGTACCTAATACTTCATATATTTTTTCATTTTTTTCAAACACATTTATTAAAACATCGTAAATTCTTCGATGGGTATTGATCTTGAAATATTTCTGTTATCATCCGAAGCTTTCTCACCGGACATTTTTTTTAATTTTTGGCCTTCGTTTATTAGTAAATGTTTGTTCTATGAATATATTTTCAAGTTTTTTAATTTTATCAGAATTGTTTTTACTCGAAATAAAATTAATAGCTTTTTCCTCAACTTTGTCATAATTCGATGATCCTTTTCTAATATCACTTAGTAAAGACTTAACTAGATTTATAACAGTAATGAAATCCAATTCTTTAGATTGAAGATATTTTGAAACAGCAGTAGTGTAATGAAAAATTTCAAGAAATATAAATGAAATTATGATAGTTTCAAAAGATGTCCATTTTTCTATTAAAAACCTTGCATCAGATGATGTATTTGAATCAATCGATTTATCTGAACCAAGAAAATATAAAGATTCCAATAAAACGTCATATCGATCACTAGTTTCACTAGACTCTGACCAAGGACCAAAAATATTTTTCAATGCAGCGTCCTTACTATTCCACCTAGTAGTACCCAATTTTTGAATTTTTCTCAATTTATCATTTCCAGTTTGATCTTTCGAAAGAAAATTTTTCCAAATACCAGTTCTTTTATAAGAATTAGAAAAAAATACTGTGGTTTTTTGTAATAAATTGAAAAGATCTTGAGCAGATAAACAACACGACGTGACATCAGTATTCATAAGAAATCGATTATTCTACATGCATATACTTTGAAATTATTTAAATAAAATATAAAAATGAAATAACAAAATGTATGGTAAACATTTTTTTTTTTTTTGCAAAGAATCATGGTGGTACACAATCACAAATATTAACATTAAAATGTTAATAACTTAGTCAATACTGGTGTCTTTCTTGCAAATATATCTGTAACCTAAAATAAACAAAATTATATAGGTAGATAGGTCATAGGTTTATAATTTATTAATAGTGTTATTAATTGTTATACTTAATAATTGAGTAAAGAACAATACAAATGTTCTATCATATTTACCTTTGAAACATCTATATTTGTATCCTGTTCGCAAGAAATAATCATTAAATTTTCTAATCTGTGTTGATCCATAGTGGAACGCAGCCTTGATTTAATGATTTTTAATTTGGAAAAACTTCTTTCTACAGTACAACTAGAAGTAGGCAATATTAAACTTATTTTAATTATTGTGTACAAATATAATATTCAAAGTATTAATTATTTCAAAAATATTTTTTAAGCTTCCAAAATTGTTTAAATCTTGCCGTTCTTCTTCATCTTCTTTATTACTTTCATCTGAACCGTTTATATATTTTTCATATTCATCATGTAATTTAGCTGGTAATTTTTTCAATAAATTGAGATCTAAATCTTTGATAACACTTTTCAATAGTATGTAATCATTTCTTACAGACTCTTGATTAATTACATAGACATCACACATTTTACTGGGGCACAGGACCAACTTCATTTATACACTTTAGGGATAATAAACCTATATCCATAGAAAAGAGATCCTATATCTATGCCTATATCTTTCATTACAAATATGGTATTTTTATCAAATCTATCGCTAAGTTGTTGTAGAATAATATCAATTACTAAAAAAAAAAACTGATATCTTATAGTATTGTTTAGGACTTCCAATGGATTCATCTAAGCAGAGTTCACTTGAACGCCGAACTACATTTCTTTTTCGATTTCTAAATGACGTTAAATTATTCATATTAAAATCACCAAAATGTTCTTCAGAAAACTGATTTGCTTCAAAAATATTATTAAATTATTCATCAGTACGCACCATTGTTATTTTTCGTTCTACCTTTTTTAAATAATCAACTGTTGTCAATTAAGTCCAAACACGGAATTGAAGTATTTTACTTAAGGTTCCATGACTTTAAATATATGTTTAAATATAAACGCAGTTAATATAAAACGTGATGACTGAAAATATGATTGTAACCCATTACACTCACTACCAGTTTTAAAATCAACTGGGCCTTCAACATTTTTTACTTGCTCAAGCATGTCTAAAATTGTTTCTAATATTTCAAGAACAGTAGATAGAGCAAATGAGTTGGACATCCATCTAGTAGTTCCGACTCTTTTGATTGCCTTTAATTGTTTCTTTAGATACAATTCACTTTGATTTTTTCTGTAAATATTCGATCTATTTTTACTACCCACAATAAAAGAATATAGTTTTTCCATGTTACCAAATAAATCTACTGCTTCTTTACAGCAGTTAACAGCAGATAACACTATTAAATTGAATCTATGTGCATGGCACCAAACATAAAGAGCTTTCGGGTTTTCTTTGAAAATATATGATTGAAGTCCACTATATGATCTTCTCATGTTTGTTGCACCATCATATGACTGTCCAATTAAATTTTGACTCCAATCTAATCCAATTTCTTCCATAACTGATTTAAAAAGTTCAAAAAGTGATTGACCTGTAGTATTTGATGATTCGGATAATTATTATTAAACTTAATAGTATAGTAATATTTTTGATGGTTAGGTATGAAAACTTATTTCTGTGTAAAAACTAATTAATATTTATTATTATATATTTATATGTATTAATTAATATAAATACCTAATTATTCTTACGCACTAACCAATAACCATTCAAGTAGATATAGCTGGTTAAAAGTCTTTAAGTACCTTGTAGGTACCTATATTAACTATTTTAGTGCACACAATAGATAAACAAAATACTGTAGTTAAAAACGTTAGAAGAGTAGGCTTTAATTTTGTAATGAACTTTCACACGGTCTGACAGCCAAACATCGGCCTAATATGAAGCGGCCCCATCCTAAATTTTCAAAAGATGTCGGGCCAAGGCCCGACCTTAATATAGAGTTCGGCGCCACTGCAAGTAGGTATAAGATATATGGTTTTGTTTTAAAAAAATAATAATGTACCAAGATTGGCAATGATAGTATTCTGTAACGTAACATGTCAGTGGCAATTATACTTTGCTTATAATCGCAGGTAGAATTTTTGTTTCTTTATAGGTTCACACTGGACTTATTATCAACACCGTTTATTATCAATTGCCGACGGATTGTTGGAAATGTTGTTTTAATCGTTGGAATATTGGTGACTGTTGAAAACGTAAACAATAAATAGAGTTACTTAACTTATGGATTAATTGCATACAAATCTTGACAAATCTTTAAACAAAATATTACGTATTATTGTTACAAACATTGGTTATATTTACTTCAAATGTTTTCAAATGTCCCAATTTATTTTTTGTTATGTACTTTTTTAGCATTTAAGTGCCATGCCGTCAGACGTGAAGAAGGATCGTGGTCAACATATATTGAAAATGTAAGTATTTTATTACGAATTTGCTCTCGAAATTAATTAATTAATTAAATATTGTTATATTTCAGGTATTCGAGAAACCATATAGTTTCCCCAACAGTCTATTTAAAGGATCAAAAATATATATTAAAAGTAAATACATTTTTTTTTATCATAATTTAAAAAACATTTTTTTTTTTATGAATTTTGTTCTAGTAAACTGTAATCATTTATACAATGTCACTGTTAGTTGGATTTTGACAGAACCAGAATGTTGGAATTATTACTATTTACAACTTGGCAGTGGTGTAAGATTTTTAAAATATATTTTTTTATGATTCTGAAAAAAAAAACTAAAAAAACATTCTTATAGCTTATCAAAGACCTTCAGCTACAAGAAATAAGTCGAGATTTCCAGAGTAATAATTCATATACAAATTATAACATGAAATTTGAAGATCATACTTACTCTTGTGCTTATGGGATAGATTTAGTATGTATACTTATTGAAAGTAGTAATACACTTGGATTTGTATGTATAATTTTTATTTTTTCTCACAGGATGATTTATCATCATATGAAACTAACACAACTAATATTGGTCCATTGCACCAAGTAAGTTTTATGTATAATAATTAATTTAAGTTTTAATTAAAAATATCTCTATTTATGTTTAAAAAATATATCTTAAATATTATGTATAAAAATATATATATTGATTATTTCATAAAATGTCAATAAAATTATAAAGTTTGACAAAAAGTCTTGAAAATCTAATTTATAGTTCATGATACTTTTTTTTGATTGTAAAAAAAAACAAAATTGTAAATTATTAAATTTTGAAAAAAATATAAAAATCACAAAATTCCTCCATATTTTTATAGTTAAAAATTCATAAAACTTTTACTTTTAATATTTAAAGCTTGGAAAGATTTTCATTGTAGCCCAAAAAAAAAATATATAATAATATTATATGTCATAAAAAAATTTATGAAAATGAAATTGGATATTTTAACAAATTTTTATAAGATATTAGTTATTTAGTTATTATTCCATAAATATTAATTGTATTCATTCAAAAATGTTTTTGAATATGTGTATAAGCATTTTAAAAATATTTTAGTATAATTTGTGTTGTTAATATGTATTTGAAATGTTTGATTATTTCCCAAATTTTAATTGGTAATAATTTGATGGTTTGATAATACAATTGAAATTTTTTAATTTCATTTACTTTTCCCCCTAGATACTTTTTTTTGTCATTAACATTAATTCAACCATCCTTATAAAAAGTTTGGTTCCACTACAATATCAACTATTTTTAAAAATATAAACTAATCCACTAGTCCTCTTTTACTTAAAATAGTTTTTTTTCAAGAGTGTTGGTACATTGGTTTCAAGTTTAAAAAAAAATGAAAAAACCAAAAAGATGATACTATTTACCTAACCATTCCTTATCTTAGCCAATCATGGAGTGTTAATCTAACTTAAAATTCAGCTTGTTTTTTTTTATAAATATTTATAACATTATATATATAAATCTAAATAAAATATTTTTTATAAAAATTTTACAAAAATCATTTATAAATTTTCTTTTCTTTAATAAATTCAAGTTAATAATTATAAATTTATTTTATTTTGCTTGTTAATTAATTAAATGCATTTATAGCTTAGCATTACAGTTGAAGAGTCAATAAAAAAAACATGCAAATGAATAACTTCTGAACCTTTAGGGCCTAAACCAATATGAATTACTTACCTTTTGATTAAACGGAAATCCTTAGGTTGTTTTTTCTTATTTCTAGCTTTAACTTCTAAAATAATTTCTATCAACACATTATATCGTTCATTAGATTAAAAAAAAACTAGTGTTATTGGCCAAATTTTTATGATTTTTATGCAGTTATATAAATTTGACTTCAATTGTATCCATAGATGCAACACCGCGACAAGACACAATGATGATGATAATGCATTAAAATTATATATATATAAATATATATGTACAATATTGTACCTCAGAATTATTATTATAGTAGGATAGAATCTTAATCTGTATTGCACCAAAATGTAGACACACGATACGCACATTTACGCATTTTTGATAAATGATAAGTTAAGTTGTTGGTAATATGCTCAATTTTGTTGATTTTCATCATATTGCCTTCTCCATATTTGGTATTATACATAATACCTATGCAAAGCTCGTGTTATGTATATTATTGAGTGATTTTTGGCATTTTATATAATTATGTATTTTACAAAATACTGGATTATCCATATCACTGGTAACATATAAATATTTTTTTTTATCAGAGATCTTCTAAACATCCAGTTTTCACTATTCTTAAAGATGGAGTGTACTTTCTTACTGTTACGATCACACCTATTGCCAATGATGTCCCTGAATTTGATAATGATGAAAATAAATTTATTGGCACTTTAGAAGTTATAATGAAAGGTCCACATGGATTTTTATCTGCTGCGAATTGGCCATTATTGCATGTAATTAATTTTACTTATTTATTTATTTATTTATTTATTATATTGGTATTATTTTTAATAATTTATTGGATTTTAGTTCTACGAGTTTATGTGTTTTGTGTACATTTGTTTTGGCTTAACATGGTTGATCTTATTATTTATGCAATGGAGGGATTTACTTCAAATCCAATTTTGGATTGGAGCTGTCATTCTATTAGGTAAATAATAATTTTAATAAATAATTAATAGTTGAAACTATGAACACTTTTAAAAAAATATTTTTTGATTTGTCAATTCTAGGAATGATTGAAAAAGCAGCCTTTTATGCTGAATATTATGAATTGAATCTTACTGGACAGTTAGATAATATTTATGGAGTAATGACGATAGCTGAAGTGATTTATTGTTTAAAACGAACTCTCGCACGAATATTGGTTATTATAGTAAGCTTAGGATTTGGTATTGTCAAGTATGTATTCTTTAAAATATTGATATTCAATAATTAATATTCTTAAATTTTTTTTTTTTTTATTAATTAGACCCAGATTAGGTCCACTCTTACCTAAGGTATTAGGAGTTAGTTCCTTATATCTAATAATGTCATTAATGGAATCTTATTTTCGTTTATCAAGTACTATGAACAATGGGATATTATTAGTTGAATTACCATTGGCTGCTCTGGATTCCGGAATTGTTTGTTGGATATTTTCTGCCTTAACTCAGACTACTAGAGCTTTAAGACTTCGAAGGTTGTATATATAAAATATAATGTTATATGTGTGTCATAGGCATGCACATGGGTGGTATAGAGTATGCACATACCACCTATGGCTTCAAGTTTATTTTGGAAAATAATACAAAATATCTGCGTCCAATTTTTAGAGGTCTCCTGAAAGCCCTTAGTTTTATACTTCCATAATAATAGGATACAAATAGTTAGCACTCGGTAGATTTAAAATATTTAATATTGATCTCATAATATTCTTATATTACGCTATATTATATTATGGAAGTTGTTCTGTTTAAGACATAATATATAAATTAAACAGTATTAGGTGTATACATTATAGTTATTGAAGACATGTTATTCATGTCCACCGTTGAACTGCGATAATGATCAACACCATTACTGTTTTCTACAAAAACATGCCTAACTATTTATTATTGTGAAAAATATAATTAGAGCCCTCCAGCTTTTGCAGTCCTCTCAATAAATGATTATTTTGAAACTAGTTGCGCAAGTGGGAAGTATTGAATTGTGAAAACAAAATGTATGAAAGTAAGTCTCCTAAAAAATAATTACCGAATTTTTTCTATTTTTTAAAAGGTAAAGAAAAAATGTTGAAAAATAAGAAATGCACCCCCCGTCAATAATGTCTATGCTTGCCTATGATGTACATATAATATTGTAAATTTTTTTTTTACATACTTGAACTATTTTATTTTAGGAATGCAGTAAAACTTCAATTATATACACATTTTACTAATGTTCTTGGTTTTACTGTTGTGACCTCATCTGTATTTATGTTATATTTTATAAAGACTCAACGTTTATCAAATTGTGGTGGAGTAAGTAATAACAATTTTTATTATTTTATATGAAATAATAAATAAAACAATATTTTTATCACTGCTAGAACTGGAAAGAACAATGGTTAGACGATGCCTTTTGGCATATCGAGTTTTCCATAATTTTACTTGTTATTATGATACTTTGGAGGCCAACTAATAATAACCAAAGGTATTTTTTAATATTTATAAGCCTTTTTTCTTAAACTCAATAATGTTTAATAATTTAGTTTTTTTAGATTAGAGTGAAATGAGGAATGTATTAGTTTTACCATGAATAGGGCTATATTGAATATATTCAACAGAAAAATTGCTGTAGTCTTCACACGCATATGAGGTTTCAGATAAAAAATATTATCTAATTTTTTATGAATTTTTCTATTGTTTTCTTAGTAAATGTGAGAACTGACATAAAATTACAAGAAAAATTGCAAAATTGACAGCATACCAATGTTTAACGTTGTTACAGATCAAAAAAAAAAAAACTGTTTAAAGTTTAAAATTTCATTAAATGACTAAATCACTATTTGCTATAAAAGATTTAGACTTTTTTTTTTAAGCTTATTGTAAATATTTAAGTATATAATGTTTTCTTGGTTTTTTTTTTTTTTGAAAGTAAGAACATTTAAATTTCAACCTACCTTATGATAATTGGTTCTATTTTTATATCGATTACCATCATTAGAACAATGAACTGATTTTCTCAACCTCTTTCACTTAGAATCTTTTATCCCAGAACCTAGAAGTTTCCCCCATTTTTTATTTTACTTATCATCTGTATAATATATTTATTTAGATATGCTTTTACTCCATTGCTGGATGCTCCTGATGATGATAGAGATGAAACAGAACTATTCATTAAAGAAACTTATAATGGTTATATAATCATAATTATGAAACTTAAAAAAATTATTTATTATTGAAATACTATTTTTTGTGTAGATGTAAAGATGAGAACTACAACTAATACATCCAATAATAATTTCAATGTGACACCCTACAAAGACTATCCTGCTTCAAATAGTAGCACAAAAAGTCAAACACAACTTGTATATATTATCAAAAATATTTTTAAAAAAATATTGTTATAAATTTTTTTTTTTTAGGATGATGATTTAAAATGGGTAGAAGAAAACATACCCGGTTCTTTATATGAAACGTAAGTTGTTAGCATTTAATTTTGCAATTAATTTTGTATGAAATTAATATTAACTGTATTACTGAAATCTATTATCTAGGACTGTACCAATTTTGGATTATAGTGAGGTAATATTAAATTTATTTTTCATTGCTATAATATAAAATCTAGATCCATTATTATTATTTTATTTTATTCTTTCAGGATGATCATAATACTGCTATTGAACGTTCAAAATTGCAATAAACACTTTAAATTAATGTTCTTAAACAATACTGTAGTTTATGTCACTTTTGCTTCATAATGTAAACCAAGTATAGTATTTTTTTTTCATTGTTTCGTTAATACTATATACTTATTATTTTAAATTTGTTAATTTTGTCCTATTATTCGATTAATTGAATAACCTTTTTGTTATCATGGCTTAGTTATATATCATCCATATTCCTTAATTCTTTGTTGTTTTAATATTATTCATACAAAAAAATTTAAGTGTTTAATAATATGTAAATAAAAAACATAAATAATCTATTCTTAATAAAACTAATAAATATTGTATAAAATATTATATATTTTATTAATTGTTAAATTAATAATAGTAATAATTCATTGATCAAAAAAATATTTCATTTAAGAAATATTCTTGACAACGATTTATTTAATGTAACTTTCACGTTTGGTGAAGCTGCTGATGATATAAGTGCCATACCTCTTGGATCTTCACTCAATTTTGATAATATGTGTTGAGCAGCTTGTCTATAAACAATTATTTTATATCATTCATGCACGATTGATTTATATTTTAACTTACCGAGAAGTAGGCGTATTGTCTAATACCATGTTTGTAGCAGCAGTTATTACAGAATCTCTAGCATCTACCGGTAAATGAAGTGTTCCACCTACTCCAAGCTTATCAACTACCCTGGCTAAAAGACGACATGCTTCTGCACGAACCAAACGATTACCGTGCCTTAGAATTTAAAAAGTAAAAACATTTGTTTAAAATATTATTGTAATCATAATACCTAGTGTCCTATTCAACAACAATCAATTTACTTAATTCCTTTAGATGTGATCACATGCACACATTTATTAGGGTTTACATTATCGACCATCGCGTTGAGAGCATCTGTGCTTTGTACTCGAAGAAATCTATTTGTATCAGCTGTACGTGGAAACAAAGCTGATGCGATAACTTCAATGTCCTAAATGAAATCATTTAATTTAAAATGTGATCTAAGTATTTTAATAATAACATCAGTGGTAACATACTGGCTCCACCGACTTAGGCACGTATGTAAACATTTTCTGTACAGCTGTGCACGCTGCTCGAGAAACTTGAGATCTGAGACTTTTTATGTGTTTAGCTACAGTTCGAACGAATGGCTGCAAAGAGTTAGGACGTAGTTCTTTTCCGTGAAACATAGATAGTCTTGAAATATTCTGTAGACCCGTGACTGCTGCTTCCCTACGAGATTAATAAATTGAACGAAATCGATTACAATAAACTCGGTAATATATGCAATTTACAAATCAAATATATAATAAAACATCCTACCATTCCGAGCAATTGATTTGAGTGGCAGCCAACTGTAAAGCTTTTTGAGGTTCGTTGAATGGAGTAAAATTCGGTCCCATTTCATCGGATCTTTTTTCTTGTTTTTTCTGATGCTTTCTACTGATTGATTTTCTCCTTTCCTTGGGCGGCTTTAGTTTCTGCACAGTAGATGTCGTGGGTTTAACTTGAGCTATAGGTTTGCTGCGTTGACGAAAAATATAAGTTATTTATTGCTTATGGTGGCCGCTATATGTGGTGTAATAAACTTACTCGTTTTTAGATGAAATCCCATTTATAGAGTTTAATGGGACGTTGTTATTGTGATTAATAATACCGTTAGCTGAAGACTTATTACTGTCGTTCCCTTTAGACTGATCGAAATGTAGCGTTTCTAATATCGCAGAACCGTCCAATTTTTCTAACGGAATATTTAAAGAAGACTCGGATAAACTATCATGGTGACTGTTATTTGAATTTGAACTGTTTGAATACTGTTGAGATGTATTCGAGTCGTAGTGTTCTTTAGTTATTACTTCGATGGCAATTGGTGACTTCAGCTTCTGTTCTGGTCTGATTTCTGGAACCACGGTCATTGACAACGTCGTTCTTATTGATGATTCTATACTAAAATTATAATATTATTTAATTACTCGTTTAAAATTGTATCGTAAAGCATCGTAATGAATGCTTTATGCGATCTAGTGTTTTGCAAGAGAAATAAGTACCCCATTAACGTTTTTACAAAGGTTTGGTAAATTATGAAAAGATCTACTTTGGGGAAAATATTGGTCTTTTTATATTATTTATCCATGTATTTAAGATAGTAGTAGCCGTCATACGCATCGGCTGTGCTTATCGATTGTCTCGTTCAAGTACCTACGTCTTTGATTCGACACATTGATTTTTATTTATAATGTAATGGTCTTATGTATATGGTGTACATTAACTATCAATCATAACCAACTTTTTACTATATTTAATATCGATTGCTCCACAACAAAAGGAGCTAAGTAAAATTTTAGTTATTATTAGTTAGAGGAGATTTATGTGTATCAAAATATATAACTGATACTTCAGTGTGATCATTTTATAACAAAAACATAAATCTAGGATATAAAAGACACTTCATAATATGTGAAATCTAAAACGCGAGTCTAAGTGACATTTTGTTCGGGTGCATGTAAACTCCGCCACAAGTACCTTTTTTTACTGTAAACTCTGCCAGAAAAAAAACAGGTAAAAATTGGGTTCGTGTTAACTCCGTTACTGAAAAAAATCAGGTAAATTTGAGTTCATGTAAACTCCGCCAGTGAAGAAAATCAAGCAGAAGTATAATATTAATATGATATATCATATCGTTCACATTAAATATTTAAATCATAGTAAAAAAACCATAATAAATAATGGTTATACCCTATAATCCAAAAATATACAGTTATGTCATGTATGTAAACTAAAATTATTTGATACAATTTGTAAATATTCTAAGTCATGTATTATTACTCCATTAGCGTACCTATTTATAGCACCCTGTAACATTATCATTTTTTTTTTATTTCGAATTTTTTAGCTTATTTACTTGAGATATGCCATTTAGTTTTATATACAGGTAAGTATGGGTTTGAAATTCGGTAAGAACTTTACTAAAAATATGAACATATGGTTAACTTTTATAAAATTAATTTCTCAGATGACTATGAAAGGATTTACAGGCAAAACACAAAAAAAAAAAACTGGCGGCGTTTACATTAGACCTTTTATCATCTTTTTATCTTAACCGGTATTTTAGCGGAGTTTACAATCGCCTTTTGTTCCTATATGAATTTATATTAATTATTATTAAGGTTCGGAATTAGAATAAAATTATAATTTTAAAAGAACATAAACATGTTTTATAGTGCATAGTTATTCTAAAATAAGCTTCAAGAGATAGATTTTTTAATTTTTGTTATTTATTTTTCTTTGTTAACTTTTATTTTTTATTATTTTTATTATATTTCATAAATTCCTTAACAAAGTTCTATAAATTAACTAGGTATGGGCTTCTTAGTAATAATTTAATATCTTACCAGACTTAAAACCAAATTTAGAAATTTTTTTTGGGAGGGGTCCAAAGCATGTATATTGTAATTTTATTGAATTTAGATTTTAACTTTTGATATTTGGTTAAAAATAGGACAGAAAAAGATTTAATCTTCTTTTATTAAAATTAATATCATATTTTTATATGATATTATGATATAAAACTAAAAGCGATCAATGATTAATTGAAGCTTAAGACATTTTTGACTTGAAAATATTTATGTTGGTATTAAAAATAAATAATTATTTTAAACATTCGTAAAATATTGAAGAAATTTTGGGGGGATCCAGACACTCTGGACCCCCTCATATACGGCCTTGTTTAAAACATAGAGTAGGTACTATCCATTGATTGTCATTAATATGTATATATTTAAATTGTTAATAATTGATGTTTTCGGAGTAATTGTATTTATTTTTTATATTTTATATACCTATGTTTTTTGGTACTTTCTATTATAAGAAACGCACCTAGTACAGCTACATTTATTTATTAAATTATGTAAAAAACGCTAATACAATTAGAAGGGGATAAGGGATAAAAACTGTGTTTTTAAAAATTATATAAATCTGTTAATTAATTTCATAGTGTGGAAGTATTTAAACTGTCTTAACAACATGACTTCGTCTGCTTCAAAAAAATCTGGTAATTCAAGACTGGATAAACTGATCAAGTTAGTAAAATTATTAGAACAAAAATGTTCTAAGTAAGAATCTAATATCTCAAAAAAGCTAGATAAGATCCTACAATTATTGAATAATGTTGTCGGAAAATAATATTTTAAAAAAATTTACCATTCTTGAAGAAAAAGTTTTTAATTATAAAACAGATTTCTTCAACGAAGTACTCGAAAGAGATCACCGTAAATGCAATATCATTCTCTTCAATGCCTCTGAGCCCATCTCTGACAACGTTTCTGATGACTTAAAATTGGTTTCCTCGGTTTTTCCAACCTTAAATCTAGCCATGAAATCATGCCCATATTTAAAAATTTAGCACCCCCGGACATATAATTTATGCCCCCCCCCCAAAAAAAAAAAATAAATAATAATAATATAGCACTTATTATTTCGTCCATAATCAAGATTCTTTAATATTAAAATATAACTTATAAATTAAAATTGTTTAATACTTTTTTTAATTAACAAATTATAACATAATAAAACATACCATTTTATTTTATTTTCATTAGGTACATCATTTTTAAAATTGATTTTGCTAAAATATTTTGCCGCCCCTGAGACTTGACGCCCCCTGGTATGTTCTTACCCCCCCTCTAAATATAGACCCGCGTGAAATAATTAAATATAATACGACTCGGCAATAATAAAAACAAACCTTGCCATCTTAAAGTTAATCATCTCGATATCAATTGTGTTAATTTAAATCTAAACTCCTCAATTTTTTTTATGTAGATATGATGTACTTATCTAATCTTTATTTACGATATTTTAGATTCTAATTATAGTATATTGAGTCTACAATATTTTTAAGTTACATTTTTATTGAGAGATGAATTCCAAATAAAATAACTACCCCTACAGTGTTACCTAAATAGAACTTTCATTGTAAAATATATGCCCAAAATACATGCTCATATACCCAGTAACTTATACACCACTTTAGTATTTCGTCATAGATTAAGGCACTCAGGTCTTGGGACATTTAGGTAATAAAATTTAGTATTTTCCCGCTAATGGATACGAATTACGCAACAGATACACTGAAGTATACAAAAAAAAAAAAATTTAAATTAATATCAGCGATTTTCTCTGACATCTATATAAGAATGCATTTTTATGAAATTTATGTCATTATTCATCTTATAAATTTGAAAGTGGGTGGACACATATTTATATTTCATGCACCGCCACCGAAATATTAATTTTGAGGCTTCAGCTACATCTTCCCACCTTTCAGCTACATCTTCCCACCTATAAAATACTATGTTCAATATCAGGGGCGTAATTAGGAGGATGGATCCACCAAAACTTTTTTTTTATTTATTATATTGTGATAATATGATTATTATCATTATTATTATTATTACGATTACTATTATTATTATTATTATTATTATTATTAAAATTAAAATTTTTAAAAATTTTGTTCTAGTGTTGTCGGGGGGTTACTGTATAAGGTGTACAGATTTTACTAAGACCTATAATCCCCCCCAAACCAAATTCCTAATTTTGCCACTGTTCAATACTAATACTATTTTAGGGAATTAAGGTCTGTTGCGGACATACACAAATGTAGGTCCTTACGACTCATAAGACATGGATAGGACCACGTAGATCATAAATAATAGAAATCGGAAAATGATTATTATTAATATAATATTCGTATTCGTATGAATAGAAAGGAATTTTAATTTAATTAGAGGGTGACACAAGCACATATTATATATGAATCGTGTGGCTACATTTCAAAGTGTGACATTAAAAATAACTATTACAGAAAGACATTAGTATGATATATTACGGAGATGTGGGTCCTTACTAATTATATGGTACAGAAGACAATTAGTACATAATAATTAAAATATTATAGAACGGCATCAATCTAAATGCCAAGGTGAATCGCATAGGACAAGTGATTTAGCATTCACTAGGTCCGGGTCAACTAAGAGAAACGGGGTATATAAGGGAGTCCCGAATAGACCAATATTCAGATGTGGTTTACATGTACAGTCGCAATCACCTTCACGCCAGATCATTTCTTAATTAATGTTTTTGTACTTAGAAAAATTCTTAAATAAACAGTTAAATTATATTTGAGTATTTTTATTTGGAGTATTATCCTAAAAAACTTAACTATCGTTACGATTGAACGACGGCACGCAACAGGTCACTATACTTACTAATGTTGTTCTATAGAACTGTATAAAATAAATAATAATACTCAGTAACATTACATTTTGACTACGGAGGTTTTGATAATTATTATTGGGTATCTATAATATTATGCTTTAGTGTTATGATTTAATAATTAACATTTCTTAATCATAATCTATGGTGGTATTTTTTCGGTTGAAATAAATTGAAAAAAAAATTATCTTAAATTATACTACTTATAGACAGAAGAAAGTTACTTTTAATTACCAAAATATAGTTTCAAAATTGCAATGGTGTCGAGTGTCTGTCAACATATTTTATGTAAATTACCAGCGTTCGGTATGGTGAATGACAAGATTAAGAAATAGCATCTGGTTTGACAAAGCGCGTTGAAAAACGCTCAGATATTGACATTATATATAAAAAGTTTTTATCCGTAACTGTGTACATTGTAGTAAAGGACATTATTCTATGTTTAACAGATACAGGCATCTGAGTGATTAATCCCAAAAAGTCCAAGCAGGGACGACGCGAGGGAGGGGGCAATATGAGCAGTATCCCAGTGCCTCGCGCCTTAAATTATAATTAAGGCCCTGCGGTTCTTATTTAACTAAACTTAAAATATTTTATTAATAGAAATTATAAGACCCAACATTTATTTTGCCCAAGCTCTCGCAAACTCTAGCACCGTCACTGAGTCTAAG